AACATTTTGACGCGACATCGCACGGATTTCTGCTGGCATCAATGCGCATATGGCGGGCGGAAAATGTGGAAAATGCGGAGCGAGGGGATCGGGGAAACTAAGGAAAAACCGAAAGTGGGAGGAGCCGAAGGAAGCATCCTTTTTATTTAAAAGTCGCAACGCGTAAAACGAAATTGACAAAATCGCATGGAAGTGGCTAAGATGCGGAGGGGGGAGGGCCTGAAAGTGGATAAAGGGGGGTGAAGGGCGGTTTCGGGAGGGCTGTACAATGGCAGTCACTTAAATTTAACTGTAACTGTTCCTTATGATAAGTAAGCAAGCTTATGCCACGCCAACACACACTGAAGCTGAGAAAAATATACTCCTATAAATGTATATACATCAAATATTTCTCGGGACTTAAACGGGGAAGGGGTGCTGCTCAGTGGGGGACTCTTAGGCCCCCGCAAAAAAAGAGGGGATTTGACGGGAGGCGTGGCCGGGGCTAAAGAGATTTGAAAGTATCCCGATTTGACATATTGATTGGTAGCTATCTATGGATGTGTAACAGCAGGATGACTTTGTAGAAACGACAGCAAATGGCAAGCAGGAAAATCGATACAAAAACAAGAAATATTTTGGCAGTTTATAGCAACAGCCGATCAACAAAATATATATATTAATTAAAATTCAGCATTGGTTGGTCAACAACAAAATATTTTGCCGAAAATGTGGAAAAGCTCTAAAGTCCCTGCGAATGAAAAATAAAATAAATTGATGTGGTGATTAAACAAGAGGCTCAATTAGTTAGCATATTTAGAATATTTTTTGAAAACAAAGACTTCATTACAAATAGCACAAATGTTATTGGCAATAAATCGAAATAAATTGTATATTTATTAAACAAATATTATTGCAACGAAATATTTCCTCATAAATTAAAGTAGTTGTATTTTTTTTTTGCCAACATGGTTTCAGATTTCTGTGCGGAAACTTTGCCAGACTTTCGAAAGAATGCCTATTTGGAGAAGGAGGTTCTGAGGGCCTTCGCCACTTTCCACTTTCAGATTTCTGTTCTCAGTTTGTTTGCCAGTTGAAAGTCGCCCGCTGAATGATTGCCATTTAGTCTGCCACTTGCGACTAATTCGAGATCGCTGAGAGCTGCAGACAGATTTCATTATTTATGCACTTGTGTCTGTGTGCGGGAAATCGGGGAGAAAACCAGGGGAAAACGGAGGGAAAACGGGTAGGGGTAGCAGAGCGGGAAAATCGGGGGTGGCAGCCGACAATTAACTTTGTTTTTCGCTTACATTTTCACGCTATTTTTTGGGCCAAGTTCCGGCGCGCTTTTATGCTCTTATTTATTTGCAAACTGCAGCTGAAGTGAAAATCAGAAGGTTGGCGCGCAGGCGGGAATATTTCCCTCGGGTTTTTCCACGGCGTTGAGTTTGCTTTTTGTTAGTTGTTTGTTCCCGGTGCTCCAGCACCTAGCACCTAGCATCCAGCACCCAGCTCCTTGTTCCTTGTTCGTTGGTCCTTGGTCCATGTCCTTTTCGTGTCCTTCGCACCTTGCTGCACTTCTTCATCAACGCGCCCGCTGCCGTGAAAAGTTTTGGATCGAAGAAACGAAGTTAGCGCCGGGCGAAACTGCCCCATTGGTCAGTAAAGAGAAAAAAAGAGGGAAAAAGGAGCGATTTGGGGGAAAGGAAAATTCTGGCAGCTCTAATTGAGTTATTTGTGCAGCTTGGCCCGCAGCGAGTAAGCAGCAATTAACCTGCCTCGCCCACTCGAAATAGTTGTTTAAATGTATACAATATAATTGAGTATTTGCAGGCTTTTTAAAAAGCAAGGAAAACAAGTTAATGATTTAAGGGCCACAAATACGTTTTTCGGCACACAAACAGGCTTAAATTGATTTTAGCTGTTAATACCTGCAAATCCCTGGCATTAAATCAAAATTTGCCGTCATAATTGCTTTTTGTTTTTCGTAAATCGTTGCTGTCACAATTAATTTGAATTTATGAAAACACCAATAACTATTTAGGTTCTGTTTGTAAAGCTCTCATCACGTTAAATAATCAGATTGATATGAGCAAAAACCAGATGAATTTATGAATTAACCTTTTTGTGCTCTTTTCTATAAAAAACTAGCAGATTAGGGTCACAAAGTATTGGGTGAACAGATTTGCAGGGCAATTTAATTGCAAAATCAAAAATTGTCTTAATTGTCAGGAGGAAATCAATTGAAAATTCAATGCAATCAGTGCTAAAAATGTGCAATAATCTTTGACCCGGATTGAAACTCCCCAGACTCATTAACCCTTATCAGGCGACCGCCTGGATCGACCTTGACCCCCTCCCCTGGCGTCATTTTAATTTTCCGTTTTCCATTTTCCGTTTTTTTTTTTTTTTGCATCGTAGATCCAGTTCCATCGCTCCTTAGCCCCATTACCAATTAGTCCGAATGCCAGCGCTGCCAAGGTCAATGGCCCGTACTGTTGATGTTCGGAAAAAAATGGAAACGGGACAGGGATTGGGATTAGGGATCGGGGATTGGGATAAGGACGTAATGGCATCGGACAGGGAGTCCTGCTCGTTGGCCATTAGGCGTGCGCTGCAGGCTTAATTAATCATGGCTAAGTGAGTCCGGGACGCAAAAAAAACTATTAGACATAAATGTGATTTTTCCGTTGCTTTTTCGTTTATCGGTTTCCTTGCCATCCAGTCTGCCTTTGTCTGCGTTTCCGGCCTACACTGGAAAACAACTCTACTTATTACTTAAATCGAATTTATTATAGTTCAGTTCCAACTAATAAATCTTTCCAGTGCTTTCGTTTGCATATTTGAAGTTAAACAATTTTACTAAAATATTGTTTAAAACTTCCAATTAAATGGAATATATTTTTGGGTGTAGCCAGCAGCGAAGGACAGCGCACAAATTACTTAAAGATAGATAGAGCGACCGGATGAGGTGAAGGATGTGGCTGGAGTCAAGGGACAAGGGGCGGAGGTTGGAGGTTGGAGGTTTGAGGGCGGGGCAACGACGCGTTATTTCCGTTTCCGGTCCAGCATTCAACACTCGCATCGAGCCGCATTGAGTGATGAAGTTCCAGAGGCGCCGTATCTGCCCCCCCGCCCTTTGTCACGCCCCCTTTCCCACCCCCATCCCTCCCCTTTTAGCCTGGCCTATTCCCAGGCATAATCATTTTTTCTTTCCTCTTTGGCGCTCGCCACCTTTCCCCCCTTTCTTTCTTTGGTTTTTTTTTTTGCACCCTGTTTTGTTCGGGGCAAGTGATAAAATGTTTTATGTGCTCGAGTGTCTGATAACAATAAATAACGCCATCAGGACGAAAAAGGACCCGAAAAAGGGGGGGGCGTCGGTTGGCATGTAAACAAATTGGTGTTGAAGGCATTTAGCCCTTTGTTGGTTAGAGTTCAGTGGCCAGTTCGTTTGTTTAGGCCTCGCAGTGCGACCCCATCGCTTGATGAATTGTAATCAGCCCCAAATTGGCAACAAGGCCAAGGACAGCGGCCCAAAAGGGGCTTTCGTATTAATCATCGAAGTTTCAATGGCCCGAATCTGATTTGATTAGTTGGCACAATATGTTTGAACAGCCAACGCAACAGTTTATCCCGAAAATCGATTTTGTGGTGATTATAATTTTATAATACCATCAAAATTGCGCCGAAATGGAAAATGGTCTTTAACAAAAGAAGAGGGTTTCAAAAATAATTGGATAATAAATTGTTGTCTCTTCAATGTAAAGATATATCCTGTTTTATTTTTTTGGTATATAATATTTTTCATACTCGTTGAAGTTACTTAGATTATGTTTTCTGGTTTTTAAAACAATTTGCATATCCGATGTCTGCGCATAATTAAAGCGGAAGAACAAACAAATAATTGCTTATTAATTTATTAGCATTTTCATTAGGGCCGCAATTAAATTGGTTTGCATTTTTTTCCATTTCCTTTTTTTACGCCACTCCGAACTTAATAAACGCATAATTGAATAATTATGAACAGAAAAAAAAACGATTTAATGAGAGGGCATAAATTATGCAGGAGGCTTTGATGATATATATATGTGGTTTGTTTAAATGCTAGATTTTGGAATAAATGTTCATCGTTGTCTTTGGCCTGTGGCATGGATTCTCCAAGGTGAAAATCCCGAAAAAAAAACAATAAAAGCTCACACGAACATTTTTAATTTGGTTATGCATCGTTTCGTTTTCTGCCTTTTGAAACGTGAAAATGGAAAAACGAGAAAATGTGTGTGAAATGGACAAATGAAAATACAGAGGGGGTAAAGCACCCCCGAACGCTTTTAATTATGTTGATTTTTCGCTGATTTAATTTTTACCTGCGTTCGTTAAGTTTGCAGCACAAACCAAATGGAATTTAATTTAATCCTTTTGCCCGAAAAAAACACCTTTTTTTTTTTTGTTTAAACTGACCAGCAAAGGCAACCGAAAGGCAAACGAGGGGAAAAAGAAAATCCAAATTATAAAAGCGCTTTGGCCGACGAATTTTTCCAGCACTGCCATGGAAAAAATACTTCAAAAGCGTCTATTCAAATGCCAAACTGTGATAGCGAAAATGGCGAGGGGTTTTCCGGCGGCACGTTTTGGTTAATGTTACACCATTTTGGTTTAATTACTTTTTGGCTTTTGACCCGGCAACTGCACTTTTTTTGCTCACTTCCAGAGCCATTTTGAAACGGCTTAATTAAATGCGGGGAACACGGCGAACTCGCTCTGTCTCTCGGATTTGCAACGATTGCAGCTTTTGTCGATAATTTAATAATTGCTCCAGGCTGATAAGCCGATTCAGTTGCATTATGCAGCTTTAACCGCATTTGAGCATATTATTTACCTAGCAAATTTGGCTTTTGATTCAATTTTGGTCGGCTGAATATTGCGCGTTTGCAAACGATTCCTTAAGCTTTAGCTGTCAAAGAGATTTAAGGCATCAATAATTATATTAACTACCTTTCAGCAATTAATAATTGACCAACATACATATTTATATACAGTATTTATTTAATCATTTAATTGCAATACAAAACTCCAGGTGGACAAGAACTCCGCCTTGACATATACACGTTTCTATATAGTTGTTTATATACAAGCTAGATTGTCTTACACTTCAAGCAGTACATATATTTTAAAGCTCTAGGGGAATAGTATTATAATATTTTTTGGGGCAAGGGAAGGTCTCTTACAGTCTAAACAGAACACCCGGAATTAAGTGAATTATTGCACCACAAGCACAAACTTATCACATCTTATCACAAAAACTTCTCTACTCGTTAAAAAAAAATTGAAAATGTAATAAAGTGTATAGGCCTGTGTCGGATAATTTAACAAATTTTTAAATGCTTACAATCTAACATCCACGACAATATAGTTATGTTTAAAAATTAACTGTAAAGCTACCGATATTATAATCACACAATTGTCTAAATAAGTAAAAACCGGAACAAGCCCTAATAAATGTCTACTTAGCCATATTCTCAATTCGATTTCAAAGTATTATTTTTGAAGGAAAAAAAACTTCAAATATCATTTCCAATTGAAATAATATTTGTTGAAATAACTACTTTCATTTTGAACATTTAAGAAAGATGTTTGTTATAAGTTTTTAAAATGTCACGAATAAAATCTTTTATTACAAAAAAAAAAAAAGAAGAAACCTTGGGGGTTTTGAATTTAGTACTTTTTGGTTTTAAAATGAGAACATGGCTGTGTCGCTCAGGTTCTTGTCTCCTCGTAGCCACAGTGAATGTATCCAGTTTCCAGAGAGCCACCCACTGCGGGCGACTTGCTGGGCAGATCCTTGCCGGCATCCTGATGCTGATTCTGCTGCTCCTTGTTGTGGACGCCATTAGTGCCATTCGCCTCGCAGCTGTCGAGGATTCGCTCGAAAACAGTTTCGAAACGGCAGCGACTCAGCGAAAAGCGCGCCACATCCACGCAAATATCCCGCAGGATGGCGAAGAGTTCAGAGAGCAGTGGGCCATCCGGCGATGATGGAGCTCCCGCCGATCGGGTTCTCACGAGGAACCTCAAGCTGTGTCCGTGGTGCTGCAGATCCCGCACGCCCGGCAATCGCTGGCCCAGGCTCCTAGCCAAAACGGCCTGCTGGGCGGGACCACAGAAGCAGGTGACGGCATAGTAGCCACCGTACTCGGTCTTCAGTCGCTCCGGAGTGTCGCTGGCGACGACCTGACCCGCCCGGAGCACCGCAACGCGCTGGCAGAGGTGCTCGATCTCCGACACCGAGTGGGAGGTCAGCACCACAGCGCGACGGGCGAGAAGCAGCTGTTCGATGGTGGCGTAGACCATGTCCCGCGTCACCGGGTCCATGTCGCTGGTGGGCTCGTCCATCAGCACGGTGGGCGTGCAGCCGCAGCAGGTGACGGCCACCGTCAGCTTCCGCCTGTTGCCGCCACTCAGGTTCCGCACCTGGACGTCCTTGTACGGACGCAGCTCGTACGTGTCCAGCACGCGGTCGAGGAACTGCTCCAAGTCGCGGATGCCGCGCAGGCGGGCATAGAACCGGATGCACTCGCTCGTCGTGAGCAGCGGGTCCAGCGGATTGCTCTGCGGGCAGTACGAGACTCCGGGCTGCAAGACCAGTATAAGATTGGCAATCAGAACACTTGACAAATATTTGAAAAAGAAATAAACTTATCTGAAGCAACACTGCGTATGAGTAATGTACCAAAACAGGATAGAACTCATTGGAAAAATTAAAAATTTAATTTAAGACATTTAACATAATGAATGAAAGAAATTTACTTCCGAATTTAAAAGCTAACATTTATTTATGCCTCAGAAAAAGGCAACCGTGCGTATGCGTGATATAAAAGTTAAGAGAAATAAAATCTCATTTCGAGATTTAAGAAAATGAGCAAAATGTAAGCAAGTGAAATTCCCTTTAGTAAATTGTAAGAAAAAACATTTTGAAAAACCAATCGAATGACTTACGAATACCAATTTAAAACTTTCGTTTAAAATGTATTCAAAATTACACCAAATTAATTTAAACTAAAATTGAATTTTGAATGGAATCAGTTGTTAAGGGATTAGAGACGCACCTGCTCGAAGTAGATGTGTCCCACGTTGGGCTGCAGCTGTCCGGTGAGCAGCTTGAAGATGGTGGACTTCCCTGCCCCGTTCTTGCCGAGCAGCCCGAAGCACTCGCCGCGTTGCACGCTGAAGTGCACCTGCCGCACCGCGTAGCGTCCTCGGCGGTAGGCCAGCCAGAGATTCTCCGCCCGCACCGCTTCGCCACTGGCCACGCAGCTCTTGAAGATGCTCTGGATGTTGACCAGCTTGAGCTGGCCCAGCTTGTCCAGCTCCCTTCGATAGGTGCAGTCGAGCATTCGCTCGACTCGCTGCCACAGTTTCCTCAGCAAGTGCCACTCGATGAGCACGTTGAGGATCAGTCCGAGCACTCCCACCACCAAAAGAGCGGTGAAGTGGCGCCCGAGGAGATCGCTCGCCAAGGGATGCTTGTAGGAATCGATGTCGTAGCGACGGAAGACCAGGGCCACCATGTAGTTCTTGCACAGCTCCAGGAAGCCGTCGCCCAGCGCGTGAATGGGAAAGATGAGGAAGGCGTGGTTGAGGGCGTGGCGCCAGCTGTCCCACGCCGGACCCTCGCCCACCACGCCCAGGATCAGGATGACGCCCATGGTGACCAGCGGGATGATGAGGTTGGCGCAGAAGATCGAAACGATGGCGATGCTCGAGTCCCTGAAGATCTTCTCCGCCACATGGACAGCAGGAACGCAGGCGAAACTAAGGGAACAACAAATTCAACTGAAGTAGCTCATGGAGGTAATCCAATTAGAAACTCACCTGAAGGCCAAAGAGAGACCTATGATCCCCACCAGCTGCTGGCGATCCACAAATACGGGCATTCCAAACATGAGGATCACGGCTAGGCAAACAATCAGACCGAGAACCATCACCAGGTAATCCCAGACGAAGGCCACCAGCCAGTAGGTCACCGCACTCACTCCGCACAACCGCTGTTGCAACTTCTCGCCGTTGACCCGCTCGTTGACCAAGTAAACCGAACCGGCGGCCACCACCAAACCGAAGGCAATCAGCAGGATAAAGACCATGGATCCATCGGCCGCCTGCCGCAGAATCGAACTGGTACTCAGTTCCAAGTAGCCCAGCTTCCAGGGTTCGTTCAGCGTGAGTATACTGTACTCCGAATCGTTGAGCGTGGTGCGCAGCAAGTCCGAGTTGAGATCGTTCAGCCAGGCCATCATGGCGTGGTAGCCCTTGTTGTTGTACCACACGGTCGCTCCGGAGCCATTCAGCCCGTAGCCGCCGTATCTCCGCTCGCGATACTCGTCCCAGGTGCCCAGCACCCAGTCGTAGGCCTTCTCGGAACCCTCGAACTCCTTGCACTCGTCCACGGCATCGCAGGAGCTCCTCAGCTGGGGATACAGTCGCCCGGTGAAGTTGGTCGCCTGCTCCTGCGACAGGAACTGCGCGCTCTTCGGGTAGAGCGATCGAGTCAGGGGCAGGACCGTATCGAAGTCGTCCTCCAGGCGATAGCTAACGAACCACATGGCGCACAGCTCGAAGAGGGCGGGCAGCAGGAGAACGTACAGCAGGAGGCGGTAGTTGCGGGACAGGTGCCGCAGCCGCTTGCCCATCAGGAGTCGGAATTGCTGGTAGGCCGTCGGTGGATCCTCGCTGATCATCGCAGGACCGGCGACCACGCCACTCCGATCGCTCATGGGTCGTCGGGATGAGGTCTCCTCGCCTCCGCTCCTGTTCAGCTGCTCGAACTCCTGCTCCAAACTGGCGCTGCTCGAGAGCTCCACATCGCTGATGGCCCCCGAAGCTTCTTGGGATTGCAAGAGTTCCAGAAACTCCACGGCTCCCGGTGTCAAATGGTCCGAATAACTGGCGCTGATCGTCAGGTTGTGCGGATGATCTGCCAGTCCCGATTGGAGCACCTGGCTTTGCGGCAGGAGCTGCTGGGCCCGCTGCACAATGTAGGTCAGTCCTGTGGCATCGGCACAACGCATCTTCACACTGTAGTCCGAGGTGCAGAGACGCTGCAGGGAGTCCCGACTGTGCTGGGCAATAATGCGACCCTAGAAGTGCGTACATAATTAATATATCATACATAGTATGACAGCATTAATTAGTTTGTAAATCAAATATTATTGTACTCACATTACGCATGATGACCAGCGAATCGCTGAGGTACTTGGCCTCGTCGAGGAAGTGGGTGGCGAAGATGACGGCTCTCCCCTGGCGCAGTCGCTCGATCAGCTGCCAGATGTCCTTCCTGGCCTTCGCATCCACCCCGTTGCAGGGTTCGTCCAGGATGACCACGCTGGGCGAGGCGATGAAGGCGATGGCCACGCACAGGCGTCGTCTATAGCCTCCCGAGAGTTGCCATGCGGGATACGATTCGTGCTGTCCGAAGTTCAGGCTCTGCAGGGTTCGGGCCACCTCCGATCGGATCTCCTCGGAGCCGCCACTCTCGCCCTCCGGCATCTTGATCCTGGCATACAAGTGCAGGTGCTCGCGAGCGGACAGAGTGGGAATGAGGATGTTGTCCTGCCAGCAGACGCCCACTTGATGTTTGCCAGCCAAAATCACCTTGCCGCTGCTCTGCCTGATTTGGCCGGTGAGCAACTTGATCACCGTGCTCTTGCCAGCTCCGTTGCGACCCAGGAGACAGCTCACCTGGTTGCGGGCAAAGTCAAGGCTCAGATTCGAAACGGCGCACTTGCTGCCATACAACTTGGTGACGTTTGCCAGCGAGGCGCCCAATTTGTCGTCTAATTGCGATCGGGTTACCTTCACAAAGCTGTAGTTATCTGGGGAAAGGGGAGGAGAGCCTCTTGTTTCATTTAATTGTGATATTTAATCGTTGCACTTACTCTTCTTAAACCTCTGATAGGCCAGTCCAATAACCGCATAGAGCAGAAAGTCGAGCAGGAACATCAATAGCGCCATTGCACACTCGCTCCTCGCCGGACCAATTTGGATGAGATGGCCCAGTGTTAGGCCCTCCTGCTGCAGCTCCATTCGCATCAGCTCACCCCAGCCCTTGGCAAAGGCCGTGGTCAAGGAGAGGTCCACCAAAAAGCTCTCGAAAACACTCAACTTGGCATCGAACATCAGAACAATTATAAAGGGACACAAGCTGATGAAAAATAGAAGCGCAGAAGCCACAGCTCCAATGTTCGCGGAGTTGAAGAAGTTTGAGCACATATAACTAACGTGGGGATTGCAGTTTTAATCTTTAATTGAATAATTCAATAACGAAATGCTTACCAAAACGAAATCAGACAAATGCCAAAGCTCAGGCAGTAGAACATCATGAAGAACCAGTTTGTAAAGGCCAGAATGCCGCCACTGTACAGAACTGCACTGATCAAAGCGAATATCGCACAGAGTTCGAGGAAACTGATCAAAGCCCAGGCCACCAGCTCGGATTGCGCCTTCAGGCCCATTGATCTCATTAGCTGTGGAGATGATATATTAGTTATATATGTTTCATTCCCTAACTGTAAGGGTATAGACTTTGGCAATAGGGGGTTTTTTGCTTAGGAGGATTTTAGGTATCGGAAATCTACTAAAAGATTGAAAATAAAATTCTTTATGGGAATAGAGAATTTCAAATGTCTTTTTTTAAGATCTTAGCTTCACTCACCATACTATTACGGCTTTCCCGCATCCAGATGCGTTCCCTCACACAAAGAGCGACGAAAACCACAAGACCCAATAAGTAAGCCACCTGAACACCTTGGGCCAAATACACGCCACGTTTAAAGCTAAAAATACAAAATGAAATAATAGGTAAAAATCAAATTCAGTTATAAACTATTACCACTTACACATCGTTAAGAAAAGCGGGATAGGGAAACTGTTTGGTGTAGAACTGCATGTTGTCCACTTCGAACTTGTTCTTTTTACTGGCATCAGAGCCTCCCAATCCCCCAAGCAAATCAAAAAGTCCCTGACGCTTCGAACGCTTGAGGACATCTTCGTTGTTGAGCAGCAGTAGATCGGGGTCACCATCTGCCGCTGGCTGAACCGTGGTGACTCCTTCCTCCGTGGCGACCTCAACCTCTTCTTCTTTTGCGGAAGGAGGAATCGTGGTGGAGTCTTTTTCAACTGCAGTTGAAGATGGCTTATGAGTGGCCTGCGCCTCTCCCTCCTCAAGGCTGAGATCCAGGTCATCGTCGTCATCCTCATCGGAAGAGTCGTTATCCACGTGCTTGATACTGAACAGACCGGCTAAGGATCGTCCACTTTCCAGGGGATCCTCCTCCGGGAAGCCAGCCTCCTCCCGTTTGCTCTTGATGATGCCCAAGTCGACCATCTGTTTCAGCTGAACGAATCCGCGATGGTACTTGAGATCGATGACCATTCGGTCGGCGGGTCCGGGGAACCAGAATCTGTTGCGGTTCTCGAAGGTCGGCTGCGTGTTATCCGTGTCCATGTGAATGCGATAGGACGACTGCTTCAGCGCCACATCCTCCAGATTCAGGGCGGCCAAGAAGAACTTGTTCTGGTTCAGTTCGTAGGCCCTCCTTCGCAGCTCCTCCACACTGTCCACCGCCTCAAAACGATCTGCCGAAACGCAGTCCATAAGATCCGCCACGGTGGTTAGAATGTCATAAATCAGCTGGTTGGTGCGGATGTACGTAAAAACCCTTTCGATCTCCCCAATATCGAAGTCGTCGCCAACCAAACTCTTGACCAACGGCGACTTGGCCAACTTGAGCAGACTGTCGAAGGCCTCCTGAAAGGTGGCATTCGTGTGCAGTTTGGTGACAATTGTGGCTGCCGCTCGGGAAAGTTGTTTAAGTCGGTCAACCTCTTCAAAGGTGGCATTACTCTGGGGTAAAATGGCATATTTCAACATGGTCTTTAGGGATTTTCAATGTATAACTTACAAACTTCACTACGCTTTCGGTCGCCGCATTTGCTGGCGTGTAAAGTATTTTACCCTGGATGATCGGCTTAATGGTGTTCCAGGTGAGTTTGCCCTGGTTCGTAGAAGTCACATCCAGATAAAGACGCTTGCAGTATTTGGCTAGAGGTTAAAAGGGATAAACATTTTTTAAATCAGCACCAAGATTAGGTTTTTGGCAGAAGCATTAATAGCCAAGCGCCTTTGCAAGTTAAAAGCGAATCACCGGATAACCGGATTACCCTTGTTGTTATCACATATACGAGTATATCACTTTTAGCAAAATTGGGATTTATGATACCAGCAATATAAGCAAATAGCACTTAAAATTCATACAAGCCATGCGCTTACGAAAGATTTTTAAATACATCAGCAATTAATAACTAGTATTTCGAAAGCTATTGAATATATATTTCTCTGATTATGCTCACTTGGCCTCCAGTCCGTGGGGAGATTTTCGGATCGACGACGACGACGGTCTGGAGGCAGAGCAAGGTAGGCAATTTGCAATTACTGGGTTTCAACTTGGGGATCTGTTCGTCAAAGGACACTACTCACTCGGCATGGCATCGAGTTCCGCGTCGTTGATCTCGCTAAAGTCCTCAGATTCCAGGATTTCGTTCACCAACGGTATCGTATCCGTGTTGGGAAATGGATGGCCACACAGCAGGACGCCCAACTTGACAAAGGTCTCGCGATCTGTGTGAGGATTCGATTGGGATTAACATATAATAGATATCACGGGGTTTGCTTTCAACATACTTGAAAACAAATGCTTGATGTCGAAACTGTAGTTCATCCGTCGCTCAATGTCGGGCACCAGAGATATTATTTCACTTATGTTACCTGTATAAAAGAAAATCAAAGAGTTATTAGTTGTTATTCCTCGGAACATAAATACACAAAATTACTATACAGAAAGTGTACAATGCAAAGGTCAATGATAGTTTATTGGATCAAGGGAAAACCAGGATCATGGTCACGCTTGCTGTATTTTATTTGAACCCCCCCGTTAATTGTGTTCTATGTTAACTGTTTATCGCTGCCACTTATAAATAATTATAAGCAAACGATATGTAAAGCCCACTACTTACTTCGTATTATGTCGAGTCGGTCGCTGGTAATCAGCGTGGTGATGGCCGACACAAAGTTGGCCTTCTCGGCCAATTCGACGACGGCCTTGTGGAGTCGCTCATCGGTCACGAAGGCGTTGACCACATCGATAACGGCGTGCAGTCTGAAATGTATATAGTGTTTCTAACTGGCTTATCGGACAATAAGGGATCAATGGAGGATGATCTTACGGGGCCTCCTCCCAGTCGGAGTACTCCTCGTAGGGATGCGCCTTCTGGCAGCGGTTCTCAATGCTGCAGATGTAGGAGAAGGCGGCGGGAACCACCTGGTTCTTGGTGGGCAGCAGACGGGTGGGATACTGGCAGGCGGCCACCTCCTCCGATCCGTACTTCAGACGGATCAGGTAGAGCAGCATGAAGACCAACACCGGCCAGGCCAGCAGGGTCAGGCTGAGTCCCTTTTGGCGCCATCGCACCAAGAGATCCTTGCGCAACAGCTCCCGCACCTCGCGACCACTCAGGTGCATCCGCATCCTCTCCGATTCGTTGAACTTTTCCCTCTGGCGATCGCTGATTCGACTCGATCACTCGGTCATCTTTGTCGTCTGCGCAAGAAAAACCAAAAACACTGTCAATTTTTACCATAGTTCCTCATAGCTGATCCGAAAGCCAATGATTAAAACGTAAAAAAGCCAAAACTTAATAAATATGTTTATCCAAATGTCAATTTGTTAGGGATTTTCTTTGACTTTAAATGCCTAGCAGAATATTTCATTTATTGAACTCTATTTAAGATCTTGTATAAATAGTTCCAAATTCCAAGAACACTTTTTGAAAAATTCTTTGGAATTCCGGTGCACTCTATAAAGCTCTAACATTATTAAAATGAAAACTTATTCAATTGACCATTTTTGGTGATATTTTTCTTGTTTTTCCAGCGGAAGAGAGTCGAGTGCTAATTGTGGAGGCAGATGGGTTCGAAAATCAACGGATATCGCTTCCTCAGCATAATTAACCCCTGTTCGCTTTGTTAACCGCCTTTGTCCCGTTTTGCCGCTTTGCTAATTCAGGCTATTTAGTGGTTCGCCTTGTCGGCAAAAATGCTTCCCGGTGGCAATCGAAGATTTAAGCACAGCCTGCAGTCCCCCGAATCCCGCAGTTCCACCTGGCGAATTAAATGCTATTTGTTGACAATTACTTTAAAGCGTGCTTCTGTAATTTGAATTAAATTATTCAGCGGCTAACTTTGAGTCACTTTTAAAACAGAAAAAACAACTTAAGTCGCATTCAATCAGTAAGCAAAAGCTAAACGCTTTAAATAAAAATGAGTAAATTTCTTTGTTTTATTTAAATGTGTATAAAAAGTATTTACAAATTGTAGAAGTAAGTCATTTCCGAAATCGTGTAAAAATAGGAACAATAGTTTTAAAAATTAAGCAACTTCGAAAACAGACTAACTAGAATTATAATTTACTTAAAATACATACATACTTGTTTCTAGTTTTCCGGAAAAACAAAGTCAACATAAAAACAAAAATATAAGATTTTATTTAATTTTTCAGAATAGTTAATCTCTGAGCAGTTTCCAAGTCTAAGCTGGAAGATCGGCCAGAGATTTACGGCTCGAACAGGAGCTCGACGTGGCCGAGGTAAAGGTGAATGAGATCGTAATAGCGTTATGGCGCCCAGCTGTCCATTTGAGTCGAGTGCGGATGAAAGATGAGCCGCATCCATTACCCGCCGGGCAATTGGCCGGCCAATTTATGACCCGGACAATGTCGAACTTCGCAAAACCAGTTACAAATCAAATAGACAGTCAGTCGGGCCGGGCAATAAAAGAGCGTTTATTCATCTTGGTTGCTCGTGTTTGGTATGCAAAGCTCGGACTGTGACTTTTGATTAACGCCACCCGCTGATCTTGCCAACTGGCTGACAAGTTGCCAAGATGCCAATCAAATCAACTCCGGCTCGATTGAATACACACAATCTGTTTATATAGACACGTAGAGAGCCGCTGAGAACCTCTGACTTATGACTTTTGGCTGGGCACTTCAATCAAAGTGGGAAAATCTCGAGAGGCGAGACAAAAGAATATTAAGATGTGGGGAAATACAAGCAGAAACTAAAATCTGGCTCAGGGTACTTCGAAACTTAATAAGCTAACGCATCTGATGAAAAAGCCCTAGGAGAGATACATATAAGAGCACGATTCTATGCAATAAAAAAACAAGTTTTACTGTGCATAAAGTAAAATATACTGACAGAATATACAAAGTCCAGGAAGCAAAAAATAAAAAGTATTTTAATCATCAAAAAGTAATGATATTTAAAGAGTTTTGAATTGTTTCTTAACAATAAAGGCAATTACAATTCGTTTCTAAGCATACCAAATTGAAAGACAACTCGACGACCGGCAACTTGTTTGGCAAATGCTACGGAACCAGATCTAGCAAACTACCCGATTCGGTTCCAGTTCAACATCCACATCCACATCCACTCTCAATTGCATTTGCTGATTAGTCAATGGCCTATAGCATAATGTTGCAGTCGTGCCAATGTCATCATCGCCGGGAATTATCTAATACTCGATTGATCCCCGGCTAATGTTGCGTGAACCGATCGCTCCAGTTTCCCGCCGTTTGGAAAACTGGGCCATATACCATATAGTATATGGTATATAGTATATATGATGTTTACGAGCTTATCAGCTGCATTCCCGCCCGGCAAGTGAGCCCGGCAAATTCGAACTGATAATTACAAGGTAGCCTCTGCGAAATGCAAATGAAAGTGACGGATTGCAGATGCTTTAATTAACAGGTAAAACCACCCACAACTATGGCACTCGATTCCAGTTTAAGGAAGATATCGGCCGTATGCAAATGGCAGGCAATTAGACACTTTCGGCACGTAATTCCCCCCAGTAACCAGTTACCAGTAATCAGTTACCGGCGGGTATTATGCCCCCTGGCCATTATAACCAGATGTTTCTCTCGTACTTTTAAGTTACCTGCAAACCGAAACTAATACCCGCTTTTGGGCTAATTAAAATAAAGCTGCGAAAATAAGCTGCGAATCTGAGATGCAGTTGCGAAACGGGTTGCCTCCCCTTTATATCAAACTCGTTTAGATCACGTTCAGTTACTCAAGATGCAAATGAATTCCTGGAATTACCCCAGACAGCACTTAACAGCCGCTCAGTCGAAAGTTCGTTCTAAGACTTCGCAGAGATTCCCGATTTCTATTCGAAAACCATCAGTCCGATTACAAATGTTTTATAACATCACGGCTAGCCGCATTCGAAATCAAGAATATTCGTTTCAACAGGTTTGCTTTGACGCTTTATTAATTAATGAATTTAAACTTGAAATGTTCAATTGAAACAAGACAGCTAACATTTTAGATCAGCACTTAATTCTTCTCAACATGAAACAAATGTTTAATATTCTATTGCATATTATTAACTTTTACTGTCTTCTAGTTCCTTCCAGTTCTACTTGTTCAACGATTTTTGAATACATTGTGTTAAGTTCTCTTCTATTGGCTTAAGTTTTACTACTGGCCTCAACTGACAGACGTACTAATTTAAATGAGATCTTGACCCACCTAGGTCAACTTAAGTGCTTCTACTCCCGCAAATGCAGTAATAACCAATCACATGAACACAGACAAAAATTTACAAATTTCTTTTTAATAAGAAAAAACAAAAACAAAAATAATAAAAGTTAAGTTAACCTTTTATACATATATTTGTATTTTTTTTAATAAAATAGATTTTAAAATGCATTAAGAAAAAAAACAAGTTTTTCTCCCTGTGTTTCTCAATCAGCATAGACATAAAACTCCGTCTGGGGGTCCGAGTGGATTCTAGCCGCAATATATCATCGATCTATTGGCAAGCTCGGCTTTCAGCGCGACCTTGACCATGAGTCTTCACTAATAGCTTAAACTAGCAAATCGCGCTAACGAAACGAAAATAGTGGTATCAAAGTAAATATAAATAAGGCGAAACAAGTTTGTCAAGAGATCGCCGGCGTGATCCCCTCACCCTTTAATTCGTTTTGTGTAATGCATTTTGTTTTGATGATTATCCCACTTAAATTTTACATGGAAATCTTTTAGCATTTAGTCCCCCTGGCGCCCTTTTTCCAGCCAAGCTGATTAATTCGCGTGTGGCCAAGCGTTTAAAATCGCACGCGTTTTGCCGGGTTGTAGTGCAATTTATGCACCAATTTACTTCTAGGTATTTTAACTGCATTCCAACTCATAAATAAATTTATTGCTTTTTTTCTTATTATTTAATTTATTTCCTGGCGTCTCTTTCATTAATTTCAATCGAATTAATTGTAGGATTTTCATGTATTGTATATAATTTGTATCAACTTCTTTAATTTTATCAACGTTTCCCCACCACTCTAACTGCATTTTGTCGATTTAACTCATTTATTAACAACTAATTGGCTTTTAATAAGCTGTCTTTTCAGGCTTAAAAGTCGCGGTTTTGTCAACCGTTTAAAGTCGCAAGCGTTTGGTGTTTAATTTATTTAACCGTTTACGAATTTAATTTGCTATTAAAGTGATTTTTGATTACTGTGCTTTAGCTACTTATATAATACCAAAAATAAAGGCAACTGTATTTCCTTTTCAAAGTATAAGGTAATATTTGCATTTAAAACACAAAATTAACAATAATATTTTATCAAATGTAACGGTAGTTTCTCTCCCACTAACAAAAAACGCGATTGACGCCAGTGAAGCGTTTAAAAACGCACGCGTTTTCCTGCTCAGACTTCTGATTTCTGATTCCACTTCAACTTTAACTCAAACTTCAACTTCAGCTCGGATTCGATCGTATCGAATCACATAGAATCGGTTGATCAACCGGTCAGCATGAGTTGGCAAGAACCGACGCAGACTTGGCTATAATTATATTCTCAGTCGCATGTAGATTCTGCCGCATATTTTATTTATAAAACCCATTCAGCTGGCCATAGGAAACGCTGCTCACTTTTTATTTATTTATTTATTTATATGCGGCAACTTGTTGCTGTTTCGCTTTTTAAGCCTGATCAGCAGCCAGCAAGGTCGCTGCTTACATGTGCAAAAACTTGCAATGCAATTAAGTCTGGATAAATAACCAGTCTGATAATAGCGTTCTGGGCCTTGGCAAGCGGTATGCTAAAAGATTTTATGGTAATGCCAGCGATAATGACCAGACGCTCAGGAAACGGAAGACGAACTAAGAATTCTAAGCGAAATTCTAGGTAACTTGTTTCTTTATGTTTTATAAAATTTTACAAAATGTATAAAATAAATTTAAGTTCCAAGGTTTCATTTATATATACCAAGTAATTATCTATGTGCACCTGAAACGCTAATGCATCTTATCTTGATTCTTTACCTTCCCTATTTCGCATGGCTAATTGTCAGAAATCTCACACTTCAAGTATTTGCAACTTTTAAACCTAACATTTGCCGCAAAAAAAAACTATGACGGATATCCCCTAGAGGAAAATCTCCGTATAGCACTCACACGTGATAATTACTTGGCTATGGAAATTATAGATTTCATGCGTTAGCTATACTCCATATCTCATACATAAATTGATCAGAATTGTTTTTAAGTCAATTTAGCAATTTAAAGTTTAAGCACTTTCAAACAGAAATAGATAATAACAGAGAGTACAAAAAAATTTTAGGATTTATTTTTTAAATGGTATAGCATTTAAAAATTGTAATTTCACATACTTTTTCTCTGCTTTCCGAGCAATTTATTTAAATTTAGGGTATTAACACTTCCTTTTGTTCGATTTGATTTCTTGGTGTTTTCACTTTCATTGGCTTTTGTTGCTGTTGCTTTTGCCACCTTTTTTAAAGCTCATTGGGCTTTAAACTACATAAATTAACAAATTTTGTTGCTGTGTCAAACATGGTATTTCGTATGGACAATTTGTCCAACGCTTTTGTTTTGCTACGCACTTTTTGTTTTGGACAGCCCTTTGTTAACAGCATTTACCAACAACAAAAACGTCAAAAAACGTGCCGAGCAAACCCCAAAACCAGAAACGTCAGGTACCAAGCAAAACACAAAAACTACACTATTAAAAATGTTCTGTGTTTTAAATTTTAAATGCAATAATCTGAAATCCTACCTCTTAAACAAAATGCATTAGAAAAGTTTTTACGAGGAAGTACCATTAATTTAATTGAAACCCCATGAACAAACATATGTATACTTAAGAGAAACAACTGTAGTTTTTTTCAGTGCACCAAAAATTGAAAGCGCCAATGACTGAAAACAGCTGTTGCTGATTTGGTGTTGCAAGTTGCAGCAGTGCAAATCAAATATTTGGGAAGGTGGTTAATCAAGTAAAAGAAAACAAAAGGGAAAATAACTTGGTGACTTACTAACCCGCTAAACTTGTTGTTTTTCTCGCTTCGCTTCTGGTTCTACTTCTTCGCTGGTATTTCTTGTGATCTTTCTGCTTTTAAAGGTTTTTCGGTCACTGCAATTGTTTACCTCACTCACGCTTCTTTTTTGTTTTTAATTTTTCTCTTTACTTCTTTTGCAGCTTTTCTCGCTGTTTCCCTCTCGTTCGCACAGTTAGCACAGGTAAAAAAAAATATAGTAGTGAGCTCAAGATGATTTCGGTTTAGTATTTGTTATAGTAAATGCCGCCTGAGACGTCCGCCAACAAAGCTGGCCGCAATTGAACTGAGCTTGACTAAACGCGCTTACGGAAAATTATTTAATTCCGCTCGCAGTTTGCCGCCGCTGCCGACTTTGCCGTCGATCGGCGACGTCGATCGCCAACTTCCAACTTCGTTGTTGTTGCGTGTGGGCGGCAACATGTTGCTGCCGGCCGTCACACCAGCAACATGTTGCTTCCCATGGGGATGGGCGTGCCCAAAAGGGGCTAGGACTTGTCCCCCCTTGAGAACATTTGTTCACATACCAACATGTCAGGCAAAAATGACATTTAAAACGATTAGTAAAAGCAAAAAGTGGTTATTGTCGTTGAATATACATAATATAATTATACTAAGAACTTTATTTTATGTAGTGTATCATGTATATTTATGTATAATGTATCTTTATAAGCAACTAAGAGTTCTGATGATCGAATTTTGGGGTATTGAGTTGGCAAAACATTTTACTAAGTAAGTCCATTACTATAATCTAAGATTCAAAAACCCCCCTTTAAGAAAAAAACCCATACGAACCTGATCTAACTGTTCTTTTGTTTCCGACAATGTTTTTAAGTTGCGTTTGCGTGACACGCAGCAAAAAACTAAGCCGAGCTTAATTAGCCTCTCTTTTCGGGAAGTACTAATTGCAGCCCTGCGCCGGCAGACAACTGTACTTATATTCAATGAAATGCCGAAATTCATGAAACCCTTTCCGAAACTCGAGCTCCACGAATTAGTGACAATTTGGAGAACCAGTCATCCGTGTAAAGAGGGCTATATCGTGCGTACTTTGTACCTAGACTGGAGCGATTCCGGGGCTTAGCTAATGGATCGGAACCCAAGAGTGAAATAAAAAATAAAAAGTGTCAGGATAAAATTTTAGATACAAGAAACACTTGAATTTGAAAACAAATCTTTAGAAGTAAGGTCATCAATAGTAAGGGTAATTAATCAAAACGCATTATTAAAATGAATATATATTTTATTATTAAATTTATTTTATCGTAAAATGCAATTTGAAGGGTAACAGAAAAAAGAGCAATAAAATATAAACAACAATTTCCATATGAATAACCTGCATTTATTTCGATAATAAGAATTAACTTTGCAAAAAATGGCAAGCAATCAAAAATAATTGATTGCACTTAATAATAAATGGGTGATTAAAACTCTAATTAAAAATTCAGACTATTAAGGCATTTTTAGGTAATTTTGTATCCATAAAAAACTAAAATTATTGATAAGAAACCAGACTTAACTTTAAGTTTTGGTATGAATAAAAGAAGAACCTTTATTATTACAGAATTGTAGCGAAACCGGATACCGGAAGGCAAATGCGAAGAATTCTTGTGGGCAGTACAAACAATTGTCAAGTGGTTTTTGATTTAAAATCAAGAGCCCCAGTGATCTGCGTCATCACGCACTCATTTTGGACCAAGTCCAAGTCCTCCCGCTCCTCCCCCGAAAATTTGCCAACCAGAACCGTTCTCATTCTCAGCCAGCTCTCCATGTCCACGTCCACGGATCTGAGCCACGTTGAAATGTCCAAAAGTTTCGCTTGGCTGCGTATCAGTTGCGCATAATGCCCAAAGTCATTATGGCAAAAATCATAAAAAAAAAACTAAACGCTTAAAATGCTGAAATTAAAATTATATATCTGAACTATGAAATTGTTTATCGGAATAAAAGCGAGGCGCAGAAACGGCCAACTAGCGATGACAATCACAAAATTAAATTGGCAAAAAGTTAAGCCGTAGTAATTATAAATTACAAACTAGCACGAAACAAAAGAACTATGAACCCATAGCAAAACCTTCGACATAACATTAACCACTTTAAGTAGAATAAAGAACATAAAGTGTATACTATAAATACGATCAATTTTTTTTAATTTATTCAATTTTAGAGATGTCTACCTGTAAGTCTCCTTGAAATTATTCCGGGTTCAATCTTTTAGGTTCATTCACAGCCAATTTCCATTAAGCCGCATCCATTATTATAGACTGCTCCGAAATAAATATAGATAGCAAGTCGGTTGACTCAGCTCCTGGTTTCCACGTGTTACCGCAACGCCCGACGTCACCTCCCACTTACAACACGCATCCAACCCCCTTGGAATAGAGAAGGGTTAATGGGGAAATGGGAGGTTCAAGTGTCGCTCACTTACTTCAACCTCTACTTAGCTGCTTTCCAATCAAGAAAAGCTTAAAACATTTTGAAATTGCCTTTTTATACTCGTATATAATTTATTCAAAGTAAAAAATTCTGAAACATCATTTCTTTGGACATGTCACTGGCCCTAGAATTATTCTTCTTTATACATTGTATCACAGGCCTAAACCTAAATCATGAAAACATAAGTTTAACAGCCATTAAAACAAGTTGTGAACTGTGATCCTAAAAGTATGAATGACTAATTTTTCACATCTGCTCTCTTTTCATTTCGAAGAAGCAAAGGTTTCCTTAAACCGGTTCGAACACAAATATCAAAGGTCTTATCCTGCAATGACCTTCAATTTTATACCCATGTATAGTTAAAAAATAAAAGGTATTCCTGTAATTGTGCTGGAAAGTAGTTTTCTTGTTGATGCTACTTTTTCTTTAGAAAATTGTGCGGTTGAGAAGCTGTTTGGTGTTAAAGATTAGTTTTAGAGAAGACCAATCCTATTTCACTTAATTTGTCAAGGGGATGAGCTTAGTGGGCGGCGCCCTTTGGCCTCGGCAAGGTCACGACTGGAGCCAATCAAGCGCTGCCGCTCGAGCCGGGTCGAGAGTCAAACGACATAAAAAAAACAACAAAATAAAAAATGAAAATAGGTAATTGCTGGAGGCGCTAACAAGTTTCAGGTGGTTCGGAAAGGTGGATTCTACCTCGGCTGTCTCGGCGTAATCACATTTCGCAGTTGTCAATAGAAGGGGCAGGCACGTACTTATAAATCTTTATATGTTACTATTTGCCGAGCTGGACAAACAACGACGAGCGGGGGGCGGGGAACTGGATGCCACTTAAGTGCCATTATAAGACTACGATTTGCGATATAGACAAGTCATGATTACAGTTATCTCCACAACCGGTTTCACGTTTATCTGCTTTGAGTGGAGATAGTGAAAAGTTAAGGCGAGTGCATATGTCACTGCTGCAGCAGGTTGAGATACTCGTTCAGGACCATCTCCTCCTGGACGAGCGGCAAGTCCAGGTAGTCCTGATCGTTCTGGCTGAGGTCGGAATTGAAGCGCTCGTAAGCCTTGTTGGTCTCCATTTCGGAGCGGGCGTGCTTCAGCACCGCTTCAATGATCGGCGACGGGGGAGCAGCCTGCATCTGACCGGCGGAGGTCGAGGTGGAAGGCCCATCCGAGTCGAGGCCCTCGATCATACGGCTAGCACGCTCCATGGTCTGCTTGAGCTCATCCTCGCTCTGGAAGGCGCGCAGCAAACACTCGATGGCCCGCTCGACGTCGTTCGATGTGGTCTCGAGGGCCACGCGTACGTTCTCCTCCTTGAATCCTAGCTGAAGGAGATGGCCCAGCTTGACCAGGTCGACGGAGGCATGCGTAGGTGGCACAGCGGAGCGCAGCTCATCCGGCTCGTTCTGCAGCAGTTCCACCTAAAAGAAATTCAACAGTGTTTTACTTTAAAGCAACAGTATTACACTTTAAAATAATTAAGAAATAACAAATAACAATTCGGCAATTTAATTACCAACAGTAGTAATTAATAAACATAACCTTTTTCTCAAAATGTACTTTTTCAAACGTAAAAATCGAATCGCCTTTAAAGTTAGTCAATCATAGCTTAATTTCACGTTTTTGGTTTCATAATCTTTTATAATACATTTTTGCTGGACTTACCGCTTTGGCAAGATCATTTTTGGAGCGCTTCAAGGCCACTGTAGCCAGAGCAACTTCAAATCCCATTTCGTTAAGAGTGCAGACACTGCGAGGATTCACCCAATTGCTATCGTTGGCATCGGACCGCATCAAACGACGTTGCAGTGCCCGCTCCGCTTTCGACTGCTTTCGAGCATCTTTGAGCTGCTGGCGACGCTCCTGGATGAACTGCACTGCCAGCTCAACGTTGCCTTCGCCGGAACAGGAGCGCAGGGCCAGACGAGCCTCGGTCACGTCGAAGCCCATCTCCACCAGCAGTGTCAGTTGGTCCTCGTTGATCTTGAGCTCCCGCAGCAGCATGTTGGCCGCCTCGAATCGCTCGAAGGCCTCGTCGCGACGGTTTTGGTGGAACATAACCACGCCCTGGAGCAGCTGAAGGCGCATGATCAAGGCTCGCTCTGGACAAGCCTTGCCCTTCAGGGAGTACAGTCTCTCGAAGTTCTCGCCGTAGCTGCGACGAAAGTTGCGTCCGCAAATGGCCAAACGACGCTCGGCATCAGGCAGTTGGGTTACGTTCTTTAGGCACAGATAGCACCACACTATGTCCAAGTTGAGCAGCGCGTAGTTGTCCACCGACTCGAGGAACTGCGAGTCACAGGTGGCAAACGCTTCGTCGGCCTCCAAAAGCAGGAGCAGAGCTTCGTCATAATCCTCACGCAGCACGGCTGCACGGGCCTTCTCGCAGAAGCCCAGACCGACGAGCAGGGCGCGATTCTCAGCGGGTGGCAAAAACACTGGGCTGCCATTTTGGTCCTCCATCTATGGGATAAATACCATTACCATCTGCCCAATAGTTATAGTATTGGCAGTTAACAATAAACCTACCTCTACGAGATTATTTTCCGAGGAGACCACAGCCTCCACATCGGCCTTGATGCGATTGATCCTTTCATATAGAGCCTCGCTACGATTATCCCCATCGCCCACGATCACAAGCAACTGCTGGTTATTCTTTAGCTGCTGGGAAGCGAGAGTGGCGTCGGTGGCCACCATTCTTCCGGCAGCAATGCATTTAACGTGATCAGCATTCGGCAGTTGAAGTTTGTCGGCTATGGCCATCTGAAGATCGGAGCCCAGGGAGTTCAGGTCGCACTTTATGTCCAGAATATTGGTGGTGCCGCTGCGATTGTCAATGCGGCGAACCTTGAACGTGGCCATTCCGGTGGCGGTGAACTCTCGACGAGCGGCCAGCTTACGGAGTGCATTCTCCTGCAGCTCCGTCAAAATGAACTTGCAACGAGTAACATCGAGACTTAGTTTCCGGGAGTACTCATTGGCCAGATTCTGCAAGCAAAAACGATTGTTTGTTAACACACTAAATGCATCTAGACTGAATTCTGGGAAGTATACTGATTTTACAGGTTAATATAAACTTTACATTAACATGCAAAGGTATTCAACCATCGGACTACTGAAATTTGTTTAATGCGTGTTTGAACTCGAACCTCTAAAGCTCCTTCAATGCTGCCGAGATCCTCGGAGTAGTACGGTTCCTCCCAGAGTTTTACGCCCTCAGATTGGAGGCGTGCCCGCACCTGGATTAAGATATTGTCTAGATGCGACATTCCCGCGATGACGATGCAAGTGAAGTGCTTCTGGTGAAATATACAAACGAATCTATAGATCTTCCGAGATACGACACAAAGAAAGCCATAATATTTACCAATGATGTTATTGTTCTTCTTCTTCCTCAACGGCGCACATGTGTTTTTGGGCGCTACACAAAGAAAGATGGGCAGCCAGCGATTTCAGCTTGTTTTGGCCTTTTATTGTAAATAAAAGAAAACAGTAACAAATCGAACTGCACCGAAAACTATTAGAAACTAATGCTTGAAAAAACCAGTTTCTTTCGGATGCTGAACAAAATTAGTTTATTTTGGAAAAGAAATTTCAACAACGCAACAGAGGGTGCCCGCGAATCGGACTTGGCCGAAAAATTCTCTCAGTGACTCTCTCTTTTTTAAATCGCCTATTGGCTATCGATAACCAAGAACAACTTTTGTACCAGTCAGCAAAGTGTCAGCTAACAACTGCACAAGGCTTAATCTTGCATAAGCTAACTGATGCAAAATAATCAAGGCATTTCGTGTTTTCAACTTGTTTACTTGTTTTTACATTTAATTAGTTTATTAAATTTAAATCGTTTGCCTAACTCAAATGTCTCAGAATGGCAGTTTCTTATTTTTTAGCTGGTGAAGATGTTAATCTGTTATAGCACTTAGTTTTTTGTTTGCCCAAAATCGATAGTCTGAACCGATTTAATTTAAATTTAAATTTAAATTCAAGTTCGAGCAAAGTTTCCACCAATAAGTTTGTAAAGACATTTCAATGATGGATTCCCTTATATCATAACTACATAATGGCTTAACAGTGAGTAACAGTTTGATAATTAGATAAGAGCTTTTTTCGCATTCGTCGAGTGCTTCCATGCAATTTTTTTTTTATTTTCTTGTAAAATAGGCTATCAGCTCGGAAAGGATCACCAACTGACGTTGTAAAGGACCCGGACCAACCCCTTTTTGGTCGACCCCCTCCCTCGTTTTCCAGGTGGCACGGGGCATGCCTCGTCGCACCTGTCACATTTCGCCGGTGGTGAGTGTTTCTCGCGCTCGCCTCACCTGGAAATTTCAGTTACTCGCACACGGCGAACGCACGCGGCCGTCGAAGGATATATCCCCGATATATGTAAAAATAGAGAGATCCGATTCTGAGAACCGATCGAACTCCCGTCGACATGAAAACCCGCCAGTTGCCGGCGACCACGATGACGGCCTCGTTCCGGGCGAAACAACGGGATGTGGTGGCAGGCGGTAGGCTGGGCGGGATTCCCTGCGAGCGGGAGCGGAAGCACGAGGCCGCCAAGCGGGAGCGGGAGGAGCAACTGAAGCGAGAACGGGCGACGGCGGCGGCGGCAGCGGCGGCACAGCGGGTGCGACAGCATCGCAGGATGAGCACCGACAGGGATATCTCCAAGCGGAGGTTACCAAATCCCAAGGAGCGTCCACAATCAGCGGGAGTTGGCAGGACAACCGGAGGTGTAATTGGAGGTGGAACCCTTAATTTCCAACAAATCTTCACCGAAATAATACAATTTCCCTTTTTCGCAGCTTCACGAGGATCATCAGCAACCGGAGCTCGCACAACAAGAAGACCTAGAAGAACAGAACCACCAACTCCCTTAGAGAAAGCGCAGGATCCAGAACAGAGTAAGATAGTCGAGAAGGACGACTACGATGCCAAGGCCGAGCGGCTGAAGGAACAGCTCGAGGAATTGGCCGCCATGTCGGAACAGGAATTCGAGGTGAAGTTCCGGCAGTGGTTGGATCAGGAGGGAATTGCTCGGGAAATGCACTCCCACCTGCGGGTGGAGCTCATCCACTGCTTCAATAACACGGCTCTGGGTAAGGTTTAAAAAAATAACTATAGCCATATCGTGATGATCGTACAAATTTAACAAGAATACTTAAAATTAGATACTTATTTTTTCTAAAGGAATGATTGTATTTTAATATAGTTTCCTTAATAAAAATTTCTCGTTTTTCTTGACGAAATGGTTTTAAATATTTTTGAAAATGCTTGTAGATATATTTTCCACTCCTTTATTTTGTTTTTAATATTTGATCTAAAATGTTTTTGATAATCTAATCAAAGATAAATAAAAACAGTTGTTTTTTTCACTAATTACAATATCCACTTTTATTTTCCAGGTCAGCTTCTAAGCAAAGCGGCTGCGGTGCAGATGGCCCACTCCCACGCGCTGCTCCTTTCTCCTTTGGCGATGATCCTGCACACACTGGTGGCGGAGTTCCTTCACTCCCAGAACTGCCACTTCACCTTGTCGGTGTTCTGCAGCGAGACGCCGCACCGCCACAAATTGCCCGATTTCGGCAAGCGACCGGAGTTCCGATTCCAGCCGGAGGAACTGCAGCAAGTCCTCACCGCGGTGGTGGGCGGCGAGGAGGCGCCACAGGACGTGGAACTGCACCGCATAGTGGATGCCCACTACGCGGAGGACTTGGCGGGTCAGACGCAGTGTTTGCTGTTGGCTCTCATGCGATCGCTGGTGGAGATTCGAAGAACAATTCCTGTGGCGAAAGAGGAGCCGCCTGCAGTGACCCTGCAAGACTCCGGCTGCCAAACGGAGCCGTCTGCCTGCCTGGAAGCCCGCCCCGAGGTGGACACCAGTGGTCTCTATCAGGCGGAGGAGCACGAGTTGATTTTGGGCGCCGACGGAAGGAGTGTTTTTGTGGGCGCCCGCGTTTCACAATCGCTGCACTCCGTGGAGCAGCAACTGAATCAGCTGATGAGGAATCTGCGCCACTTGGCCAAGTCTTGTGCGCCGCCCATCGAGGTGATCAACGCCTCAGGGTTCGAGGATCTCCTAAAGAAGGAGCTGCGCGAAAGGGAGCGTCTTACGAAGGCTGGTCAGTCTTTCAATCCCAGCGAGGCGGTGATCAAACTTCCATCCGAAGAGAAGAAAGCTGAGCCGGTGGCTAGTAGGGGGGTCAGGAAGACGTGGTCCACTCGGACCTGGGACCCATCCAACTGCCCGCTCTGGACGTGCCTGTTCCCCGGCTGCCACGCCTCCACCCAGAGCAACTGGCCAGCTTGGCTGTGGTGCGGCAATCCCTGGAAAAAGTGCAGAAGAAGGCTCGCCGGCCGCAGGGCAGGATGTACGTGTCCGTGGAGCGAATGGAGCACCTCATGACCGACGTCTGTGGATGTGTCCAGCTGCTGGGCAACGTGCTCAACCTTTCCATGGAGCAGGAGCACTCGGTGGGCGAGCACAAGGGCTTCAAGGCGGGCTATCGCGAGGGATTCGGACATGGTCACTTCATGGGCGTGCAGGAGGGCCAAAAGCAGGAGCAGTTCGACAGGCGGAAGCGGGAGAAGCCACCGCCCGAAAAGCAGGATACCGCTAGTCAAGTGGAGAACCCCAAGACCAGTAGAGCAACCCAAACCACAAGGAAGTCGGCTGGCAAGGTGAATGTGCACACGCAAACGGATGAGAAGATCCTGCTGGATGCTGGCAATCAGACCGTCTCACAGTTGGGGGCCGCAAAGAGATCCTACGAACAGTGGATCCACGAGATGCTGCACAGCTCCAGTGGCCAGGTGTTCCTCGAGCGGGTGGAGCTCTCCCTGAACAAGGCACTCGAACTGCAGAAGGCGCGGCTGGACGAGCTCTACCAGGTGAAGCTGCGACACCAGGCGGAGATGCTGCGACTCAGCAGGCGGCAGAACTCCTGGCGGGTGAGTCTCGTGCCAAGTACCACAACTTTAATTACTTCAACATATAATATTGTGTACATCATTTTTATTTGCAATTTCCAACTCAGACTCTCTGCAAACGAGTGGAGCGAGACTCGCAATCTTCGGTGGAGGCGAAGGATCTGGTGCAGAAGATCTTCCGGCTGCTGGACCACTACGAATCACACCACCAGCAGCTGGCGGAGAAGATCCAGCAGACGGAGCTCGCGGCGGAGCAGGCGGCCCGCATCCTGCCCTTGTGGACGGATGGATCGGCAGGCGAAGGTGGAGCACCTGGCAACTGGAACTCGGCGGAGACCTCCGAAGTTACCTCCAGCGAGACTTGCTCCCCTCTTCCTGGGAGGAATGCCATTGGAGAGCATCCTGCCGATGGAAATCCTGGTGCCGTGAACTTGGACAAGTCCTTTGTGGAACAACACTCGTATTCCGGAATCAGTTATCCCTTTCAACTGTTGGCCATCGCACCGCCAGGAGAAGTTCCGGTTGCAGGTGCCCTTGTGGCCGTGAATCCTCGAGTTTGCAGCAATCCCTTGCCATTGGTTACTACGACGACCACCACCAGAACCAGAACCTATCTTAATCCAACGCCTACTGTACTTCCTGGTAATAATCCTAAGGCACCCAGCGATTCTAAAGTTCATGCTGTGAAAGGAAGTAGTAAGAATCGCACTTCTCCTCCTGGCGGTCCTCCACCAAGGTGGGTTATTTACCTGATCCTAGTTTTTGATCTGCAACTAAGTATATGCATTCTTTTCAGTATTTCCAGAGATGCTGCTACTGCAAGTGGCAGCCTCAGTGCTCCAAAAGAAGATTCCGTTCCCGAAGGAGGTGGACCACCTGTGGAAAATGTTTTACCATCCGCCACTGCAGCCATCTCACTGCCAACTCAACCAGCCGAAAAGAGCACCACTTCACCAGAACCCGCTCCGCTTCCTCCCGATCCTGCAAAGCCTTCCATGCACTCGGTGGCCACCAACACGATAGCACCACTTCCAATACAACTTACTGCAGTCAATAAATCAGCAATCAAATCCTCAAAGGGTCCCAGTTTCGAGGAGGCATTACTGAGTGCTAAGTAATTCTTTAACAATTTTAACAGCAGTTCTAGGTATAATGGTTTAATTGTTTCCTCCAACAGAACGCGCATGTTGCAGCTGGAACAGGAGAGCGACCTACTCGAGCAGAGCTTTCTCAGCTACCTGGAGAAGGCCAAGTCGAAGACCTCCGGGCAGAAAGCGACGGAGGAGCCCTCGAAGGCCCGGCGAATCCGCTCCAGCTGCCTGCGAGAACGTGAGCAAATGAATCGCACGTTGGACAATTTCCGGGATTGGCATCGACGGGTTCGCAAGGAGGATGCAGCCAGCCTGGCGCAACTGGAGGAGCTTCAAGTCCAACGCGTTATCCCAGGCTCCATGCTGGACTCCAAGGTCTCGTCTCCATTGGGATTATCGGAACAGGAGGAGGAAAGCTATCCCTTTACGAATGCCATTTCCGAGGCGAGAAACAAACTGCTGGGCGAGATTATTCCGGAGAGAAGGAGGGAAACTGAGGAGCTCCCGACGAAGATGCAGAAGGATTGGCAGGCTATCGCCCCGCCGGAGATCCCAGAAGCCCTAAATCCCGTTAAGCCACCGGAACTGGAACGCCTGCTAACCGATATTACTCCCGACATGACGAGGAGCAGCAGCAATGGCGAAATGAGCTTGCTCCTCCAGAAGGCCAAGGAAGCCCTCGGCGTGAGGACGCCGCATCCGCTCCTGGACTCAAGCAGCAGCAGCTCCAGCATGGAGTTGCCCCCCGTGGAAGCGAACAAAGCCAGGAGCTCGAAGCTCCAGCAATCCATGGCCAAAATGCAATTGCTCTTCGGTGGCGGAGAACCAGCGAAACCAAGCGTTGACCCACCGATTCCCGCCAAGCGAACTAGCAGACCTCTGAGTGCACCCAACCCAGGATCGGGATCGGGAACGAAGACGAGGCTGCAACCGCCTCGTCCCCACACGGCGCCCACTCTGCAGACGATCTGCGAAAAGGAGCCACCTGTCCTCCACCTGGACATCTCCACTTCCAGCTCGTCGCAGAGCACCACCTTGCCCGGAAGATCTCCAGTTGAAGCTTTCGAGGATCTGGTCACGGGCGCGGTGGTCGGTGGCCACCACCGGGATTCCACTCCGGAGACCTCCTACAGCCAGGCGTTCTGGAAACGCATGAACCTGTGAAACGAATAACGCAAAACCTCAATAAATACTTGTAAAAAGAAAACAAATCTAATCGTTTTTCGTATTTCATTGCTTTACTAATTGCGTTTAGAGTTGCACTTTTTAAAGAAGGTTTCGAGAAATGTGACCCATTACTGAACATAAGTTAGAATAAAAGTTTTTTTTTGGCCAAAAGTGCGCATTTATTTAATTTCAATGACCTATTTTCATTTAAACTACGGTTTACACCTGCGTGTACTTTTGATAAATTTGATGAGACCAAAATTGTGCGCTTACATTTAACAATTTATGTAGACCTGTTGAGACCATCTATATCTTGATTGTATAAGTATACCCTTGCAGAAGATATAGGAATGAAAAAATCTGAACAATTTTAGAATTTAGTGATGACTTCTTTGTCGTTTAACATAAAATACATAGTTATGGAATTATTGAATGTATAATTTTTGAATTATTTAGACGGACGACTATTCCATTAAAAATTGTAAATTCCCCTTGTTCTTTAAAGATATATATTTCATAAGCATCATATGTGATCAAGAAGATTTAGTTTTAGCTGCAAGGGTATAATAACTTCGGTTACCCGAAGAATACTTCCTTTCCACTTCTCAATGGTTATTTTTTCTCATTTTTGCAATAGACATATATATTCCTTAATTTCTGTCACCTTCATCCAAAAAAAAAAGTACTTGCTCTCGGTTTCATTGGCCGATTGATGAGATAATGACTTAGACGGCGGTGCCATTGATGAGATCGTAGGGATCCCTGGATCCCGGAGCACCCAACCCAAAGAGGCTGGCGTGGGATCGCCGGCGCTCCCTCTCAATCTCGTCCAGATCGAAGGCGTCGCTCACGAAGCTGGATCTCCGCTGCTGATCGTCGAAGGCATAGCCGCGCTGGAACTTCGGCGGACCGGAAATCGAGACCGGCACTCCTCCGGTTCCCCCAGTTGCAGGGACAGTGGCAGTTTGGCTCCCCGGGGCGGGATAAATGGGCTGCGGATGCTGCTGGTAGCCATTCGAGTAGTTCGATGGGGAAGAGGGAATCGCCGGGGGCCACTGCACCTGGGCCTGGTTTGGCTTGGTAGCCGATGCCACCAGTGGCAAGGTCAGCGTGGAGGAGACGAAGCGATTATGCGGCTGCGGCTGCGGCTGCTGCTGTTGGTTGAGCATCAACTGGGAGAACCTCTGCTGGCTGGCACCCAATGGATAGCCCTGGGAGGCCAGCGAGTCGGACGACTGCCGCAGGAAGCAGCGCGGCAGGGTGCGACTCTGGCCGAGATCGGCGGCGAGTGGCAGGGGCATCCGCATCCCCGGATAGCCGCCCACTCCGGGGAAGCCCCCATTGGTGTCCGTGTGCAGCGACAGGTTCGAGTTGAGCCTGCGCAGCGGCTGGCCCAAGGAGTCCACGCACATGGACGACCGCCGCGGCACCACCAACTGGGCGTGGTCTGCAAATAGGGATAAAAACAATAAAAAAAAAAATAGAATACCATTAAAAAATGTTATTTTTCAATTTAAAAATATAACTTATTAAATAGAAAATTTAAAGAGGTTTAATCTCACCTCCCACCACGTAGAGGTGGTCCTCCTCCATGCGGAAGTGCCTGAAACCGTGATCATCCCCGTCGGCGTCGTCGTCATCATCGCGATTGGGAATCTCCGGGGGCTCCTCCCGCTTTCCCTGATCCTCCGGCTGCTCCTCCTCCTCGTCCGCCTCCTCATCCTCGCCGCCACTGATGTAGTAGATGTTCTTGGGCTTACTGCGCATCCCGGCCCGTCGGCAGAACTCCTGGAAGAGCTCATCCTTGGTCTTCCTTAGGCCCCTCTTCAGGCCACAGAGTCGCGACTGCTCCTCCAGCTGGGAGTGGGACTGCGGATTGTTGGACATCTTCGTGTTCGTATTGGTGGCCATGTTCCGCTGCTGTTTGCGCTTCATTTGGCCGGAGGCCGGATATATATCGGTGGCCGTGGACACGGATCGGGTGAGCGGAAACTCCTGTGGCAAGTCGGCGAAGAGCGGGGGAGCCGGCAGGGGGTCGGGTTCCAAGGGAAGAGCGGGCAAGGGGGCAGGAGCGGGTAGGGAAAGGGGAACAGGACAGGGAACGGGAACGGGAACAGGAGCGGACGCAACCGTTGCCTCTGGACAGAGCTCATTCAGCGACTTGGCGAAACTGCGCGAGTGAAGATTGCATTTCGACACCGCCGGCTTCTCGAAGTAAAAGCTAAAATGATGGTTCCACAAACAATTTTATTTATAAATAAAAAAAAAAACAATATATTTTAATATTGTATTGAAAAAGTATAAAAATGTATAGAACTTAAGGAAAAGAATTTGTTTCATCGAAGTAGGAATAGAATTTATTTATTATTTGACCATCTAAAGTAGATAGTGCTTTTTATATCATAAGTTGATTCTTAAAATGCAGAACAATTTATTCTCAATAAATAAAAACAAATAGTTAAATTCTGATTTCTGATTTAATTTGTGTAAGTGTGAATAAAAATAATTCATTAAAATTGTAACTGAATAAAATTTAGTTTCATTCTATTTTAACACGAAAATGGTATAACCGAACTCACCGCGTTTCCAGATCGTTGTGCAGATAGAGATTCAAGTTCGAGCCGGCATTGGGATGCTTGCGACAGGCTCCTGGAAGGGTCTGAGTCTGGCCGGGATGACCCATTAGACCGGGATTGCCATGGAGTCCACGACCCGCATCGTGGACCTGATGGAGTCGCGAGTTGGCGGTCCTGAGGATTCCGTGGGTGGGCTGGACCCCCGACTGCGGCTGGTGGTGACCCCGTCCCTGTCCCTGTCCCTGACCCGCACCACCGAGTCCTTCCTGGCTGGCGGCGGTGGTGCTGGTGGTGGTGGTGGTGCTGTTGGTGGTGCCGGGCTGCTTGTAGCGCTTGTAGGAATCGCTCAGCGGGCGCTGGCCCTCCTTGAACTTGGCATGGATGTTCGCCACACTGAAGCAGGGCAGGCGCTAAAGGAAGACGTATATATGCGGATATATATACTATGTACTATATGTATAGTAAGTTAAGTGGATAGAGTAGACAGGGAGCGGCGGATAAGTTGCAGATAGTCCCGGCGGACTCATCCGGCGACGCATGCATTTAACTTGAAAGGTTTCTGCAGTCAAGCGAGAGAATTGCGAATCAAGAGGTGGCCAATGTCATGGGGGATTCAAGGATGCACTAACCGAAAGCTAATTCACTGACAAATCAAGGTTACTTCAAAGGTTGTTACAAAAAAAAAAGGTGTTTTCATGATAATTGCAAGATGATAACTTGAATGGCAAAAAGAAAAAAAGTATCTTAATATCGCTTGTTGATTAATAATATTTTATACACCTAATTATTCATGGTTTATTTCTATTAGATTAGTCCATGGATTTATTTAAATCACTTACACTGTAGTAGCTAATCTCCTGCAAGTTGATGAATAGAAATATGTTCAGGACACCAACGAATTCCGTGACAATAAATCCAAAGACAAAGAGAAAGAAACTTTGGCCATAGGAAACCTTGATGAGAGCAGGCTGCAAAGTGGAGCGGGGTCTCAACTTCGAGCCGATTTCGGCCTTTAGTATAGATATATAGGCAATCAGGCCAATCAGCATCACCAGACCTAAAATCGAGTTAACTAAAGTGTGTTAATTTTTGTGAACTTTAACGTACTCACCGCTAACAATAAAGAGAATTCCGGCGCTGAAATAATACAGATTGTTCTGGTGCGAGCACGTCGGGATGAGGAAAACTATAAAGCTGATCACCAAAAAGATACCGGCAGCCAGGAAAATTGGGCAAGACTTTGTGACCGTATCTGTCAAATAATAATCAAGGAGTATTGCGTTTTTTACTTGCTTTTGAAAGAAATGTTAATAAAATATTGGTCCCCTGTTTGGTGTCCGTTTTTTAAGCCCTATAATTGTCTTTTGACTTTCAAACTTTTGTGATTTTAACAATTTTTTCCCCTTTGTCCTTTCGGTGAGTGGCAAAATATCCTGCGGCGAAACAAAAACTCGCAGAGATAAAGAAGGTACCTTTTAAAAACAAGAAAACCAAAAAAAAAATACTCGCACTCGGAGAGCATCGCCCTTTTTGGCCGACTGTTTAATAGTTTTATTTTCGAAATTGTTACCCGCGGCCAGTTTGAAATTAGTTTGACCGCTGGAACAAAACAAAATTAATGGGAATATTTGAAATCGATGGGGACAATTGTGTGAAAATTAATGGAATTTCAACTGGCCTTCGATATTGGTGTTTTGGCCGAGAAGAGAAAAGTGTTTGTGTGTTGTTTGGGGGAAGTTCATTTGGCCAGCTATGAAATGTGGGCAAAAATCTTATAATGGTTATTGAAAATGCTCAACTGTTGTCACCGCCTGACCCCGATACACATTTCGTTTCATTCTCGGCGAGACCACAAATCATTGGAACAAAACTTTGCCGACGAAGCCAAAGGCCTTTAATTAAAATTCATCCAACTAAAGTTGTATTATGTACATGTGCGTTTGTGGGCCAACTAACAACAATAAATCAATTTCAATTTGCTCTAGTCATCGAAGGGGAAAGTGCGGGAAATGAGGAAAGGAGGGGGACATTCACCTGGTTAAATGGCAAATGCCTGTTAAGCCCATTAGGATTTAGTTGAGTCTTAAAACGGGGCAGTTAAGATGGATTCATCAAGCGGAGGCCTTGGCAGCAGGCCAATTATTGAAATTGCACACGGAGGAAAATAATATTTTGTGCGCAGGGTCTTTAAAAATATACTCCTTTGTTTATGGAGCATATATTGGTTTCGAAGAAAAGCTGCTGATAGTGGCTACTTACAGGGTATCGCAGCTGTCGAGTCGTGCGGATCCGGTTGGTATCCCTCCTTGGGAAAATAGTCAATCTTAACGCAGTTGTACGAGTCAACATCCAGGCCTAAAAGTAAATATTAAATAAAAATACAAAAACATAAACAATCTTTGTATTCCTCACACTTTGAACCCATTTGAATTTTGTATAACCTCCCTCCTTTCCAAATTAGCAAAATATGGATTTCCAATAACTTTTTTAATTTTTCTCCGATTTACAAGTTGCATACATCCCAACAATACAATCCCAACACTCCTATAACCATAACTTTTCTAATTTTTATCCGATTTATATCTCTATGAATTTGTTATTCAAATATCTATCAAGTTGCATCATTAGTTTATTTTTGGTTTAATTATCGATGCTGCATCATTAGTTTACTTTTGGTTTTTTTTTTATCGATGTTTTGTCATTTTTTATTATGTCCCAAATCCGAACATTCCTGTGCCCATAACTTTTCTGATTTTATTCCGATTTACAAGTGGCACATCTCTATCAATTTGTTACTTAAATATAAAACATTGTCATTAGTTTGCTTTGGAACATGGTAATCCTTGAGTTTATAATCCCAATACAAATGTAGACAAAACAAAAAACACTTGCACTTAGAAAAGAGTATATGAAACCGGACTCCCGAGGAATCCCCCTAAAAACAGGATGCTGTTGGCCAGGAAGAAGCTCAAAGCGAAGGACCCATCGAAGCTCCACGAGGAGCCAACTCCTTCAAAGAAGCCAAAAGCTAAGGCCAAGCTACAATCGAAGGTAAAGAGCAAAGGAAAGGGAAAGGGGAAGGAAAAGGAAAAGGGGAAGGAGAAGGAGAAGAAGAAGGCAAAGGAGTTCGGATCGAGCAGCTCCTTGGTGGAACGAGGCAGTGGCGACGGACCCCGTCAGGTGGCGGAGCAGCCCAGCTTGGTGGCGCTCCACTTCATGGACATCTCGCTGCGCCACTCGGACATCCAGCTGCTCCAATCGCCGAAGGAGGGCGTCAATGAGCGCCTGGTTGGCTTCTACTTTGCGTATCTCCAGCAGCGGCGTTACCGCTCCGAGACGGACCTGTACTTCCTCAATCCGGCTGTGACCGCCCGACTGCGCCACATGGACATGCGGCAACTGTGGGCACTCGTCCGCGAACGGCGCCTCCACGAGCGGCAGTTCATCCTCCTGCCGCTGGCCACCCATCCGAGGTGGGTTCTTAGCTTTTCCAATTAATGTTTGCATGATTAATGATTGATTGGGTCTCTGAGCATTTAGCTAAGTGAAGTTCCTTTAATTAACACTACTTTATAATTATTTGGATTTGTATCAACCTAAAACTTTGATTTTCCAATACAGACATACATATTGGTGTTGATCTGTATTTAAATTTTTATTTAACTGCGCTTTTAATTTATTTTCTCCATATTTCCCTTCATTTGTTTAATATCTTTAATTTAATGGGGAAACAATTTAAATTAAATATTTAATATATATATTTGTTATCTTTCAAATATTATTTTTCAAATTTAACTAGAGCCCACGGACACTGGTCTCTGTTGTTGATTTCCCGGCCGGACGGCAAGTTCTACCACTTTGATTCGCTGGACAACTGCCACTCGCCTTTGGCCGCCGCGGTTTCGGAAACTTTGCGAGCGCCCCTCCAAGCCTGGAAGTTCGTCCTAGTGACCGGTCGCTGTCTACAGCAGCAGCAGGAGCAGTCGTCCCCCAACAAGGATCCGACCTCCGGCATCCACCTGATGTGCATGGCCGACCACGTGGCCGACTACGTTGCCCGCTGCGGATATGCCACCAGTTCGCTGCTCATCTCCTGGGATCAAATCGCCGCAATGCGCAGCCACCTGCTCGAGCTGATCCTCTCGCTCGGAGGCATCCTGCCCCCCAAAAAGGGACGCTAAAGCGGGATTTCTAACCCCAAGACGCCCCAAGTTCAGTTGACTTTTATTTGTTGCAGCAAAAATTAACGAGAATCGATTAAAGCCATTGCAAATTGTAGAGAAATGGTTCTTAATACGCCACCAACTAATACATAAATTAAATTGATTTTAAATCGGATAAGTTCAACAACTTATTATAATTTCTTGTTTAACCCACAAACATCATAAAAACCAGCTCAGTTCACCTGCATCTTTTCAAAAAAAAAAAAAAACAAGCATTAAGAAGACAACTGCCGGAATGCGCCTTATTTAAGCGAATGATTGATTGATTGTTTGATTGACTGGGTGACCGGGTGACCGGGTGACTGGGTGACTGGTTGACTGGTTGACTGGATGACTGGATGGCCAATTGACTGACTGCAGTTTAATTTGGTCAAATCCGGAGCCTTCGGTTATTTTAACCGCAAAAATCCAGGCGATGCGCACACGTCATTGTTCGTTCGTCGCCCAAGCGACCAAAATGGAGAACCGCAAGCCGTTCTCCCGGAAAAACATAAAGGCAAACCGGGAATGGGAATACCAAAAAATCGGACCACTCTGAACGAAAACGAAATCCCCGGAGATGGCACATCTGTCTTCATTTCGCCATGTGTGGCTCCACCATCATTGCATCGAGGGCTGGCGAGGAATGTGCGAGAGGAACTCACTCACCTGGCAGCGTGGTGCACAATATCCAGAGACTGGACTTTGTGTACTTGGTGATGTAGGCGCCATCGTCCAGGGCATTGAAGTTGGCCGTTCCATTGTAGTTGGCATTGGGCAGCTTCTCCTCCGTAAAGAGCCACTGGGGTCCTGCCAAAGCGGCGATGACAATGGCAACCGATATGCTGCAGGAACGAAACGAACGGAGTGCGAATTATACACTTGACAAAAAGTCGACTCGAGTTATGAATTTAGTAATCTCCTTTGCAACAAATGTAAATAAAAAAAACTTGAATCTTCAAAAGTTAACGATAAAAATCAAAAAAAGAACTGAAGCGATTAGGAAGACTTGGTTTTGTTTAAATAAAACTAATCTTTTGATATCCTAAGAAAAATTCTAGAAAAATATTGCCCATATTTTAATTTAAAAAAAATTTCATAAAAGTTATCATAAAAATATATACTTTTTGTTTTATTGAATTTATCTATTGTTGTTTTTATTGCAAATTGATTAGAAGAAATTTTATTAAAAAGTATTGCATTCAAAATTTCTCTTGATTTAGAAGACAGCGTTTTTCCAATTTTTTTTAGTGCTTTTTGAGAGAGAAGAAAGTTGCATTCTCTAAATCAAAATCGATGTGGGCGTCGAGTTTTGGGGTCGTGGTGTAATCAAGGGAAATGCCTATTCCAGGTTCTCCGGTCGCACCAAAAATTGTGTGAGGCTGCTGATTAAAAAATACTTCAACCTGTTTTGTGGTCGGGGGGGGCACTGCCAAAAACGAGGCCAAAAATCCACAAAAACAAAAAAAGTTAATGTGAGCGAGTTCAACCCACACACCCACCCACCCACACAGACGCTAACACACACGCACACACATACATCCACCCGTAGTGATATGCAAATAAATGTCGCCACCCAAAACGAGGAGCACAAATAAAAATGTTGGCGCTGAAAAATGTAAAAAAAAAATTGAAGCATTGGAAATGCGAAAAAAAGGTCAGTTTTTTTTTTAGAGGGATCGCAGTAGGAAGTCGTCGCCTCGTCACCCAGGTATTCGTAAATACATTCATGAGTGCACTCGAACGCCAATATTTGCTCAGTTCGACAGCGAGTGTAGTCAGAAGTGCAAAGATGGATTTTATGTGTTGTTATAGTACTCAATATTGTTTTAAAAAATTGCCAATTGATTTATTCAGCAAGCTGCGGGGATGTTCAACACATTTTTTTAATTGAATAAAAATCAGAGCATTTGCATTATTCCAATTAAGTTTCCATAAGGAGATAAATGGAAAAATATATTTGAATTTTTAGTAAAAAAAAGAGTTTTTTTTATTATAATAAAGAAATCATTTCGCTGTTTTCTCTGTTAAGTTAACAGCCTTAAAACTGTTAAATACTTTTACCACACTAATTTTTTTATGCGATTAATTTTCACCGAATAGGCCATGCCGAATGCAAAGCAAGTGTCAAAAACGCAAGTCACGCTAATCACCTGATTCTGCCCACTTTCATTCGGTCCTTTGAACCCGATAGAACAAATTCGGTTTAATTTGCAATTTTTTTGCAGCCACCTTTTTTTTAATAATTTTTAAAAAATAATCTATAATAGTATTAGTCATGCGCAGCCTACTTTCGCATCGGTATGACAACAAGCGCGAGGAATTCTACGAGCGTTACGAAGGTGAGTAAGCAAAAAAATAAGGGGAATAAAAAAAGGGGTAATTAGCATTAGTATTTGTAAGCGATGTATTTGTATTTGTATTTGTATTCGATGTTTGCAGAGGCTAGGAAACGTCACCCGAATTTGCCACTTTACGAACGTCCGTTGGAGCCGACGAAGCTGCAGGTTTTCAACGCCAGCAGTCGGCGCTTTCAATCGTATCGGCAATTTTCGAATTTGTCACGCGAGCAGTTGGAAAGCGATTCCTGGCTGTCGAGCAACCAGCTCTCGATTGTTTTAAGAAGTGAAATCGAACAGATAACCGGCACGCCGACAATGCCGCGCTACGATCCGTCGACGGCCACCCATGAATTTAGCCACAATGGCAAGCCCCGTCGTGGTCGTCCTCCATCGGCCGCCACTGTGGCCAAATCCATTTCGGATTTTGCCGTTCAGGTTGGCGGATTGCCTGTTCCCGTTCCGGTTTTCGACTCCGATGAGAGCGGCGAATCGCAGGAGGAGGAGGAAGAGGAGGAGACCGGCGAGTCGAAGGAATCGGAGGAGGAGGAGTCCGGTGTATCGAAGGAGGAGGAGTCCGGTGAGTCGAAGGAGTCGGAAGAGGAGGAAATAACCATTGATCTCGACTTCGACGATCCCGAGCTGAAATTGGAGCCAGAGCCAGAGATTGAGTATACTTTGGCCAAGTTTCAGTCGATTCAAGAGGTGACGAAGAAGAACAAGCCAGTTGAGAAGAAATCAAAAAAGAACTTGATGTTCGAAAACGAGGAAAACAAATTTGTGGACGAAAATAAGCCACCATTGGGCACTTACCCATGCCCAAAGCCAAACTGTCAGCAAGTCTTCAAGGGTCGGTAAGTGCAAGTCATACGTAAAAAAAAATTCATAAAAAAATATGAAAACTTGGCCTACATTAAAGGTTATGTATATATGCATATCTAAAATTTCGTAGAGTATGTAGTATGTAACGTAGGCATACATTGAAGGTTATGTACACATTCTGATCAAAATGTTCATAGAGAGTATGAAACCTAGGCATACATTCTTGTTTATACGTTTACATATTCATAACAGTGTTGCCACACATGTGAGCTTTTTACGTACGTGTGTGTTGCACTGCAGCGCTTTATTTGAAAGTGTGTGTGCCATTTGCCGTTTCTGCTGTGTGCGTGTGACAGCACGGCGAACTGCTTTGCCGACCACTGATTTATTACATTCATCATGGCGGCATTCAATTATTTATACACATTTTTTTTTATTATCATTTCAGCCGCGGATTGTACAAGCACCAGCGCGAGTCTGGGCACCACAGCTGGTCACACAAGTGCGTGGAGTGTGGCCAGGTCTTCCGCACAGCGGGCTTCAAACGCATGCACTCGAACAAAGCCTGCGAGCGCAATCTGCACAAGTTGCGAAGCTCAAAACCGAATGAATTCAAACAACTTGTGCTGGGAACAATCCAGAAATAAATCCGCCATACCTCTCTCACTTATTCCCCATTTGTGCCACACATCGAGAAATAATTTGATATTTGAATAAAGGCCTTTTTTTCATTTCAAAGAGTATTTTGTTTTGTCTATACATAACCAACACAAATACCACTTTCAAACAAAATAATTTTAATTAATATTAAATAAATATTTTCCTTCGTTATTTTAAAGCAAATTGCAATACACAAAACATATACAATAAAATTGTAAGAAAAATGTGTTTTTAGTATTTTTTTGCAGTGCACTTTCGTGCAAAATAGTTTGCGAACAAATTAAGCCCACTTTGCAGTGATTTGTGTCGCTAACACAATTATTTGTCAAGCAACAAGGATGAAGAAGGCGGCAAGATGTCGGAGTGTCCTCATGTCCTGATGTCCTGATGTCCTGGCTGCTCCTGTGACAGAAACGGGCTGCCTTTTCCAGTTGCGGAGCACGTGAAACCAGCTTTCCTTAGCTTCTTTAAAAATAAACCGAATGGGCGGAAATTGTGTGTGCGTCCTCTGCTGGAATTCAAGCTGCTGGCATTCATGTTGTTCGCCATTGCTTTAAAGGATTCTACTACTTAGTTCTCTCCCTATCGGAATTTCATGCATTTTCCTTCACAAAAAAAATCTGTGACATTGGATCCTTGAAAAAAATCACAATAGGAAGTAGCGTACAAAGTCGGATAAAGCTGTGCTGACTAAAAGAAACAACACTTGAAACTTGGCTAAAAATAAAGTAGAACAACTGGGACAAGCCCTGAGCAGAAAAAAGGTATAAACATATTTATAACACGAAATAAACCCAAATTAACCTTTTGTTGAGATATAATTAATATTTTATTTGAAGATCAAAAATTTTCAGGAATTTAATTAGCAAAACAAAAATGAATATATTTTAGATATATTTCATATTATTATTTTTTAAGGGTATCTTTTCTTTATAAGTTATATTTCAATATTTCCAATTCAATATATGGCAATGTTCTGTTTTTCTATTATATAGAGCCCTGATTCCGTACTAACCTTGCTGCAACAGGTGTGAGGAGCCACAGGTAACCTCCGTGGACACTGGTTATATCGGTGATGCCACCCTGTGGATCCGGAGCACCTGCAACACCACTGGCCAGGCGATGCTGCTGCCGTCGCTGGACATGTTGCTGCTTCGTCTGTTGCAGTTGCACCTCTCTAACCGACTGGTGGCGACTTGAAAAGGCCACCTGTCGCTGCTGTTGATTTTGGTGTTGCTGTTGCTGCTGTTGTTGCTGTTGTTGATGTTGCTGTTGCTGTTGTTGTCGCCTGCTGTTGTTGTTGCTCCTGCTGATGCTGTTGCTGACGTGATTGCTAATGTTGCTTATGTTGTTCAGCTGGAGATCACTGAAGCTGCCAGCCAGGGAATCAAATCCCGTCGCTGGAATGCTGCCAGAGATAGTGTTGATCAAACCAGCTTGCTGATGTTGCTGCGTTGCAAATCGCTGGCCTCGGGGCAATGTTGCATACGGTGAGTGTTGCTGGTGTTGTTGCTGTTGATGGTGCAGCAACTGTTGCTGCTGCGGCTGCTGCAGTTGCTGTTTCTGCTGTTGCTGCTGCGATGGATGACTGTGCTCGATGGATGCACTGGTGGTCAACTGGTGAATGGCCATCGGCTGGCGTTCGATGGTGTTGCTGTTGGCATTTGCTGGCCGGATGTTGTTGTAGGGATTCTCACTGTTGATGCTGTGCGTGGAGGCCACGCGAAACACATTGGGCACCGATGGATAATCCCTCATTTTCACTTTCAACTTTCCACTCCACAGAGAAACGAAACAACGAAAAAAAAAATGCAAAAAAAAGAAACTTAAATAAATTCAACACTTTGAAAGCGCGCCAAAAAAAGGATTTAGGTTTGAATTCCTGGCTGGCACGTCCGCTGTGCTGAAGAACTTTCACTCGACTAAGGGAAACTTTGGTCCTGTCCAAAAGGACTCGACTCGGAAGCGTCAACCGAACCGAAACGAGTCGCTTCGGCTGCTCCGGATGATGATGTTGCTGACGTGATAATCGTATTGGTGTTGCTGCTGTTGCTGCTGTTGCTGTTGCTTTAGCTGCTGCTCACAGGCACTGATTATAAAACAAAGCAGCCATATTTTATCTCAGCCTTTGATGGTCACCATCCAACAGCAATCCACAACACAACGATGTCCATCGCCAATCCCTGATTCGTCGCTTTCTTGGCAGACTTAAATTAAGTGGTTATGGCCAATAGAATATTAACTTTCACATTATCACGGACAGAAAGTTACGAATATCTTGGACATCAATTATTCCAAATATTAAAAACACAAGCATTACACAACCGAAATGTGTGCACTGAAATTATGAGAGTATTAAAATTAAAAAAAATCACTTGTGTAATTATAACAAATCAAATAAAATATTAATTTGGGAATTAGTTTTAACGGTTTTAAAAAATATTTTCAAATTAGTTATGACCAATCTTAACTATAGGGAATCTACTTGAATTACCACTCCTTTTTATTTTTTTATAAGCAAAGAAATTAATATTCTTTCTTCTTAATAATAAATGTTGAACGAATTTATAGCAGTGTGGTCCTGCGGCAACCAGGAGTGGCAACAACAACAACCAGCAGACGTTTGCAACTTCCGTTGTTAGCTAAAAGTGACTTCCGGTCGCTAGGGGATTCCCACTGTCTGTCTGTGTGCGTGCATGTGTGCAAGTGTTGGTTGGTGTGTGTCTGTGTGTGTGGCCATATGTGGGGATACGGATATGGGATATAGCAATCGGAGTTGTTGCTGCACTCGCCAGCAAATCCAAGCATTATTGCAAACCGCCCAAAAGCACAGCCCTCTCATCTCATCTCATCTCGTTTCGCTGCAGCTCTCGTTTATTTAATTGAATTCCCACATGTGATTGAGGTAAGTTCGTGCCATGATTGTGCCACATTAAAAGGGTACGGCCAACAAAGCTACCCCAAACCCCCCCCAAGCCCCAAGCCCCACCCCCTTTTGCCCCAAAAATAATACGCCCACTTCGTCACCCACATCTGCCTCAGTGAACCTGGTTAAGTGCACCTTGTGAAAGTGTGGAATTGCTGAGTGCAGGCACAAGAGCAGTCCGGCACAAAAGCTGAAGATTAAGCGCAAAAATCCGCACTTGGGAAAATTCCTAAGCTCATTTGGGCTTTTCTTTAATTTTTAAATTTCCATTAACCAATAAAATTCGAACGTAAGCTTTCTTAGAAAATGTTTACTTGGATTAAACATGATTTAAAATCAAAAAGAGCGAAACTAACGAAAGCTGAAATCGCATTAACTGCAAAAATGCAAACCCAAGTCTTCTTATTAAGCTCTTATTCTCCATTAGCCAAGCTAAAATGTAAAACAAAGATCAGAATCTCTTTCTCAGTGCACCTTATCGTACCATTCTCGAAGTCCAATCATATTGCATATAGACGGATTCGGAGGAAGCGTATTTCATCAAAATTGGATTGGATAATGGCGTAAATGGCAGATGCATATGGGAGACACGTGTAATCGACTGAATGGAAAACAAAAGCCTCCGATTATTGGACACACAAAGGGCGTGCCAGCTTATTGGCCAAATAAGTCGAAAAACCATTGACAAAGACAATTAAGCCACCAGCCGACAGCCTGCAACTTCTGAAACATATGATTAGATTCTGATGAAAAAGTTGATGAAAAATCTGACAAAGGGATTGTCGTCGGTCAGCTCAGCAAATAGCGTTGAAAAACTATGGGCCAAATTCGATTTGCCTTGCGTAAATAGACTCAAATATTTGCCTAGCATTTCCGTTTGACAAGCAAACAAATTAATTAAAACCTTAATTAAATGGAAATCAGTTAGCAAACGAAATGTGCTCATTTAATGACAACAAGTTGTTGGACGCGGCTTTAATTTGCCGTAGAATTAAGCCTTCTGCAATCTCTACTTCAGCATTTAAATACATAGAGCCCAGTTTACAACAGAGTTTGTAAAAGTTTTCATCTGAATGCGCTGCAAATGTTGGCAACACTTTTCTCGTTTTCTTTTATTTTTCCCCCTCGTTTCCCCTGTTTTTTTTTTTTTTTTTTGTTTTTTTTGTAGAGCAAGAGAGGACTAACAAAATTTTCGTTTTTTGTTTGTGTTGTGCCTTTTGGCAGTTTACTTTGCCCTTTTTTCTAGTTTATTTTCCCTTTTTTTTGTTGTTAATTTTTTGTTATTTTTTGAGTATCATTTTGTTGCTGTTGCAACTGTCAAATGTTTGCCAATGCACACAGACACACCCGCGTCCATGTTGTTAATATTGTTGGCGGTATGTAAATGGTCGCGTGTGTGTGTGTGTGTGCGTATGAGTGCTGGAGTGTATGTGTGGGTTGCTAATTTTACTCAGTTGTCGGCGAATATATTGCAGTTGTCTACTTTAATTTTGCCACCACTTTATTGCATTCTGTGTCTTACATTCATATGAAAATTCCTTAGAAAACAGTGGTTTTCCCTTTAATTAATTGCGTCGCCAAGGGAACTCGTGAAAATGCTTTTCACCACACACCAACACAAAGCTGCAGATTATTAATTTTTAATTTTAAACCTAATTTAGCATATCAGTGCTGGTCAACGCAAAATAGATTGAATAATAAGCTTCTTTCATTTAATTTGGGGTTGGATTTAAAAAGTGAATAATCGTTTATTTCTAAGCTACTTATTTTGCTGCGAAGGCAAAACTAATTCGCAAAACTTTTACTCGCAATCAAAGCTAAAAATAAATGTAGTTGCTATTCCTAAATGGTATTAATTATGGTACACAGCAAAACGTGGGTGTAGTTAAGCTACTTAAAGTGGTTTTTTGATGAATTTAGTTGCATACATTAATTGGTATGGGATGTTTTCCTAATTCCACGTAATCTTGTTACACAGCTGCAATGTGACCTATTATTTTTTGTGCTGCTGTGTTGCAAGGGCCTCTTGTTGCCCGTTGCAAGTTGAGCGGCTCAGTTTCTTAGCACTCTTTGCTGCGGTCGTCCATTGTTTGCGAAAGTGGACCCCTAAATCCTATTTTGGCCACGGCAACAGTAACATCAACATCAACATCTGACAAGGCCAAGGCAAAACTTTGCCCACTCCACTATTTGCTTTCACAACAAGATGGTGCGGGGCATAAGTTCTATATTCCATATCCCTAAATTGATGCTTTAAAGTTGTCCGCTTTTTGGACATTTTTGCGACACTTTGTCAGCTTCAATTTACGCCGGGATTAGTTCGTGTTGCTATTGGTGTTGCTGCTGTTGTTGGTGGTGCTGCTACTGTTGCCATTTACCAAATATTGATTAAATGCACAAGACCCAAAGACTCGGATATCGGATAGGAGGATATCTAACATAGTGACACACATCGACCGCAGGGACAGATTTGTTGCTGTTCTGCTGACTGATTAGCGCTTTGGCGATGTTTCTGTTGTCGCCGGTGTTGCTTGAGTTGCTACTGTTGCCACTCTTGCCACTGTTGCCGTTGTGAAAATTGATGAGCAATTAAGGTTATTGACCAATCGCTTGGCGAAGGGTTGCTGCCTTCCAGGGGGCGGGCCTCAACGCTCCGCTGCCTTCCCGACTGACCCAATCACATATATATACGAGTACGTATACCTAGTATGTGAAACACCACTGAGAAAAATCCGCTCCATATAAGTAAGAAGGAATATCATACTCATTAGGTAAATGTTAAACTCTTTAGCATTACATATAAACTTAATTTGTATTATCATTATTACAATTATGTATTATGTGTTCATATTGTGATTTATTGTTATTGTTAAAATTTAATTGTCAAGTGTTGCCTTTCGATTAATTGGATGTTTTTTTATTGATTGGTGATAGTCGATTATTTTTATTTATTGTCAGTGTTGCATGTTAAACAGAAATTGTTTATATAGTTAAGTTTTAGTTTGTTTATTTAGCTTCAGCTAAATGCATGATTTTGAAAATTAATTTTTGTTTGTATAACTACGTAATCTTTTCGCTCAGTGCAGCTGTAGTCGCAGATCCATCGAAGCGACAACAATGCCGACAGCCTGCCGAGGAGCAGCCATAACCAGACCACTTGCTCATCCTGCGCCGGATGGGAAGCGTCAAACGGAAACGGAAGCAATTGACTGAGTGACAGGTTCTCCGACCCCTCATCCTCTCATCATCTCTCACCCCTCGCTCCTTAAAACACCACCAACTGAAAGCACCCTGATTAACATTAACTGATTTAAGGTGAACGACTAACCTAAATCCACAGCAACTCCGGTGGCAACAGCGGCAACTTCAGGAGCAAGTGGAGCGGAAGGAGAATGTGGCCAACAAACGAAATGAGCAAAGGACCCGCAATTAATTTTGCACATGCATTTGCCACGCCCACCGCTACCCGCTCACCGCTCACCGCCCGCACGCCTACATCCATTGCCACCTTCGCCTGTCCGCAGGATGGCTCCCGGCTGGCTCATAAATTAAGTCAACAAAATTGAGTATTTAATTGACGGCTCACAATCCAATAAAAAGGTAGCTTGTGGTGGCCAAAAGGGAAGCGATTTATTTGATTTGCATTTCGTTAAAAATATGAAAAAATCCAATTTCATTGCGAATAATATCGAGCGAAAACATGAGTCAATATTTGCCCGACTTCGGGACTCAATCATTCGGCCGTGTTTTCCATTAAATAAGGCCTGGAACATATAGACAGTGCAGCCTGCCTCTATTGAAATCGTGAAGCCTTTGGCTAATTTTTCTTTAAACAAGAAAAAACCTATATTCATTTTAGTTTGTGTTCTATTTATTTATAAAATATGGCTTTATTTTCGTAGAGAACAAATTAAATATTCATTCACTTAAGCTGTACTGTATGTGTGCAGACCCCAGGGCACGTGACCAGGCGTCGGGTTAAAAATAAAGCAAGGACCTGTTAAATTGGGATTAAATCCTTCTGTTTGTGTGCCATACTTACAAACACACACACACACACACATACACGTAGGCAGCACTTTACACAAGGCTTTGAAGTCCCGCTTAGTTAATTAACCCTTTGGCCCCCCTAAATATGCAACAGTTTTCCACGCGACCTGCAATTGACTGCTTTTCGCACTGCTTGACAACTGCTTGTCTGAGTGATACACGTAATTAAAGTTTGTAGCGAATATTCTATGAAAAAAGAACTCTTCCACCCACACAAGTTGGCCAACCAGCGGTGGAAAGATGAAAAAAGTTAGAAGGCCTTTAAAAGCAGCACCGCACAATTTGAATACATGTATAAATAACGTGATGAGCAAGTAAGAGGCACTGAGGAAAATATTTGTTTTAAAATCCTAAAATAATAAATGAAAACTGAAACCATTGATATTGCTTTCTGCTTATTAACTAACAATCTTCATTAAATGTTATTAGTTTATTTTTGATATAATTATCATATCATCAAACCACTTTTTATTAAAATCCAAAACCTAAGTGTACACTTTTACTGAGTTTGGTAGTGAAACAACCCGTTGGAATCGCAGACAGCAGAGAAACCGCATCAAATATTAAAAATGTCGTTTGGTCAACCTTCCGAGAGTTTTGTCCTGGCCCACGGCTTCGAGCTGGCCAACTGAACATTGTCCTCGGCTGTTGGTCAAAAGTTAGGTCCGGATCTGTGGCCACTTGCATGCATTAATTGCACTCCCTTCGCTCCCTTCAATCCTCAGGCTTCTGTTTACCCACGAAGGCCGAAACTGAATATTCCCTCTACTTAGCCTAGAACTGACTATTTTCAACAGCCAATGTCTGTCGGGGAAACCTTAGTGGTCGGTAACTGCATACGGCTTTAATTGGCATAAATATGCCATCACGGAGGGTCAAAACCGAGCAAATCGTTCTACATGTAGCCAAAAGTATTGAGTTTCATTGGCGAAATTCTAATTAGTTATGCACTACAAGCGATAAACTCGCTTAACATAATTGTAATGGAATTTCTGCATTGAATATTATATGTATATAAAAGAAAGCACTTACCTTCTTGAATTACCACTTTAGATTTCATTTCTAAATATTAACAATTTCTTCTTCGTTTTTATTTCATTTCCAGTTTACTTTATTTTTAATTATGCTCAAAGGTACGAAATACATTGAACTATTTGTTTTGGTTTTGTTTAGTTCTGTTTGGTTTGGTTGTAGTTAGTGTATGATCTATGTGGATCTGGGAATCTGTCTCTCTGACCATTAGCATACATGAGACAAACGTTGGGATCGATACAATACAATGCGTTGCAATTAGGGGCGAAGTTCTGTGGGTGTGAAACCAAATTCCTGCTCTACGCATAATGGCAACGATTCTAATTAGTGGGGAATATCAGCTTGAAACCTCCTTGGGCGGTGGCTGATTGGGGTTTAAAGTTTTAGCCAGGTCGAGTGTATTATATTTCGCATTTTGCATTTAATTAAGTTTTTCTTTTGCAGGCGCTCACTTTTTTGTTATGTTGGATTGTGTTTTATTTCTACCTAGCTAATGTTTAGGGTTCAACAACGTTCATTTTCGGGACTTCAAGTTATTTAACTTTTGATTGATGCACATGCACAACTTGAGGCAAAGACACAAAATCAACGGGGTCTATCAAATATATATGGGAAAAGTAAACGAACTCTGCCTCTTTTTTAAACAGGAAGTGGTAATGTTTGAGGTGACAATTCAGGCGGGAACTGTATGTCAAATTTGTAATGACTGCTATCGGTTTTAATAGGTTGAAATAACGATGGAATGTTTTCTTGCCTTGCATCTAACGGGAGTAGCCACAAACACGTTATTTCGTTAACTACTATATATTCATGTACATATCGTGTATTTATACCAGTATATTGCACACTCAACGATTTTTGCGTTTTTTTTCACTTGTAATCACTTAACTTTAGGGTAATAAAAAAATACATTTTTTCTTCATTTAATTAATAAACATTTCACTTCAGTTGTTCTCCTTCTAATTCGCGTTTTGTTTCGTCGTTCGTCTAATCCATAGTTATAGCGTAATACAATTTGCAACTAGACTAGATTTAATTAATATATAATTTGTGTATATATATATTTTCATTCACTTTCTGCGGTATCCTTCTCATGTGGCGTTGAAAACTTTCAAATTAAATAAAGCTAGCTCTTTGTAAAAAAAAACCAATAAAACTTGACCATGCCGAATGTAATACTTAACAATTTTGGCTTCAATGTGACCCTAAAATTGTTTTTTTTTTTTTTTTGAAAACGCAAATCATCCTAAAATAATTTCCACATATGAGAAAAAGGAATACCCTTAATCATGTTGCTATTATCTCCGTATAGTAAATATAAATAATTCTGTATAACGACTCATGGCATTTGGTTTCGTTAGATCCTTTCTGTTTCTTTTTACGCCGTTTTCGTTCCTCAGTATTGCCTAAAATATACATCTAATAATACTCAAAAACACAAGTCTAAACATTCCGTCTCGATCCCTCTCAAACCGCCGTTTCGTGGTCCGTTTCGTCGATCCTTCCAAGGCGCCAAGAGTTAGGATCCCCAGCTATAAGATAAATGTAGAAAAATCGAAAGAGAACAAAGAGGAATGTTTAAAACATTAGTCTAAAAGGGTTTAAATGATATGAAGAAGGGCAAAGGCTAAAATTCCCAACTTTAACAAACACTCTATAAAAACAAATTGCTAAATGTATCCTAGAATATGGAAAACAATTTAAAAGTTTTGCATGCACAAATCTAAAAGCAGGCACACGGAACGATCACACTACAGAAATTTAAACACCGACTGAGAGAGAGAGCGAGATAGCTGTATAGACAGAGAAAGAGACGGGGACACACACAGACTAGCATACATACGCAGTGAGCTGTTGTCGTTGTTTCTAGACTCTAGACTCTAGACCCTTGCAGATAGAATTTTTATGATTGGAACACTCGTAAGGTCGGACCATAAAATAAATATATTTATCTCTCAGTTTTATAAATGTATTTCTGTATTTAAGAGCATACTTTTATGCTCATTTAAAAGTGATTTTAAATCTACAAATTTATTTTCTCGGTTTTAAGTTTTAAACGGACCAGCAATTCAAGCAAATTCCTAGACATCATCGGTCTGCAAGGGCTTTTGAGGTCTCGGTTTCCGAGACTCAAGATCCATTTCCATTTAGGACTTTCAACTTACCGCAATCGTAGTACTTCGATATCCTGGGCAGGGCTGTTTTCGTGGTTGTTGTTGTTGGTTTTGATTGTAGGTGTTGTTGTTGTAGTTTTGTTGTTGTTGATTAACGTTTATGATGAAGTTTTGGTTTGGAACGTTTACGTTAGACATACAACAAAATTATAGTCACCGAAAAAATAGAAAATCAAATACATAAATTTCATCACAAATCAAACGTAGATATATAACTTTTGTCGTTGTTGGTGAGAAATCAGTAGAACGTGATTAGCATAAAAGGGGGTGGAAAATCAGGCACATATATTTATATGTAACATTTGTAACACACAGAAACAATACAAGGGAGAACTATCAAAAAGATTTTGTGATAACTCCACCACGTAATTAAATATTTTACTAGTTAATATATACGCTATCTCAAAACTAGAACAGGTAACGCTCGGCATCTAAAAAAAGCCGAACGCTATTTTCAGACTCTCTAATCAAATGATGAGTATTTTTAGGTTCCAAGTTTACTTTTGCACTGCGAAGTAAAATTAAAACAGCAAATACTTAATTCCTAATACCTTCCTAAATGACAAAATAAAAAAAAAGTTTTCTTTGTTTTTAAAATTAAGCACTTTATTAACCCATATTTAGTTTTCTATTCGAAAGCAGTTACAACACTTAACAATTCCTTCTTTTGACTGCAATTCAATACGCGTTTCGTTCGTCGCCTTTAAACGGGTATTGCAAATGGGCGGAAGTGAGCGGGCAGGGGGCGTGACCGGGCGGAGGGGCGTGGCATGTGCATACTGCTGTCGGCTGCACTTTGTGTGTAAGCTTATGGGCATGCTGCTACTTTGTTTCCCTTTTTTTTTTGTTTATTGTTGTTTGCAAAGCCGTTCGATCAAGGCATGCCCTGCTAAAAAAAAAAAAAACATACCCTATACAAAAACGATCGCAATCAACACGCGGCGATCGCGACAACAGCCAAATTGTTTAATTAAATAACAAATATTGTTTTGTTTTTCCTCGTGGCGGCAGGCCAAATAATGCGAGTTAAAATAAAAAAACAAATCAATGCCATTAATGATGTCAAATGGCCGAACGCTCTTAGAAACAAAAATCGCCTCCCGAACAATTTAGTGTTCTAATCTCGAATACATCATATTGGTATTATATGTGTTTTTTTTTATTAGCTTTCGTTTTTGGCTTGTTTACATTCACATTGATTCCTTTTGTTTATTACACTTTCTTGGGGGAGCATTGGATTAGGGGTTCTCGGATTTATGGACAATTGGGGTTATGTACAGAAAATATGTATATATATATATATATACATATATATATATGTATGTAGATGTATATAGTGTATGTACAACGACTTAGGCTATGTATTGCTTAACATTATCAAATATTATTCGATATTAATTCTAATTAGTTTTCACGCTTTCTTCAAGCTCAATTTGTATGCAAATCAATCAACAAATCAACGAAAAAAAAAAACATATGCATATGGAAGTACAAAAAAAATAATGTGTTAATGGAAGATTTAGCGAATTGATGGATGTGCCAGCACAGTAAAATTCCATTAAATGCCAAGCGGTATCAAATCAATTTAATCAAATTAAGCCAAGAAAACTTTTGCACCAGCGGAAAAGTTAATTTATCGCCTGTCACTAGATCGATCGATCTTGAGATCTTAAATCTGTAACTGAAACTCAAGTGCTGTTGATCAAACCAGTTCCCTTGCCATTCATTATGATTACAATCATGTCAGAAGTCATCAAATACTCATTACTCAATTTAAAAAAAAATCTGTAAACCTATACTTTTTGTTTGCTTAACAATAACAACAAGTTTAAATAATAATATAGCATTTGCTCGTGGCTAACCATAAATCTTTGATCAACAGATCGCGTTAATTGTCCTCACATTAAATATATTTTCAATTTTTAATCAATTATAAATCTTTTTAATATAAACAATTATGAGAAAATAACACTAAAATTAATTTCAAATCGAAAACCATAATCAAGTAATCATAGAATTAAACCTTGGTTAATCGTGTTCAATCGAGAAACCCACTCAAACTAAAACTAATTCATGAGCAATCAGGTGTCTTGTTTGACTACAACTCAACATACAACCATGATCAGTCAAAATAAATAACATCTACAACTGGTTTGACTACAGCTAACGTTAGTTTTTTGCCAAGGATCCGGGGTACATATGGAATAATTTTGAATAGTGTTGCCAAGTTGATAAGTTTTCGGTTAGATTTCGCAGCCTTAAAATGTTTTGAGGTTTTTTAGTGGATAGAATTATTGAAATGAAATTACATAAGCTAGCTAATATATGATTGGGATTTAGGTTATTTTTTTTAGACCTTGACCTGGCAACACTGATTTGAAGTAGATTTCCGCTGGATGGAAAGTTTAGGTTGCCCAAGACGAAAAGTTTACACAAAAACTGAAAAGGCTGGCTGTTTGTTTAGGTTTCTGGGTGATACAAAGTTGGCTATTAGAACGATTAGATGTGTTAGATGTGTTTGTTCAGCTAGTGCTAGTTGCTATGCTAGATATGAGATGATGGTAGTATATATGGGGTTCAAGATGCGGATTAAGATGGATAGTTTCCAGATCTCTTCGACAGCTCCTTCTTGGATGATCGTGGTGTTGACTTTTGTTGTCTTGCTGCTTTGCTTGCTTGTGATTAATGACTTGACTGATGACTGATGACTGATGATATTGTCTGCTTGTGTGGGTGTTGTTCTAGTTGTTGTTGTTGTTGTTGTGCAGGTCAAAGGTGAAGGGACGGAGGAGTGCTCTGATTTTTCGTGGCAAGTTGAGCAGGAGCGGGCGGTTGCATAATTTCAGATTGCACTTTGCTCGATGTTGTTGGCGCTTGTTGTTGCCTCTTGTACGGATTGTTGTTGTTGTTGTTGTTGTTCTAGTTGTTGTTGCAGTAGTTGTTGTTGTTTGTACGTGCGACCAAGTAAAGGAACATGCTCTTCTAAAATTAGAGTTTTGGCGTAGAAAAGGTAAAAAGAAAACGAAACCAAAAATCAAAAATGCACAGAAAATTCTCAAAAATACAATAAAAATCAAAAATCAATATGTTAATTAAACTATATTACGGGTTTAACTCAAACAATGTTAGGTTTCTTGGCCATGCAGAAAGCGTGCAAACTGGGAGAGATAGAGACAAGGGGGAGTGGCACACAAAGGTCAAAGGTGAAGAAACCAAAAACCCCAAACACTAAGAAGTTTAATGAAAGCATAGGGAAGAGCTAACCACAGCAGCGGTTAAATAACTTGACGAATTCTTCGTTTAATTGATAAGAGGTTATTTGGTTTTCAACCAAATACAATCTCCAAATTATTATTTTTGATTACTTTGCTATTTACAGAGCCTTAAAACGGAAACAAATTTGAACATGTAAATCCAAATCTTGATGTGCTTTTTCGACATACAAATATGTAGGTATTTTCAATAAGGTAATTAATATTTTTTTTTAATTAATATGAAACCAGAAATGTTGTAGTTTATTGATAGATCCTAAAGTTAACCCAATTTAACTTTGTTGAAAAACGTGACAAAAATTGCTTGTGCCAGGGTGTTACTACATATTTTGTTAACCGCCACTGTACGAAATTAGGTAGGTAGGGTGTACATAGATAGTAGAGAAAGAAGGGCGGGTCAGGGGTCACTCACCCTGTAGCTGCCGGTTGATCAGGGCCGTCAGTCCGTGGCCCACATCCACACTCTTCTTGAGTATCAACATGGGCTTGTCCTCCGCATCCTCAGCATATCCTCCCGATGGCAGGAAGCCATTGCTGGCTATCGATTCGCTCACCTAAAAACAATAAAAATCGTTTTAATGATTAAATTACGTGTTTAAAATTCCATTTGCGAGATAGAAATTGATTGATTCGATTGAACTTTACAGACCTGGGTGACCTGCATCAGCTTCTTGACCACATCCCGGCCGAGAATGTGATCGAAGACGGTCTGCAAGAAGGGCTCGGCCATAATTGACAATTTGAGCTTGTCGCGATGCCAGATCAGCACTCGCGACTCCTCCATGGCCATAATGGAGACCTGATGAAATATACAAATTAGTATATAAGTTGGAAAAGTGAGTAGAGGATGTGCAAACTTACCTGAAAGTAGTCGTCGGTCGAGACGCCAAACCATTCCGGCGAGTCTAGGAACTGATGGGGAAACACAATGTGCAGCGCTCGCTGATGCTGCGACACCACCAATCTGCAGATAAAGCGACCATTATTACTATCCATCAGATATGCGGAAATTCCCTTTTAGCCACACTCACTTGCCACTCAGCACCAACGAGAGGCTGTCCACCTTGGTGACCTTCTCCTGGGCATAGACTTCCTGGTATTTCAGGGCGCGTATCACCTTCATGCAGTTGAGCACCTTTTTGAACTGATGGCGCGTCACGTGCAGCGGCTGGAAAAGTGCCAGGTAAACCTGCAAATGCAGTCCACAAAGGGGCATAAAGTTAATGATAATTGTGACAGCTATAGATCGATTAAATATATATTTATTCGCACTCCACAAATTAAATGTATCTATTGTATACGATAGCGTGTTTATCAAGGGTGAATGTACGATTGCTTAACTTCCGTTCCTAGCTAATGACCCATTTCTTATTAATCACTTAATGCCTCTGTGTTTGTTCGCCCATCCAAGGGAATTAAATGCACTTCAAATCGTTTACACAATGAATGTTTACAGATAGTTAAAAATATATAACGAATGGAAAATCAAAATGTTATTGGTCTATAAATAGCTTGAATGGCTTTAATGGGTTAGAAGCTTTATAAAATCTGCAATATTGACACCACAAAAAAAAACTTATCAGCTTCTACTCTTCTTCCCCTGAAAGACAATACTTTCAGTCCGATCATTGAGTTCTACCTGGTGAACATATCCAATATCAAGTTTATTTGCGCATAATTTACAAGTCTGTGTGCCCAATGAAATAAATTGGATAAGCAAATATACGATACAGAGTATCGGAAACTCACAAGATTCTCGGGCAAACGATTCCCATGGAGTTCAATCGCTTAACAAATCTCTGTTGCCAAGTAGACGTTACACTCAACGCTGGACAAACAAACAAACAACCAAACAAACAACAGAAATGGGCAAATATTATCGCTGATCGAGAGTGTTAACTACTTTGCATTGCGTCAAGTATAACAAAAGCACGCCCCCGTTTTCCACCTGTTTATCTGTTCTTATTTTTATTAGGGCCACACAATAAATAAAATAATCATTTCTAATGATTATTTTTTTATCAAAAAAGAAATTTTTTAAAACCAATAAAAACATTTATAAAATAAGGCATATAGACTTGATTCAAAATAATTTTTTCAATGTCTTCAACTAGCGTGGGCGTGGATGAGCTGTAGGCCACCAAGAAGATAATTTTGCGACCAGTTTTTTTGGGGCATTCGCTGGGGCCACCCTCCGCACCCCCTCAAAAGCCGAAAAGCCAAGACCGCGATCACATGGCCAAAATGTAAGACTCGTGGTGGCAATAACCAAGCGACAACAAAGTTGTTGCCATGCAAAAATAATGTGTGTTTTGCTGACGCAGCCGCTAAAACAGGCAAGCAAAAGCCCCCCACCTCCTCCCGGCTCCCCAGGGGGTCGTCTATAGATTGGGGCAGTAGCAACAACGACAACCACAACAGCTGCAACAACTGCAACAACTGCAACACCAACAACAGCAAGAGCAACACCAACAACAGCAACACCAACACCAACGATCACATCGAAGGCGATCACATTGCGTTGAGCCGCATAAAACGTTAGCAGTTTTCATTTTCCGCTACCCTAATTTTGGGGTATACACGTTCTTTAATTCTGCTTTATGAAATATGACCCACAACTGAACTTTCAGAGCCCATAAATCCACCAATTTAAATCCGATTTTGACGTAGCTTTTAAACGTTTGTGATCAAATTATAAAACAAATTGCGCTTAAATTTTTCATTTTGGCAAAGGTCGATTTATTGACCCCACTTCATGTCAAAATTTTCCAAGTTTTGAAGGTTTACAGAGTAGTGACCCATGATTGCTCTTCTAGAGTCTATACTTTTAACAAAATTTAAAGTGATATTTTTGTAGAGGCTTAGTTAGTCGACTAAAGACAAAGGACTTTCCCATCGGGCCGAATGAGGTTTGGTTTTGATGGGATTTCATCGTTTTTTTGTTGTTTTTTTTTTTTTTTTTGTTTTTTGTTGTAAACATTAAACGAGCATGGCTAAATAAATAAATAACATAATCAAGGGGCTTGCCGGGCGGCGGACAAATTGTGATCCGGGGCTGGTTTTGTGGCGGATCCAGCAGATCCAGTGAATTGTTTCGATTTGCAACAGTCGCCGGTTGCCAGTCGGTCGACGGACATTGCCGCGGATTCCCGAGTCACGTAGGCCACTCTCCACAGAGCCACTAAACCACTGAGCCACCAAGCGCAGCTCAGAGAGCCACGAAAAAAAAGCATTATAAATAAAAACAAAATTCACAGAGGCAGTGAGAAGAAAGAGTCGCAGCCACAGATACCGATACACCGACAAAAAATATCATCAATTCCATCGGAATGCCAATTTGCTCAGAGGATCAGCTGTTCGGCAAGCAAAAAAAAAGCTTTTTTAAAAAGGGATCGAAGTTCCCTATGGCTTACCTATAGGAAATCTTAACAATGGTAAGTCAACCGAACAACAAAGTATTATAAATTTAATGGCATTTTGCTGATATGCTTACAGGCTTTTGAGATCGTTCTTGGAATATTAAACATTTTGGAACATTAGTGTATAAATTACGTTGTGTGTAGAGATACAGATACGGCAGATTAGCGGCTCTTGACGATGATGAACTGCCGGCTGAACCGCCACATATACATGATGGACTGCCATCGAATGGGAACCCGGGAACTGGGAACGGGGATGGGGTCGTTATTCCTTTGCTGTGGGAAACAAAGCACAATTCCGTTGTGTCGCTCGCAATTTGCAAATTGAAATCAATGAAAGCGAAAGAATTTCACAAAAAAACTATATATTAAAAAACCGAAACAGAGCAATTTGCGAGAGATCGTCGGCCAGAGATAATGCTCTACTCTACTTTGGGCAATCTCTGAAGCCGATCGGATCAGATAAAACCCGAGGAAGAGCCAAAAGTGATTGCAAAAAAGGTTTGCTGAGCCTGAGGTCATGAATAAATGTAATTGGCTCAAGGATACCTTTTCTGGAAGATAAATGGCAATTTTAAATAAGCAATTTAACATAAACTTTTGACTTTTTAAATAATTGCCAAAAAGATAATGGATTCTGATATTAATATCAGTGGTTCTACGACTTTAATCCTATAATACTTGTGCCATTCCTGTCTTTTATTTTTCCACTATTCCCATTTTTTCTGTTGAGCAACTTTATAAATGTTTAATTGATAGACGAATGGAAAAATCTTGTGGAAGTCATAATCTGCCCACCCAGTCAAAGATCACTGCTAAGAGGAGAATAATCACTTAATTGCAAAGAATTCTCCTGGTGCATGCCACAGTTGACGATCGATCCATTATGGGAGACCACTTATGCGGTTTAATTATCACTGATCGGGTTTAATTATTTCCTTACTCGATCGGCGATTTTTATTACCTCTGTTTTATGTCTTTTTCCGCTTCTTATTTGCTCCTAACTGACCTGCCCAAATACGCATATAGATCATAGAGAGAGAGCGGAGAAGTGAGAGATCGATGAAGATCGGTGCGAAAAAAAAGCATTCAAGAGCCATTGAACCTGTTGCTTTTGTGATAAGCCCGCCGGCCAAAGAGAGAGAGTTTCTCTTTTAATTTGTACGTTTAAGAGAGGGATCCAGAAAATGAATGTTGGTCGGCAACAGTGGGTCGTAAAAAAAAATAAAATTAATACAAGTAAATGTCGATCAGTGCACACGACGGACTTGTGCGAACAAAACACGCTTGTAAACAAAACCTATTGCTGTCGTCAACAACAATTTCACATTGATAACGGAAGCTAAACTGCAATTGAGTTTTCTCTCTCAAGAGAGAACGCTTATCATTCGCGAAAACCGTTAAGCAAATGGTGAAATACCAAAATTGGGCATTTTCGACCGCTCTTGAAATATGAATACCCTAGTTCGAGGTATGATAAGCTTCTGGAAAAACAATGTGTTATTCAATCACGTACACAACTATTAAGAATTTGCATAAACAGAAATATTCAAGGATTTTTAAAGTTTTTTCAACTGGCAAATATTTTTGGTTTTGTTTGACCTCCAAATTGCATACTTTTTAGGCACTCAAGTGCTAATCGAGTTGTCAACAATCTACGTCTTGTTTGTCCAGGTGATTTAGGTGACTCATGTGACTCCCGCCAGGAGGCGGTGGGCGTGTCGGTCGGTCAGACAGTAGACATAACCTATATATCTGCACCCACTAAGTCCGCTCACGTGGCTCGCTGTTTTTGTACTTTTCCGATGAAGGGATTACGCCGCGATTCGGACAATGATTGAGCGAAGGCGCGTGGGTGGGTGTGAAAAAAGGGGGGCGGTTCTCTGGGGGCGGGAAATGGGTGGAGTGGGTTGGTGGGTTGGGTATGGATGTCGTGGAAAATGAAAATATTTGACTCTGTTGCCTCGCTGTTGGATCAATGCCACAATGGACAGCTGATGCTGATGCTGATGCTGATGCTGACGCAGACGTCTTTCATCAGCTCTCCTCAAACAATTTTTCGTGTGCGTCAGGTGGTGGGTGAAGAAGAAGAAGAAAACATCGCTGAGTGTCCCCCACAATCTATCGTCTCCCCTCGCCAATCCATATACCCCTTTTATCCACATCCACATTTGTTGGCCCATTTGACGCGAAAGCCGGCCGGCACGTCCGCATTTGAGGAGAAATAAGGTGCCATTTGCCATGGCGCCAACTTAGTAATAACAAACCAGACTTGGACCACGTACCATCCAGTCCATTGTATTAGACCATAAAAAATTACAACAGCTAAAACTATAATAGCAAACCTGAAAGTCCAAATACTCAACGAAAAACAAGATAAGGCAACGCCTGAAAACCTTTTAACATCTTCGTGCTCTTCAACAAATGTAAATGAATGAAAGAATTTCATATCAATTGATTACTCATCATAAACATATTAGTTTTATATTGCTTAAAATCATCATTTTATTGCTGTTTATGTTTAAGTTCAATGAAATCCAATTAAATGTTCTAACATTTAATTATTTTTATTTAGCCCTATTTGTAAAACTTAATTATTATTAACTTTAATTGTACCTTGGCCACGTGGTGAAAGCTATTAATTTATGGTTAAAATTCAATTAATCCGTTTTTGTATTAATTTATTACCCTATTATATTATTCACCACAACAAAGTGTGCCAAATAAATTAAAATGCAGTTAATGCCAACAACGTTCTATGAATAGTTTTACTTAATCGTTGCTTTTGACTTATAATTAACCAATGAAATAATTGATTTATAACTGTCTGTGTACAAAATATTGTATTGACCAAATTATATGCCTATTTGCGGTTGTTGTAATACAATGTCAATAAAACTTTTGTGAGGAAGATCGTGGGGACTTTGGAGATTATGTACTTTAAAAATGATTAATGGCTTAATTGAAAATACTTTACGTATTACAAAATCCAGCGATAGACTCCTTCATTGAATAATATCTTGGTTCAATTTTGTTTTGCTTAGCAACCTTTGAGCTTTACAAACATTTCCCCAATAATTTTCTATAGGTGCATTTGTTCGCAGACTGATTGATCGATTGACTGCCATTTGAAGAATTTCGACTTCAAGATTCATTCATTAACAATTTTTTTTGGGGCCGCCAACTCGAGGAACGTGCGCCACATGACAAGGGGATCTCCTCGAATCAATAAGATGTACATGGAGAGTGCTTTCTATATACGATTCCTGGCATTGCTGATCACGCCGATCGCCGATCGCCGATCGATGGCTTTGCCCACAAACTGCTCATTATCTAATTGCGGTCCCGCCGAGAAATCCCATCCACTTCATTCAGTTGCGTTATGTTTGGCCGGACGTAGATCTCTCCGATCGAGAATAACGTTTTGGCCGATCGCCTCCTTAAGGTGCATACAAATAATGACATTAATTCCGCATTTGGTCACCTAGTTTGGCTGGACATCGTGACATTGATCGTGATTTCTTGCCCACTCATCGTGGCATTCAAGAATCGCAGGGTCCGCGGATATATGTACATATATCCGGGGAAATGGGGTGGACGGGGATAATGCCAGAGTCCGCTGATTGGCCATGATTAGCCTTGGCCAGCCGGTTTAAGGGGCACAACTAGTGTGAAGTTTTAAAAAAATCAAAAAATTTTTTTTTCATATTTCGGTGGATTACACCTTTAAAAATAACATATTAAAATTTAAAATCGATATCTCAAATAGTTTTTGAGTTATAGCAATTTTAAGAGCAGCCGCTCTCATAGCAGTGCAAGCGATCATTTTATCTTTAAACGCGTTTTTCTCGAAACAGCATTTTCCGAATTTGCTGCAGTGATAACTCAAAAACTAATGATCCTATCACTACCAAATTTTTTTTACATGTTCTTTATATAGTTCTACGTACCATGAACTATCGGTTTTTTGATCCGATCAAAAATCGAATTTTGGCAGGCAAAAAACGACCGAAATTTTGGTTAAAATTCGATTTTTTTTTTTTAAACGCTGCCATTTTGTCATTTTTTGATATTTTTTTTTATCGTAGTTCATGGTATGAAAAATATTATCTAGTTTCACGAGAATTTTTCATTTTTTGATTTCGTCCACGGAGAGGGCCGGAATCACTGCAGCAGTTAAGGCACTTTTTTTTTTAGCGCCGTTGGAGATCGACTATAACTTAAAAAATATTTAACTTTTTTCTTTAAAAATTTCACTATACATTCTTAAAACATGTATAAATATATTCTGAAAATTTGAAAAGAATTGATCAAGTAGTTTTTTTTATAAAAATTCCCAAACATCACCATTTTTTTAGGCCGTCACACTAGTTGTGCCCCTTAATCAACTAACCATTCGTCCAGCTAATCTTTTTGTTTATTCTATTTTTTGCCAGCACGTTTGCATGTGCTTTCATTTTTTGCGCATTACGCGTGGGTGAAAGATCGATCTGGCAGATCGAAAGAAATGGTCAGTTTCTGGTGGGAACTTTGAGCCGATCTGGTCACTCTTTGATCCTCGACGAGCCCTCTGAATCACTAAGTGATTCACCCAGCCGATCCTTATCATTAGCATTTCCTATCGGACTTATTAAATTTAGATTCAGCGATATTGAGTGCAATTTGCTGTGAGGTTCTTTCCAATAATATCAAAATATTAAACAAGTTCTGTTGATTGTGAAATGACAAGTTTTAAATTCTTTGAATAGCATTTCATATTAATAATTATTTTCAAGTGTTAAAAATAAAACCAATTATCAGAAAACTCTCAGGTTTAATCATGCAGATAAATTCCTATACCCATGGAATCTGTGTTTTTTTGAAAATTTTTCCCCCCGAACAGGTAATGGATATTTCCCAGACACATAAGTATTAAATATCCGTTAGGGAGTTTCTCTGAATCGGAAAAAGAACGAACCATCCCAGCGGGAAAGTGAGAAGTAGGTTTTTATTTGACTGGAAAACCTCCTTCTTTTAGCAGGCGTAGGGGTAGGGATAGATGAAAATCTACTTCTTTTAGCAGGCGTAGGGAAGGGATAGACGATTTCGGACCGATTTCGGGGGTGGGTTTTTACCGAAAGAAGGAGGTTTTTGTTCAGCGGTAAGGGAAAAATCCAGTGGATTTTGCCCTGCATTCAGCAGCTTTAGGTCCACTGGATTTTTCCCTTTACCCCTTACTTTTGTGTGTCACCCCCGTGTATTTTGAAAGGAGAGACGGCAGATTTGTAAGGGGTAAAGGGGATTTTCCACATTCCGCTTGTATGAAGAAACCACTGGAAAATAGCATATTTTCCACAGGTTTTTTCCCGCTGGGATTCAACGTCAGTGATCGGAATCCATTCCCCGAATTTAGGCGGACGACTCATTCTCTTTAAGCCAGAATTCGTAGATCCAAAAGAATATAGAACGGGGATTGCTCGATCGCTGGTGACGTCGGAGCAAATTAACGCCATGTGCATTATAGAGAATTCCAAAAATTTTGCTCGCAACATTGTTGGAAAGTTTTAAGCAATGTCGGGGGGAGGGGGGTGATGGAGAAAGGAAAGGGCCGAATGAAGGTTAGCCCGAAAACTATTCACATGTGGCGCCCATTTGTCAGGTGCTTATAAGGAGGCATAATGCCAAACGATTGCAGCGTGACAGCCGCCGTTAATTGAACCTCTGCGTTGATAAGGCGACAGTTCTCTCTTAACTATTCGGATTCATTTAAGAGAACTTCTGCAGCGACCCAGCCTCCAATTATTTTACTACATATTTCCATTTGTTTGCTCTTCTGTGATAATCTCCTTTAAAAGCATCGCATACAGTGGGCTTCAGTCAGTTACCTTAATCAAAAACAGTAATTAACAAACATATTATTTGTACAATATAAATGTACTGCTAAAATTGAATTTAAAATCTTTTGTGTTTGTTGATGCAAATCCATCTTTTTAGACGTAAATCAATTGATTTATCTTATCATTTCGCAGTAAATAGTACTTTCCAAGTGTAGTCGGTTTAACGTCAATTGCCTTTAATGTAAAAATAAAGGTTTGTTTTGATGGACACCTATTGCCGTCTTATCTTTTGTTTTTTAATTCAATCCATATTTATACCACCATATGACATATAAATCTATCCTTGTCGTATGCACTCTCGTAAATAGAAAACAACCCGATCATGGTGAACTGGAATACCGGAATGCCATTTGGGCCCACTGTTGCATCAGCCCCCCCGTTTCGATTCGATTCGGATTCGATCCGAGTGCAAAAAGTGGATCCCGAAGAGCGAAGAGAGTGGAGCGTTCTCCGAAGAGAGCAGCGGAAGCAGCGACGTCGGCGCAAGAACTGGCGTTGTCGGCGGTATATATAAAACCTTATGCCAGCGCCGACTTCCCATTCAAAATCGCACACCTCAACGCGCCGCGTGTCGCACTTGGTCCCCCCGGAATCAAAAAATAACCAACCCCAAAAATTAACCCAACCCCAGACCAAAATCAAAGCCAAGCAACCCAACAACCCAACCCGAAAACGCGGTGTAAAAAAGTAATCCCCCAAAATAAAATAAAGCGCAAAGTTAACCACGCAAATCAAGTAACCCCAAAAAAATAAATTCATCCAAATTTTTTTGCTGTGCGAAGCGAGACAAAGAAGAGTGCCAAAAAAAAAAAACAGAGGAAAAAAATCAAATCAAGAAGGTTTCCATTTCACAAAAGGCAGCTAAAGAAACCAATGCAAAGATGTGCCACAATTCAGGGATCGTGGAGAAAAACAACGAGCAGCAGATCGAACGCTATATGGCCTGTGGAATGCCATCGAAGGCGGTGAGGAGTGTCAAGAACACCCTGAAAAAGCGCGAGAGAAAGGAGCAGCAGAGGCAGAAGAATCTCCAGGAACACCGCGAGCAGCAATTCCTGGAGGACCTCGAGCTAAGCAGCAGCAGTTGCGATTACTCAACCTCAACTGGGAGCGAAAGCGAGGATAGCGGTGTTACCGAGACCATTAAGTCCCCGCCAACTGTGGAGACTCCTACTCCAAGGGGCAGCAGCAGCAGCAGCAGCACCGCCACCACAATATCCACCACATCCAGGAGTAGTCTCCTCCAGTTCTGCCCACGCTTTCGCAAACTGCAGCAGGAGCAGCAGCAGCAAATGCTCAAAGAGATGGAACTTCAGGAGGAGGAGCCTCTGGCCGCCGCTGCCGCCTTGAAGGCCCAACAGCAGCGAAAACTTAGCTCCATGGAGCCATCGATGGATGACGCCCTGGCCATTGGCACCCAGATGACGCGGCAGGTGTCTGAGCGAATCACCTGCCTGGTTGCCCAGCTGCAGGCCAGCCAGCTTTACACGTGAGTTTTCCTTTCGAGCCTAGTTTTCATTAACTATCACTTCCAAAAACATCCCCAAGTTTCCAGTTAGAAACTGTAAAGATCAAGTTTTTTCTAAACTTTAATGTTTCCCAAAAAAACACCTAATCCTAATTAACTTAAAATAAAGTTCTCAAAATTTTGTAATTGTTAGTTTTTCGACTAATAGGGCCACATAAAGGTAATTTTATTACAATTTATGACCTAAAATGATAAGTTATTTAGTTATTTCCCTTCCTAACAAAGTGAAAAAACCAATTAATTTTAAGGAGCCTTCCCTTAGTTATAGGTTTTTCTTAACGCGAGAAAATAATTATATCCCTAAAGCTTGTCTACTTAAAAATGTTTTATTATAAGCTTTAAAAATTTATTTACAATTTACAACAAAAAATTCGAGGTAGCTATTTACAATATACAGACGGTTGATAGTTCCCACATTCTTTAGCGATCTATGGATTATATATAGCACGCCTCTCTATTAAATAGCCATAATTTCATCAGGTGACAGGGAAACCCTCAATGCTGGTGGCACTATCAGCTCTTATCAGTTCATTGTCACGGCTGAAAATCATGTTGATCACGCCTCTATATTGATATTTATAAATGCAAATACAACAACGAATCGTATAATTTTTCCACCGTCTGCAGTGTGCCTGCTGTCTAGTCCACAAAACCGTTATGCAAACAACGGACCCTAGAACTTAAAGGCATTCCTCTATAAAACAAAACGTGAAAAACTTGGTCTGGAAATGATTATCCAAAAAATATATAAAAGTTCCTAACTGATTTTTGATTAGCCAATGCAATTTGCTTGCCGAATAGCGAAATTCAACCATAACAATTTGGCAATCGACCCGCTATCATAAGGACTATTAGCACCCCAATGATAATGGCTGGCAGCAGACGCCAAACTCGTGACCTGCACGATATCAATCGTTACAGTGGAACCCCAAATAATTAAAATTCCGAAGCTATGAGAAATATATAATATAATATAAGCCCCTAACAATATTCATGACCTTACGTAATGGAGACCCCAATTCTTTAGGTGATTCACGAAAATTGGGTCATTAGGGTAGCATTACTAACCATAAGTTTGCGAATCTAAAAATACGATCAAGTGATATTCGCCTTGACCGTAATGCTGACTCAATGTCAAGCGATAAGTGATCCCTCTGGGGGGCAAGGGGGTGTGTCTGCGTCCGTTCGTTATCTTACGATCACAGTGGGCCGCTATGACGGCAATTGGCGAATCAATAGAGTTCCCTAAGATCCCCTTTTGAATCATTCGGCACCGTGTGCTATCTCGCTCTTACGCCCGATCAACAACCACCTGCTGGAGTCCAAAGTGCGATCGGGTCCTACGTCATGTGGGAGAAACTTTCGTAGACGTACAGTAGCGTTCACAAAAGAAAAGATACATTATAAAAATAATAATATATTTTTTTAAAATTGGTTCTTTTTATCTACAATAATTTTTAAAGGTAATACACATTAATTTTATACACAAATTATTTTATTAGTCTCTGCAATGCTAAAATTGTTCTAGTTCTATTTTTCTGAACTGTACCCGCTTTCTTTCTCTCTCGTTCTCTTTTGTCCATAAATCAGCTGCGTTCGTCAAGTTTTATCATTTTATCAGCTGGTCGCCAGCTGATTCGCCTGAATTCGCCCCAAGTGCAATTGCATTATCCACGCTCTTTTGTTTTATATGCCTTCTAAAGATCGCCAATTTCTGGCTTTTAGTTTTGGTCTCCACGAGAGCAACAGAGAGGGGAATAATGGGGGGGCGGCAAAAATATACAATATTTGGTTGCATGCGTTTTCGCACGTACGCCACTTTACTCTATTCGCCGAACGACAAAAAAAAAAAAAAAACGAACGGCGAAAAAGTGTGCAAAAAAGACATAAAAATCGTAACAGACGGACGGATATGCAAAATGGCAGGTGGGGGGAGGGAGACCCCACAAATGCGTAGACACGAAACGAAAGAGACACCGAAATTAAGAGAGGGGGAACGAAGGGGCGGAGAATTCGCACGATCGCAGTCGGTGCAAAAGATCGGCGCATTTCAAATCTAATCAGACATGAGGGCCACGTGGGTACGTAATACCCCCATAATCAAACCTCTTCTGCCCGCGGATCAGGCGGGTAGATCTCTTGGAGTTTGAACCATCGATTGCTTTTCAATTACGTCCATATATTAGACGATAAACTTTGATTTATGTGATTTTTATATAAAACAATCGAAATCGAATTTGATTCGGTGTGATCAATATTGTGGGGATACTTTATGATCATTTTAGGGTTCTTGCTTCGAAAGCTTTTTAATTAACATTTGATTTTTTCGATAAGGAAATCATTTATTTTAATTTATCGACGATTGCCATTTACTTATCGATCACTTTTCTAATTTATTGCAGAATTCTGACGCGTACAACACAACCAGCACACTTGATAGCCGTTTGCATATTGGCCTTTGTGCTGATGACTGTGGGACGCGACCTCATCGACCCAACGACAACAACAGTAACAGCAGCAACAGAAGACGCAGCAACAACTGCAACATCGACGAGAACAACGGGTGGCGTTCTGGCGGCCTTGGTCTTTCTGGGCGCCTTTGCCACCCACTTTGGGTCGCAGATATGGATGACGTTTGTCTCGGGTAGGTGTCCTTAAATACCAGGATCAAAGCGATCTTCACGGATTATACATACATATACCATAAAGCTTTAAAGAATCACTTAAAGAACATTGAATGTTAAAAGAATCTCTGCTGCTTCTGAAAATTAATAATCATAGTTCAAAATCCATGGATTGACGCTTAACAATTGATTGACCACATATGCATTTCATCTGCGATCGACTAGTTTCTTCATCCGAAAATCGTAATTACATTTTGTGGAGTCCCCCGAAATCTATATGATTACTAATCTATTCCATTTGATGGCATGTCCTTGCAGGTCTCTCGCTGTATTTCTCCCTGCCCCGCCACGTTTTCGGGCAGTGCCAGCAGATCCTGTTCCCACGATACTTCGCCCTGAACGCCATGCTCAGTCTGACGATGCTGGTGGTGTATGCCAAGTACTTTCTGAGTGGATGGACGACATCGGCGGGCATTCAGATGGGATCGCTGGCCCTGGCGGCGGCCATTGAGGTGGTGGTGCGTCTGTATCTGGTTCCGCCGATGCTGCAATTGATGCACGAGAAGTACAGAATCGAGGATGCGATCGGCAGCGGTCAGGAGGTGGGCAGCCTCGTCCAAGGCGACCTCGTCGACTGCCCGCACTATCAGCGCATCCACAAGGGATTCCGGCGCATCCACATGACCATCGCCATTGGCAATATGACGGTCATGCTGACCACCTGCCTGCAGTTGTATTTTCTGGCATCGAAAATACGCCTTAGCTAAGGCAAGCCCGGAGTGAAGAATTTATAGTTTAAGGGATTCCACCACATGCACCACATCATCTCCATCGCCACATTCGCAACGTATTTCAATGTTCGATAATTGTCTCAAATCTTGTATTGTTTATTGAACCATTGATTTGTTTTTTTGGGCTGGCTCAAACCCAGCTTTAAATTTCTCCCTCCGCCCCCTCCTCACACACACAAACACATACAGAAACAAAAACAACAAATATTTAATTTCTCCCGAGGACGCCACGTTTTCTGCGACCTTTTAATCTGATTTCCTGTGATAAACTCAGCCCGCCTCCCAGAATAACTGAACACCACCCCCTCACACACACACACACACACGCAAACCACAGCACACATTTAGCCCATAGTCTATAGCCAATAATTTACACAGAGTTATTAATTAATAGCCTATTGATAATTAATTATACTGTTTTTTTTCGAGCGGAAGCACGCAAATTTCATTATATTCTGTTATTTATTAATCCATCGAAAACTATGTTTTTCTCTGTTTTAAGTGCAGATTTTTTTAAGTGAATATGATTTATATTAAAACAAAAAGAAAAACAACAACAAAAGAAAGCAAAACAAAAAACCAAAAAAGTCAAAAACCAAAAGGCAAAAAAAAAACTAAAAAGAAAAACAAATTAAATCAATAAAAATATTCAATCAAAGTCAATGTGTACAATTAATATCATTGTTTTACTTGCGGCTCTTTAATTGGGTTGCCAATTTCAAATAAGTAGGGGTAATTTTGCTGTCAGGAAATCAATTTACTTGAATTAAGTGGCATTGCATGGATTGCCTACTTTTCGGCTGATTGATTTTGTCGACAGAAATAAATTATTTTGCGTTTGCAGAGGGATTTAATAACAGTATAACTTAATTACATTTCGGATATTTTTTGTTATTCTGTTTGGTTTTGAAATTCAGTGAAACGTTTTTGATCTATAATAAAACCAGTAAGAACTTATGAAAGTTTATTATTCTTTCCATTTGAAATAGCTTTCATTTTAAATATATTGTTTCTAAAATTGGATACCTAAATTTATGGACTTTAAGATATGATTCAAAATCACTTACCGCCTCGATTTCCTGCTCGAATCGCACGGGTCTCAGCCGGCAGAGCACCACGACGAGATAGATGAAGTTGACGAACAGTCCCATTCCGGACCAGAGGACCACGTCCGGTGTGCAGGCCACCAGATAGCCGTGCATGCCCATCATCAGGCAGCCGATGAGCAGCATGGCCCGCATCCAGAGCGATCCGTACGGACCGTGGGGCGCCAGGAAGGCCAGGAAGAGGAAGGCCCAGCCGAGCTGAAAGTAGAGCGGATGCGGCTGCTGCCAACCGAGGCACTGTTCGATGGACCAGTCGCCGGGATTGATCGATCGCAGGGTGCCGTTGTTGTCCCAGGTGATCGTACCGCTGCTGGCGGCGCTCGTTCCCGCCGTGCTCTGGGCGATCAAGGTACCGGCGGAGGCCTCTGCTCCACCGGAGACAGCCGCTCCAGCACCTGGTCCAGCTGCTGCTCCTGCTGCTCCGGCCGCCGCTGCTCCACCCAGGCCGATGCCCATGGCACCACTGGCACTGCTGCCGGCACTATTGATTAGAGCGCCCATTCCAACGCCCGCTGCACTGCCCGCCGTGCTGGGCATTCCGCCGATCCCTGTTGATCCCGATGATCCTTCCAGTGATCCTGATGATCCTGCTCCTCCCGCTGATCCGCCTGATCCTCCTGCTCCTCCCTTATCTGCCTTCGTTTCAGTCTGTCGCTCTCCTCAGCCTGATCTCTAAGCTTTCCTTCTGCTAAACCGCTGTTCAATCCTTGGGTTCGTGTATCCGATAGGTTGCTGTCCTCGCTTAAAATCAATGGTTTTCCTCTGTTTTTGAAGCGTAAACGAATTGTTCGTATTTCGTCTTTAACTCTGAATTTTTGTTTATTTCTGTGGTGTTTTGGTTATTGCTGCTGCCCCTTCTGTGAATTTTTGTGCTTGGCTTTTAAGCTCGCTAGTATAAAATTAAATTCAATTAAATTATTATGGTTTAACTGTTTCGGTTGTGGCTTTAGCTGCTCATCAATATATTGCTGTAATAGGATTTGCTGCCTTTTAAACTTTTTTCATTGCTGCTGCTGTTTTTTAATATTATGCTTGATGCTCCTGTAGTAATTTTTGTTGCCGCTGCCGGATAATCCGCTGATGTTGCACCTGGCAATATTGCTGCTGCTGCCGCCTGTCACATTGTTGCATCTTTTAGGCAGCTGCTAAAAGAAAAATAAAACACCAAACCAAAGTCAATATAAAATTCATACTGCATTAGAAATACGCAATCAAATGGGAGGCAATTAACATTCGCAATGCGTTTATAAATTATTCAACATTGCAATGCATTTAAAACCCTTTGGGAACATTTCCATGTGCTAGCAAATGTTCTCATTCTCAACGATCGCAGTAAACAAGCCGCTTCTCCGTTAGGAAATTGCCATACTTAAATATACTATTGGTTGTTACTTCGGGCTAAGCTATATGCCAATTATTATTTTCCGCCTAGTTTCTCAATAATAAACACATTGTTTGTCAACTTAGCTCTGAAACTCGAAAGTGGGTCACCGAATGCCAACTGTTTATTGTGATTGATATTTGTGAAGTGCTTACTCGATATCCCATAACTGCATTGCTCAAGCATTACATTTCCCAGTCGAATTCATTACGACTGATTAATGACAATAATTATGTGAAAATTAAAGTTAGTCATCGGAATAAAGGGAAATGTGTCGTTTATAAAATAACAAATGTTGGATATTGAACTCGGCTGACTAACCGTAGCTTGTTTCGGTTATGAATGGAAAATGTATTGCTCCCCAGACAACATCTAGTACTCCAGTGACCTCCTCTGTTCGTATCTGCAGATCAACGCCACCAGAAGTCCGCATTAATTCACGGAAATTCCAAGCACACACCTATATCATACAAAAATCTACACAAAACCACGGTAATCCGAAATAAATCATACGAAAATCCACAGAAATTCACGGAACCCAAGACTATCTGCAGCTTTTTGTTGTTTTGAGCGATAGAGATCCGCACAACCTGTTCCCGACTCCGACCAGGCCAACGAAACTTGGTCAAAACTCTCCAGAGAATATATACACATATAGAACAAAGCAAACAACGGGTGCGAGTTTTGTTTGCTGACCCCAATAGAGAACAGCCACAAAAACAAAAAAATAAAACAAAAAGGAAAAGGAAAATAACAAGAAATAGTGGGAAAGTGGCCAAAAGTGGGTGAGGGTATGGTCTATATGGCCTGTGGTCTCTGTATATTTTACAGTGTTGGGGTTGGTCTGGTGAGTGCGACTGGAAAACGAAACATTTCCGGCCTGGACATGAATAATAAAACAGAGCCAACGAGTGGGAAAGATAGCGTGAAAGGAAAAGGGAGAAACGCAGGGTAAAAGAGCGACAAAGAAGGGCATCAAAATAATCAATTTGATGTCGCAAAGTTCGTGGTCGCCAATACACAGAGAAAAAAGATACAAGATACAAGTAAATTTACCTTACCAAACATCATGCTAATTTTATATTCTCAGCTAAATTCTATGGCACTCAAAGAGATAATGAAAAATTGATATTGTGTTGGAACTGCTGAACAGATATTTTAAGAATTTTTCCTCAGTGCGATTATTGAAAGCGGTCAGCCAACCGTTGACAGACAGTCTGATGATGATAATGATGATGATGCAGAAGTGATGTCGAATATATTGACGATTACTCAACACTTTGCATATTGGCTGCACTGCAACAATGTCTTCTGCGTGTGGTTAATAATGATAATAATGATGATGATAGTGGCAAGTGACACACATCAGATACAAAAACAAACAAGGCCAACACTTCCTCATCATTATCACCAAAACTTTTGGGGGTGTGCAACATAACGAAGCCCGATGTAAATACAAATCGGAGATACCCTGGGAAACGCAACGAATATTAACCCCCTAAAAGAAGATACTCCACAAGAATTAAAAGAGAATATAAACTTGTGTCAGGCAAATCATTTTGCCCCTAAAACTAGTTTTACAACCCATCTTTCATATGATAATTAAAAATTATAGTCGTCAGTTGTTAATCGAATTTCTCTTGTTTTTGACGAGACACAGTTCTTCGATACACATTCGAAAATAGTTTACAATGTACAATTAATATATTAAAGGGGAGGGAACGGAAAATATGTTTCCAACAATTAAAACAACGCCGATAATTTCTAACTATTACCACCAATTATGGGTTTCTTAATGGGTTGAAAGGGTCGGAAATGCTTTCTCTAAGCGCGGCGAAATTCAAAAATTATAAATACCCTCTATAAAGGGTATACCCACACCAACGCACGCACACAGTGTGCAGCAACAACAAAACTGTGGGCAGAGAAGATGAAGTCATCGTTTTGTTGCCTTGAAAAACACACACTACACGAAAAACAAAAAACAAACAAATGCAAATACAACTAAGCGCGACTTCGCTTAAAAGACCAGAAATTAAAGTCCATAACCAAAAAGTAAATTGGGTACAACGCGAACGAAGCAAGCCAAAAAACTAAAAAAAAAAATATTGGGGTGAGAGGCGAAGACAAAAAAAAAAATAATACAATATGTAGTACAAGAAAACCATAAATAAGAATTAAGAATGAAAGTTTAACCAACTGTGGGATGCCCTTTTTAAAACACAAAATTCAATTTCCTAAATAAATTAAGATTAAAAAATAATAAATAATAAAGAAAACCAAAAAAAAAACTCGCAGAACTCCAAAAGTTTTAAGCACATTCCAAGAGTATTTGTCGGCACAAAAACATTTTTTTAACCCATGCTTGTAAAACAGTTTTGCTTAAAAGAAAAAACTGGAAACAGAACAATGGAAAAACTGGGAAAGTAGAAAAGCAGACTGGGAAACTTTTAATGCGAAAATGCCAATAAGTTGTGGCTGATAATTACCAGAAGAAAGGGAAAAGTCGCTGGGTGAAAATAGGTGAAAAAAGGGTGGGTTGAACGGACTGGGCATGGATGCCATGTCAATGGCCAGTGACAATATTGGAAAAGTTGCGGGTTAATGGGCGATATAGTGTCCCTCTCGGTTTCCCCATCTTTTATTCCCTTTATTTTTTGTTCGTGGTAATTTCGTATCGAAGTCATCGATTGCCTTTGTCCAGCAATTGATGTTTGCTCACTCGCAATCATCGTAAAATCGTCGAGGGGGGTCATCTAATGAGATATCACATATAGCTATTACATATAGACAGTATGTCTTTATTTGCATTTACCCACAAATCGACCGGATATTACTGGCAACGTTACCGATCCCTAAACGATAGGATGCGGTTTCTGTTTCCGATCTTAAAAAGGGTTTCTTTAAAAGTATGGGATTTCTTGTTAAAACCCGCTTTAAGAATTTCATGTTTTCGATTGGGAAAATTTAATGTTTAACATCTTATCAGGATTAACAAATAAAGGGGACTCAATCTGCCAGCATTGAATTTTCCGAAAACATAAAAGATTGGGTGTTTTCAATTAAAGCCGGTTCATTCAAGGGTATTCCGAAATCGATAAGAAGTTAAAAGCGACCCGCAGAGTTCCATGTCTTGCCCGATTCTAATTGGTATTTGGCCCGCAGACAAATTATGGTCGTAATCCAATTGGAAGCGGAACTTGTATGGCAACAATTGGAAATGGAACCGTCGATAGAGGGGGAAGAAAAACAGAGGAAAAAAGAGAAGATCAGACATTAAAGCCGTAAGCGTCGTAAAGGTTTAATTACAAGAAATAATTGCGTAAAATACACAACGATGGTAGTATTTCTGAAAGGGGTCCTCGAGTATTTCTCTTTGTTATTTGTAATTTTCTTTTACAGACGTTGGGAAGCCGAAAGTGAAACGTCGGCAACTTTTTTTCTGTTTTTCACTCGCCAATTTCCGTTTCCCACGTGTAAACAAAAATAATAATAACAATAACGAGAATGCAACGTTGTCCCGCCCTATATGCCATATTAAATTTTACATCGTTTTTGATCATAAAAAACGGTAAAATAAAATCTGAAATACAAAACAAAACTCACTTAATCACTCATTGGCTATGTAAATGGGTTACGAAATGACTGGTTTTAATATACATGCATAAAAATTGATGGATTACTAGATTGATGGTCTTCACTCAATTTTCGGCTGTGTCATAACTATTAGTGATAGTAAAATTTCAATTTTGGAAAACAATTATCAACTGTCGGGGCACAACTTTCATCTAGAGGCAATAACTGATAAGAAAAAATTTCCACTGTTCAGTTTTTTGCACACAAGGTCACTTATCTTATCTTAACAATTTCAAAGATGCGATATCAAGTAGCAGGCGTTATCCAACTTTATGAATAAGGTAGTATTAGGAAATAATAATTCAAATTATTTATTTTAAACCGTAAAATAGGTTTGTAATTTCAAAGTGGAATTCTCTTGAGTAAATATTTACTTGATGTAAATTATTCTGTTTTCTATTCTTCAAATAAAATCCTCTGACTTTGACGTCTGGAAATGTTTCTTATGCACCTTTCAACTTGGCAGCGTAAACATTTACTTTGAATGGGCCAATTTAATGTGCTCTACTTTACATTAATTCTAAAATTAATTTGCATTCAGCTGCATAGCGTTCTTGCCTTTCAAACCATCCCTTTTCATCCGCTATAAATACTTCAGATCCTATAATTTCGGCTACAGCAGCTGAAATTTTGGTTTCTATTTATAAATTATATTATCTTAAAAAACTAGAAAGGAACTCATATCAGACCCTTCTCTACATTTATATAGAAAATATTTAGAGTCAGCTCTATTTCTGTCTACTTTATTTTTTGACCAATTAAACTTAATATTACATTTCCGATGTTGAATAAAGTAATGCAAATTTTTTCCGAAAATTTGAAAGCAATAAATAATACAATTTTTGCAGCTTTTTGATTTTTTCTCTCTTTTGCACGCCTAGGCACACAAACTTCCATAAATACACACGCACACACACAGAAAGAGTTGCATGCCAGAAATGCCATGCAAATGCAAACACCCACACCCCCACATGGAGTGGGATGGGGTGTGGGGTGTGTGTGGGGGGCCAAGGAAAAGAAGAAAAGGCTACAGAAGTTGGAGTTTGTTGCTTTTGTTTTTCTTTTATTCCTTTTTCCCCTTGTACTTCTTCTTCTTCTTTGATGCGTGCTGGCAACTGCAACCGCTGCTTCTGCCGGCGTCGCTGCCACCACCCGCTCGCACACAATTACAAACATCTCAATATATATACATATACATAACACATGCATTTTTAAAAGCGTGTTGGGGTTCGATTTTTCACCATTCTTGCTGCACTTTACACACACACTCATTCTCATTTGTTATTATTTAATTACTTTTGGCGCGACTTCAATTAAAAAATCTAGCAACACCGCAAGTGTATATACACATACATATATAGGTATATTGCACATAACAAAGCTGCCACTCTAAAAAAAAGTAAGATTTTAACTAGCAAATCTAACACACACACAGATAAAAGCGCCTTTGATTTAAAAGAATTTGTTGTTAAATATTAAACACGTGAGTATGTTTTTTTGCTTTTAGTAAAAAATTTTCGTCTATTTACCAGCAGAAGTCAACTTGTATTTACTCCGACTTGGATTTTTTTTCGGGGGGTATTGACTTTCGTTTCGATGAGTATATATTTGGGAAATCTGATAAATATCATTAGTTTTTTACTGGAAACCGTGATTTTACTGCCCGGCGATTTATCCGATGTTTTTTTGTCATATTTTGTTCGAGATTTTTGTAAAAACGCAACGAAAACACGAAGCAGCGGTGCTTTTATATGGGAAATATATGGCAATATAAACGATTATCGCGCTCTCGCGAGAGGCAGCAATTCTCTCTTTCGCTCTCCCACAACGAAAACGAATTTTGCGGTGAACAGTAGTCAAACTAAATGCGTTTATGTACCAGTTTAATTCAAGCTTTGTTTAAATTATTTTCTTTTAAAAACCCTTAAAACTCATGAAAGTTTTCAAGTTGTTTTCCATTTTATATTAGGGTATTTATTTAACTTCGATCTATTTATTTCAACTTATTTAAACTTTTAGTTAGCTTGCTTTCGGTCCCACTGTGCGGGGGCTGAAATAAGTTTTTCTCTGCGTTCATTTGCGTAGGCTTGCTCTCGCTCTCCCGGAGAGCGAAAAACAGCTGGCAAATAAGCCAAGGAACAGCCGGTTATAAATTGCCGATTTAAATACCAGCTATGCTTTCAAGTGACTCACTAATAATAGCTAACCATAAATAAAGAATTAACAGTTGAAGAAACCGCAATGGACTAGTGCGAACGGAGGTTAAAATGGGAAACAATAAAACGCGCCCTGCAGCCAGAGTTGTCGCCCCAGCTGCCGATAACCAGACGATACACCGCGCGATAACGATAGCACTCTTCGCTCTTTGCCACGAATGGCAAGTTTGCAATTTCGTCGCATTCAATTTCTTGTGGTTATTTGTGCGAAAATAATACAAAAAGTTGTCACAGTAGTGCGGCACAAATAATTTTGGACATCCAGATTAAAGTTAACACAGCGAAAGGGTAACTTGCTGCTTTTAAACAGAAATCAACAACGCCAAAAAACACCGGCAGGCTGAACAGAAGAGATGACGCTTGACGTGGGCGGCGTCGCCCGGGGATTGCTCACTTGGGAAAAGCAGGAGCACCTGGTCAAATTGGCTATTCTGATTCTGGCAGCGGTCCTGTGTGAGTAAATTATGCGTACTTGCATTGTTTGAGTGGGCGTGCTGAAAAAAAAATCAAACATTGGCATTTGGTGTAAGCTTCTTCACTATCGATATTTTAATATCAGCCCTTTGAAAATATCGATAGTCCCGTATGCCACCACTAGCCGCGCGTCTTCCTCTTGCCAGCACCGAATCGAACTTCCTTTTCCTCTTTTAAATGAACAGCATTTGCCACGCGCTTGTTTTCCGTGCTGCGATTTGAAAGCGTTATCCATGAGTTCGACCCGTACTTCAACTACCGCACCACGCGGTTCCTGGCGGAGCAGGGGTTCTACAAGTTCCACAACTGGTTCGATGACCGCGCCTGGTATCCATTGGGCCGCATCATCGGCGGCACCATCTATCCCGGCCTGATGCTCACCTCGGCGGCCCTGTACCGCTTGATGTGGCTGCTCAACGTGACCATCGACATCCGGAACGTGTGTGTCTTCCTAGCACCCTTCTTCTCCTCGCTGACCACGCTGGTGACCTATGCTCTCACCAAGGAGATTCACGTAAGTTGAAAATATTAAATATTAAGAAAAATACTTTTACCGTTAACTGAAAACAAGTGTCCTTATTGCAAGGCTACGTTCCGCACGTGATTTTAATGATCTCTTCTCTTTTTAGAGCACTGGAGCCGGTTTGGTGGCCGCCGCTTTGATCTCTATCGTTCCGGGGTATATCTCCCGATCTGTGGCCGGATCGTATGACAATGAGGGCATCGCCATCTTCTGCATGCTCTTCACCTACTACTTGTGGATCAAGGCTGTCAAGACAGGCACGATCTTTTGGTCAGCCATGTCGGCCCTGGCCTACTTCTATATGGTATCCTCTTGGGGTGGCTATGTCTTTCTGATCAACCTAATTCCGCTGCACGTTTTGGCTCTGATGATCACCGGACGTTTCTCGCACAGGATCTACATAGCGTACAGCACGCTCTATTGCGTGGGCACAATTCTGTCCATGCAGATATCCTTCGTGGGTTTCCAACCCATTCAGAGCTCTGAGCACATGCTGGTAAGAACTTAATGCTACTTAGAATCTTTAAAGAGATTAGTGATTTATTGTGATGAATACTTAATAAATTCTTGATAGGAAGAGTATGAAACATAATGAGTACGAAAAAACCATGCTGATCTAATCACTTCAATTAAATAGTTTTAATTTACTTGTCAGATATCAAAAAGGCTTTTATTAAAGAAAATTATTTTTCTTGCAGGCATTAGGAACCTTTGGTCTTTGTCAGATTCACGCATTTGTGGACTACTTGCGCTCTCGCATTCCCAAGGATCATTTCGATCTGCTCTTCAAAACTTTGGTTTCTAGTGTGTTGACTGTGGTCTTTGTAGTGGGAACCTTGCTGACACTAACAGGAAAAGTGTCTCCCTGGACTGGCAGATTTTACTCGCTACTGGATCCGTCCTACGCCAAGAATCACATTCCAATTATTGCTTCGGTGTCGGAGCACCAGCCTACATCCTGGTCGTCCTTCTATTTTGATCTGCAGGTGGGTTAGTTTTTTAAGAGATTATTTTTAAAATCATTTATAAAGCGAAGCATTTCTAAAATTCCTTTTTTTTATAGTTTTTTAAATTTACTCATATTATTTGCTTTATTGATTGTTGCTTTAACATGTTAACATGTGTATTATATATAACCAAAGATATATATAGCCAAAGATGATAACTTAACCACGATGCGAATGAGTTGCGCCTTAATGCATTTTAATGATTACCTTGCACTTTGATCGCTGAGGCAGAGCTATATAAACTTATTTTTTCGCCTAACCCATCAGTTTAAAACTAATGTGTTTATTTTATTTCCAGATCCTGGTATTCCTCTTTCCCGCCGGACTGTATTTCTGCTTCTCCAAGCTCACGGACTCGAATATCTTCATTATTTTGTATGGCGTAACCAGTATTTATTTTGCCGGTGTGATGGTTCGACTGATGCTGGTCCTGGCGCCCGTGATGTGTGTTCTGTCTGGTATCGCCATTTCGCATCTTCTGGCCAAGTATATCAAGAGCGTGGATGCGGGTGGATCAGCGCGGCAGGGTGTTGAGAGCAAGCGGCAGCACAAGAAGCTGGAACAGCAAACTGGCGGGGTGAAGAGCGAGGTGGCAATTGGATTTGTGGGTGTAATCACACTAATGCTAATTGTCTACACGCTGCACTGCACCTGGGTCACCTCGGAGGCGTACTCCTCGCCCAGCATTGTGCTGAGTGCCAGGTCGCACGACGGCGGTCGCATTATCTTCGATGACTTTCGTGAGGCGTACTACTGGCTGCAAATGAACACTCCGGAGGTGGGTTTTCGCATTAAGTTGCTTTTGTACACAGGGCTTGCCCACTTAGCTTTATATACTTTTTATCTGGCTAAGTTTCCAACAAGGCATTGCCCTATTTTTGTGATGACTACTATATAAATTCTTAATAGGAAGAGTATGAAACATAATGAGTACTAAAACAACCAAGCTGACAAAAAAAATTGAGACCATTTCCTGTTACGATTTACCATTGAGCGGCCGAAATTAAACGCACCCAAATCTAATTTTCAGGATGCCCGCATTATGTCCTGGTGGGATTATGGCTACCAGATAACAGCTATGGCCAATCGCACGATATTGGTGGACAACAACACTTGGAACAACACGCACATTTCGCGGGTTGGCCAAGCGATGGCCTCGTCGGAGGAGAAAGCCTACGAGATAATGCGGGAACTGGATGTGGACTATGTCCTCGTGATATTCGGTGGACTCACTGGCTATTCGTCGGACGATATTAACAAGTTCCTGTGGATGGTGCGCATTGGCGGCAGCACGGATCGTGGGGCGCACATCCGTGAGAAGGATTACTATGCGGCCAATGGAGAGTTCCGGGTGGACAAGGAGGGCTCACCCACTTTGCTCAACTGTTTGATGTACAAGATGTGCTACTATCGATTCGGGCAAATGTACACGGAAGGCGGCAAGGCGCAGGGCTACGATCGCGTCCGAGCGGCCGAGATCGGCAACAAGGACTTCGAACTGGATGTCCTGGAGGAGGCCTACACCACGGAGCACTGGCTGGTGCGCATCTACAAGGTCAAGGATCTGCCAAATCGCGGCGTCTGAAGATGAAGATGAACTCAATATCATTCCACTCTATTCTGTGTTCTGTACATTAACATTAACTCGCTCTCTGTCTCTGTCTATCTCGAACATTCGGTAATCTCTATGGCTCAACGAGTATTAAAACCTGCTTTCGCCGCCTTGCATTTAGTTTTATACACTTGCACGCGAACCATTTATTTTTTTAATACATTATTTTAAAAATGTCTGAAGTGTACCACATGCGTGTAGCTCCTTAAACAAGAAACCAGTATGTAAGCGATCGAATGAAATATATATTATACAAATGTGAAAAGTGATCAGCGATTCTTATTTATTGGGTTGGTCGAAACTCCAGAATGCAACTACATATCAGGATTGGTGTATATAAAAGTGCTTTATTGAGAATAAGGCAAAATGCATGCGGGTATAAGTTAAACAGAGCGTAGATATAGTCGGTAGGAGGATGGGTTTCTCGGAAACCCTCTTGGTTAGTGGCTGCTGCCGTTGGTGGTGCCATTGGCCTTAGGATTCTGTTTGCCGGCGGCGATGAAAGTGGTCACGTCCAGCTTGCTGGCCACCGCTTTTAACTCCTCTCTGCCGGCAGAGTTTTTGCCCAGGATGAGCACACTGGGATCCACCTCGAGGACGCGGGCCAGCTTGCCCAGAATCTCGGACTCATTCAAGCGGATCACTCGCTTGTTAATGGCTTTGATTGCGGGATCGGACTGCTGACGGTTCATGCTCACGATTTGGGTGATCAGTGTCTCCTGGCCCACAACGCCCAAAATAGAACTAAGTTAAAAAATAAAAACAAAGGATTGTAATAAATGTCATAGAATGATTCAATTTCGTTGGGCTTACCCATCATCCTGATCCACAACGGGCAGCTGGTCCACGCGATGCTTCTTCATCAGGGCAATGGCCTCTCCGACCGTCGCATCCGACTTGAGAACTGCCGGCGGAGCGGGAAGCTGTAGCTGGTCGATGGTGAGACTCCACCACCAGTGATTGTGCTCGTTGACCGGTTCCTTGAAGCCACGCGCCTCCATCCAATTGTCCGAGACGAACTTGGTCATGTAGTTGCGAATGCCATCGGGCAGGATGACCACGCAGCGCTGGCCCTTCTTCAATTTGCGCGCATGCTGGAGGGCAGCGTGCATCGCACCGCCACTGGAGCCGCCGCACAGCAGACCCTCCTCCGCGTTCAGACGTCGGCTCATGGGGAAACAATCGGGATCGCCGATCTTTGTCCACACGTCCACAACGCTGTCATCGAAAACGGTGGGCGGGAAGTCATAGCCAATGCCCTCCACCTCGTAGAATTGCACATCGGTCTTGTTGAGCTCCTTCGGCCGCGCCAAAATCGAACCATACGGATCCACGCCGACAATCTGGCAATTGGGCGCCTGCTCCTTGATCTTCCGGCCAATACCACTTATTGTGCCAGCCGTTCCCGCAGAGACCACAATCATGTCGACTTGGTTGTCCAGCTGCCAGAGGATTTCGGCGGCTGTGCCATCGTAGTGGGCCAGCGGATTGCCAGCATTGCGATATTGATCCAGGACAATCGAGTTGGGCGTCTCCCGCTGCAGTTGCTGCGCCACGTATATCAATCCCTCCGGCGAATCGTAGGCGGCCTCCGTGGGCGTCCGAATGATCTTGGCACCCAGAGTTCGCAGCGCCGAAACCTTCTCGTTGGACATCTTCTCCGGCATCACGATGATGCACTTGTAGCCCTTGACGGCACAGGCCATCGCCAGTCCGATTCCCGTATTGCCCGACGTCGGTTCGATGATGGTGTATCCTGGTTTCAGAAGTCCCTGCTCCTCAGCATCCTGCACCATTCGATAGCCGATGCGGTCCTTCACCGATCCTCCGGGATTGAGGAACTCGCACTTGGCATCTTAAAAGGGAAAAAGTTGAATACAATTAAGTCTTGAAATATTATAGAGGAGATCCTTTTGACGTACACATCTCGCACTCGATTCCCTCGCTGACCGGAATGTGATTCAATTTGACCAGTGGAGTGCATCCGATGACCTCGAGGATGTTCGGGGTGATCTGCTGGCGGTGGGCGATGCCCCGCTGTGTGTGGGGCGACTTCTCGGTGGTTCCCAGATGCCATTTGCATTTCGATGGCTTTCCGGGATCGATGAAGTCCGCGGGCCTTTCGTATGGCTTCGGCTTGGGCATCTCTACAGGGAAAATAATGAGATGAACTTAATGAAGCTGGCTATTAAACAAAGGAAATCAAGTAGAAACTTATTTTGTTTCTAGGACATCATCAAATTTTGAAAAATGATAATCGTGTTTGGTTACCACTTGAAAAATGAGTCTGCTGACAAATACTTGTACAATTTTATGACTTTCAAAACGCCAGATGGTGCTGCTGGACCTCCGATGACCCCAGAGCCTATCACCCCAGATTCCGGTGGGATCACTTGGGGAAATATCAAAGAAGAACGCTGATTCGAAATATATTTCTTGTTGTCTCATTGCGACTGAGATTGTAAAATTGCGTGAGATTATTATTCAATCGAAAGCGAAAAGGTCGGGCCTTAAAACCGATGACGTGACAGAATTGATAGGCAGAAGAGCCATTTGAAAACAGGAAGGAAAGCTTATCAATGTTCTAACTTGCGCAATAAGATATAGTAATCCCCGTACATAATTAAAACATCAAGATCAGACTCATTTCATACTGATCAGAAATATTTACTCAAAGGGCGATGACGAGCTATTTTGTTTATTTTTGAACTCAAGGATTTTCTTATCAAGTTAAGTGGGGAAAGTTCAGCGAAATAAACAAATTAGCAATGTTGTGTGAGAATTTTAGTAACTGACAAGATCTTTCTTATTTCTGTGAATCTTTCTATTTTTCCGTTCACTGATCTCCGTTTTTATCTAAAGGTCCCCTTTTCTCTTCTTCTTCTCTAAGTTGAAAATCAATAGTAGTGCCTGCTGTTCAAGTTGCGGTGTATTTTTTAGATAAGGTTTCCAGGTGGCAGTGATTGATTGTATCGATACGCTACTCGAATTCTATCATCCACTAAGCAAACTCAAATAAGGGACAGTGTATACATATACGTATGTATGTTTATATTATATGGAAAGTAATGGTATCTGGCGCCACGTTTTGTGGGTATCTCTTGGATTTCAATTTTTTCTAGGGTAGGTCGGAATCTGTTAAATAAAGCTATCATTAAAAAACTAGTGTGGGGCCTAAAAAACTAGTGTATGCAAATAAAATTACAGGAGATTTAAAAAAAAAATACCTACATATATTTAATGTTGTTAATTTTTTCGTGTGTAAACTCTTCTCTACTTCCCTTCACCACCCACAGGAAAAAGGGGAGAATGAAAGAGAGGACTTTTTATTGCTCTTTCTTGTTTATCTCCCCCCTTTCACACACATGTACACTCCCAGCATGTTCAAGTCTCCATGTGTAAATACATATGTATTTTTGTATATATTTGTTTCGCAAGCACGCGGCTTCAAAATAGAAAAACAAAAATAACAAACGGAAAATAAAAAAATGAACACAAAGAATAAACGAGCACATGTTTCTCTCTTCTCTTTTCTGTATAGGTCTATTTTGCCGGTTTGAACTTTATTTCGAAGTCCGTAGGAAATAAGGGCGGGCGAGACAAAGTAAGGAACTTTGCAGGAAAAGGATGATGGTGAAACGTCTTTGGAATGTTTTTAGCTTTAGTTTTAGTTACTTACTAGTGGAGATAATGCGATTAAGGAGCAACTAACAGCAAGAATTGCGAGAAGCGACCGCCACGATGCTGCCAACGAAAGCAATTGGGAAAAAAATCCAACCAACGCAAACCACTTGCGGCTAACGGTCGTTGCCGACTGCGACGCCGGCAGAAGCAGTGGCAGCGCACATTGGGGCCTATCCCCCGAACAAGTTCCACCAACTGTAATTACATATGTAGTTCAAAACGAAAAGAATCCATTACATTTTTTTGCAATCCGTACAAACAAAAAAATAAACCATCTTATGATGATAAAAAGCAATATTAAATATTTGAGCATTAATTCTAAACATTTAAATTTTTCTTTTAATTTTGGTAGTAAGGTGAAGTCCACTGTAAGGCCGGGAACCAAAGAGAGCCATTGGCAACCGGTTATCTCTCTACTCAACCTAGCTTGGTCTGTTGTTTCTTGTAAGGCTAAAAAAACGTAAAATTTCATCAATCACACACACCAAACATCAGGTATGATGTTAAGAAGATACTTTTGTATCTCTACAAATTGTAAAGCAAGTACCAGTACCTAAAAGCTCCAAAGCCGAACAAAGAATTTAAAACTGTGCTCCCAAACTGCAAACTATTCAACCAGTGCTTCTCAACCTGTAATTGTGCCAAACAAATGTTTATTGTTCATAAAAAACACTTTATTTTAACAGTTTGCCATGTTGAAACAAAAAAACTTAAGTAAAACAGCCAAACATCGGTTTGTTTTAATAAGGAATTAATTTTTTGTTGTTTTTCTTGATGACAAAAAAGCTGCATACCAGTTAAAAAGGAAAACAAATTTTGAATATTTGTCGAAAGTTTTACTACTTATTTTCTTAAATTTTTTACGGGTTTTGGCATTAACCATGAAAAGTTCAAAAGTCGTTATATTTTAATGGGGAACTGATTTTTCGTATTTCGAGTCACATAAAAATGCTGCATAACACATTCTCTAAATTAAAAAAAAAATCCCAATTTTTTTAAAATATCGCAAGGGCATATTGTTACCATAAATATAGTACGATTTTAATAGTATTGTAAGGAAACACACTTCCAACTTTTTTTTTGCAAGGAATTTTCTTACATTTGTGACAGATCAGTTTTGGAAAATTTGTAACTTTTATTATAAAACAAAAAATACATCGACTAGACCTATGTGCTTAGAAGGCAGCGGCGGCGATGACCTGGAGAGCCATGTAGACGGTGGCGGCCAGGGCAACGAAGAAGGCGAGGGCCCGGGATGGCTGGGGCACTACGACCACGGCGTAAACGAGAGTGTGGACAATACGAGCGATTCCCACGGCCCGGAACAGATTAATGGCCAGGAAGGGAGCCGGATTGGTCAGAACATAAAGCAGACCGATGGCGAAAAACGGCAGGATGTTCTCTAGATCGTTACGATGGGCACGACGCACACGCTCCACATTCGGGTCATCGAACTTGACCTTCAGCTTGGGGGACATCAAGTCCTCAGGGTTGGCAAAGGTCTGTAAACAAAAAGGATATGGTAAGAATTTATTGTCCATTTTTAGTAATATTACGGCAGTCGAAGTCAGTGTAAGTCCAACCAATCTTATCTGAGTTCAAAACAATATACCATTTATTTTGGTTTTACATAAACTAATCATTGTGCTTGAGTATTCCGATTAAAGCAAACAACTAACGTGATATTTTTCCACTTAATTTAAATAAATTTATAAAGCTTGATCTGTTTTAACTTTCACTGGCTCGAGACTTTGACCCCACTGTGCGACCTCTTCTCCTTTGGCGCTCTTTACCCCCTCTTACCTTTGTCTTAAATCGCTGCAGGCCGGTCAAAAGGCTCATGAAAAGAATTTTGATCACCAAAACTCCCACCCAAAAGGTAAAACTCTTGAAGACGGGATTGGCAAGGCTTAATAATTCCACTGGGCTGGTCATTTTAATGTTTTTATTTTAAAATTGTAGTAACTTAGTAAAGAACTATATAAATTCGCCAACTTGCTCGCTTCCAGCAAAAAATTAAAGTGAGCGTAATCCGCATTTGCTCCCTTTTTTTATACCGGCAACCGAAAGCTCTCTCTCGTTCGCTCTCCATCTCGCTCTTGCTTATTGATTAAAGTGCAAGTCACTCTGAGACAGCGGATGCCAGATCGAGAGAGGAAGCGGTGAGAGAGAGCAAGGGAAAATTACAGCAGCAGCATAACAAATAAAACTGAAGCGTAAATATCATAATTAATTTCGAATAGGTGCTAATAAAAATTAATTTAAAAATTATATTAACAAAAATCTAAAATACAGAAAAAAATGGATGTAAGTAAACACCTAAATTCCTGGTGCTGTAAGGCTGGACGCAATTGTACGTGTAGAAAAATGTATCTCAAACCATTTCCATGTAGATGGCATGTAGATAACGCCGAAAAAAGAACGTAAGTTTAAGAATATTACTTACGGCCGTAATGAAGCGCATCAGACCCGTATAAATGCCCGTGGCGAAGATCTTGAGCACCAAAACTGCCGACCATCCCAGGTAGCATCGGAACACCTGGTTCTCCAGTGAAATAAGCTCGGGACTTAGCATTTTGAAAGACACTTGTTGACTGAAACTACTTGAAATCAGGTTTAAAACCGATTACGCCAATACCTTAGAAAGTTTATAATTGGGTATATAGATTTAATAAAACTCATCTTGTCCTTGAAATTAATTATTAAGTTTGTTTAATTGTTTTTATTTCTTTTATTTAAACACAAATGTTTGTACAATAAATGTTGTGTTTTTTGGTTGTTGCATATTATTCGATCATGATTTATAATACCTTACTATAGTTACAACTAGTTACAGTCGCATTCAAGTGCTGGCGATTAACATTAAATGAAACAACAAAAGCAAACAAATTGCCAGTAATTACCGGTCAAATTGCAAAAACAAAAACGCTCAACAAAGCTCAACTAGTTTTCCTACTAGTTATGTACATTTCAAAATCAGAAGATGTTCAATTTCAAAATTGAAAAACAAAATATGGATTAATTGGCCAATCAAGCGATAAGGGAAGCTAAATATAGGTTACAAGTGCACCTGTATTTGTTCAATCATATCAGAAGGTGTCTGAACTGATAAGGCACTATCGTAAATCCCATTAATTCGGTGGGTTTTTAATGAAATAATATTACTAACAATAAATGCAAAATATTTTCATTATTCTGAAGCAACATAAAGTTTCGCTTTCAAATCTCAAAAATTCCTCATACGCAATTTAAGTAATAGTTCCACATTATTCATTCGTTTGGGAACACATTTCCCAATGATTCGTTTTTCGAAACGATCTGTTTTCCATTATCCACTTGGTTGCCATCTGGAAATTGGCGACCCAAGCCGCTGGCCCCAATTCCGCGAAATCGCTTCGATCTTGGGCCTAACCTTCTGCCAGCGAATTTGGGCTAATGATAATGCAAACACACAATGATTCCATAGGGCGGGCACCCAGATCCGAGCATACATGCATGCCTACTATATATAGTCATTATGCTCCACTCAATCAAGTTGTAAGGGATGGGGGCTCGAGTGCAGCTTACAGCGGAAAACCCAGACGGTGTCCACTTCACGAACAGACCCGAGAGGCCCGAGTAAACGGATAAACAGAGATGGGAACCAAAAATGAAAAGCCTATTTCCTAAGTGTAATTAATTAATTTCGGTGGTTGTGGTGGATGCAGTTGGGCGGCAGCATCATCATTTGGATGCCAGCCATCCGCCGTCCAGTGGCATCCAATCGAATCAGTTTATCCAGCGCTCTGTCGTCGCGAGCACGTACCAGAAAAATCCGAACGGAATAAGTCGAGGCAGAGATTTTCGAAAGCTACGGCAAATAGTTTTTTTTCAAACTGGACCACATTTTCGAGGATTGTCAGCGACAGCAGTTTCACAAAATGTCTCACGGCGAGCGAAAAGGCCGCCTCAATGTGGTCAAGTTTTTAGAATTGGTAAAGAATTTTTTTTCAAGTGATCCCCTAAAAGAACTTGTGATGGAAAACTCTCTATAACACAAAAACCATGCCCTTGAAAACTTTAGTAAAACTATGATTTCTAAAAAATGAACATATTACTTTATGTTCTTTAAATAATTAAAAAGGATACAAAAAATAATACAAATTAAAATACAATTAATGTCTATGGCTTTATAGGGTTTTGCGGTAGCTTGTCTTGTGCTTCATTTCTACAGCTTCAACGATCGCGATATAATGACATCTTTCTTGGCCACAGGCACTTTTACTGGCTATATAATTGTGGTCATCGGGGTGTTTGCAGGTGAGTTTTGGTAAAAGAAAATCCCAAATACTTCAAAGAGATATTCAAAAAAGACCCAAACTGTGTGATCTCTTCATCTACTGATAATTAAAATATATTTTAGGTGTTCTAATGCGGGCCCCGATCCACAAGCGCATTGACATATTCTTTAGTGTCCTCGGCTGCACTTTGTTCGTGGCCAGCGGTGTGTTCATCATCGAAGCCTGGGAGTTCTCGTTCAGGACCCGAACTCGGGATCTCGCCCTCATCAAGGCCTCGTTGTCCATCGTCAATGGGGTGCTGTTCGGATTCGATGCCGTCTTCACATTTCGCGATAAGTGAGCCCACCTTGGCCACCAGGAGACCACCACTGTGCCAAATCTTCTCTCTTTCGGAGCTTCTTTCTTGTGCATTTAATAGTTGTAAGGATATATATTCCTCTTCCGGCTGAAAATCAGAATTCCATCGACCATACAAACACGCCAACTTTTAACGTTAATCATTATACTTAAGTGTTCTTTTTTTTTTTTGTCACAATAAAAAGTAATTCGCCATCATTCAATTAGTTATACAAGAAAGCAAAAGTCGATATTTCCGACAACATAACATATCTTCGTACTTGCTAAGCATCTTTATAGAAGGTGAGAGTATCATGAGGATTTATAAGACTCTGTGGACGAACAGTAAAGTAAAAGAAGAAAAAGTAATTAGCCCGGCACTCCGATTACGGTTTCAAAACTGGGAAATTCGTAGGAAACCATTTGTAATAAGTCTATCTAAAATTATTTCAATAAGTACATTCATTGTTGAATTCTAACACAATTGGGAGTATTAGACTTATAGAATTTTCACAAATCATTTTTTCTTATAAGTAGGTTGGTTAAAAAGTTCTATATTCCGGGGAAGATGAAAACCGAGCGCTCCTCGCAAAGCATATGTATACAAAATTTAATAGCCTATCTAAATTGGATCTCGAGATCCAGGTGTTTGCGAAATATACAATTCGATGGGCCCCCGTAAATCGAGAGCACCGGGCACAATGGGACGCAAATGAAGGTGAGCTGGCGGCCCAATTCGTTTACATCGCAATAGTAGTTAGCGTTTAATTTCTTCCTGTTGTGTGTGTTTGTTTTTTCCATTTTCATTTGTTGATAAACGTGAGAACATTCTGGCCGCCGTTTTGTTACTTTGTTGATTTCCATAGCCAGCCGTTTGTCGTTAGGCGCATCTTTGGATGTCGAGTGTGTGTGTGTGTGTGTGGGTGTGTGTTGCTGAGTGGTGTGGATACTACATGTGGTTCAGTTAGGCAGAGTTGTGGATGTTCAAACGGAAGATGTCGTGCGCCACGAAGAAGGTGCCGGCGTTGGCCTTCAGGACGAACACCTGCGAGAAGGCGTGTGGGGGATCATCGTCGCACTGCAAGGTAGTTAAATCACACATTAATACACTAACTATCAATCAATCATTGTGTTTTATTCCATTAATACAGCGTGCGAAAAACATTTGTAATTTTCGTGTTAGAAATGAAAGGGGAAAGCACACAAGTTCAAGCCAGGATCAGAGAAAAGGTCGTGTCAGCCAATTGGTTTCGTGCAGGTGGGGGTTCACTGTAAAGTGGTCGCCAGTTAAATGGAATAAAATGTGCAGAAAGTAAGATTCGATTTGAATACATTATAAACTGTATTAATAAATGCTTTAAAATGTATTGAAATATAACAATGGTGGCCCAGTAGTTAGTTTATATAACGTGTTCTTAATTACGATTTGGTTAGAAAATTTAAGCTCTTTTGCTTCAGATTTCTAAGTTCCATTTGCCAGCGACCGTCTGTGAGCAGAACCAATTTGAAATTAGGGAAAAACCATGCACGAAACGAAAGGCGCAACTTTTTGTGTTGGTTAATTGTTGGTTGGTTGGGCTTTCACGTACTGTGAGAGTGAGTGGAAGAAATTGAACTACGACGAGACGCCAAGGATATTCGCATTCTGTTTCATGTGGACTAAGCGACGGACTTATCGCTTGGATATAGGTTTTTCTTTTGATATTGATATTGAACTGGGTCTCGTCTCTTCGCGGCTGAGTGATATTTTGGCTGCTTTTCTTGATCTTGATCTTAAACAGTGATTGACTGGAGGCAGGGCTACACATTGTGCAGCGATAGTCGGAATATATCGCGCTCCACGTAGAAACCACAGCCGCCCGGTTTCAATAGGAAGGTCTGATTGAAGGCGAGCGGTGGATCGTCATCGGCCTGCGTCGTTTCAATATTTTAGGTTTATTATAACCAGGATTGCGATATACGATACGGTTGGTGTATGTGGTATATCCGATGCTGCGGCGGTCGGTTAATAGCACTGATTTTATTTTAAAGCCATGAAGAAACACTACATATGAATTTAATGCTTAGCGAGTCGTTTTAATTAATTGCCTCTCTTTAACTCACAGAAGTGGGCAGTATAATCAACATACTTTGATTATTTATTTCTTCTCTTTTAATAGCAATACCTTTTCTGCTTAACAGTTGTTTATATTGGTTTCATTAATAAACAAAACTTTATTTGTTGACAATATACAACTGTTTATGTGTTTAGGTACACATTCTAGGTTTAAATATGGTAAGATATAATCAAAGTTATACAAGAAATAAAAGACTGCAAGAGTGAAAACAAGCTAATACGAAATACAGATTAAAAAAATGCAAATATAAAATATTTATAGTGCATACATTTTTATAAGTGAGGTTCAAGACTGAATAATGTTACAAATATATAAATTTAAATGTTGATTTAAACACAAAAAATAAAAAAGGGTGCTATTATCCTAACCGCCACTGTACAACAGGCAGACTCTTCATTTTTTTGGACGGCAAGTTGCGGGATATATTTTTGGATGGTTGATGTTTTTTGTTTTCGCTTTAAAGTGTCGATTTGCTTACCTGTAGTCTTCCTAGGACATTAATTAGAACTCCACCGTCGAATGTTGGCTGCGAATCGACTGTGGTTATCACTCGTGTAATTTTTTGGAAGGTTAAGCTCTGTAAGAATTAAATATTTTAAAATATACTCAATAACGACATAATAATTCATATAACCATGACTCACCTGAACCTTTTCAAGAATTTTTGGTGCACCCTGTATTTGGTGGCCCTCAAAGGTCATGAAGGAGTCAGTTGCCTAGAAAAAAGACATGTCTGATTAAATGATTGAAATCAATATGTAGGGATAGTATAAATATCTTATACATGTATATATATGTATATCTAAATGCTTGTATAGCAAAACTGGATCATTAATTCGTTTTTCGGGCTGTAGTTCTGGACTTTATTAAAAAGTTGTCATTTATAAATAGGTGTCAAATTTTAAGCTCTGATTTCTTTCGATTTCTTTCTTTCTTTTTTATATTATTTATGGCTTTCTAAGCTTGTATTGCGTTGACCTCGTCTGTATGTTGGCCATATACTTCGCATGTGTGTATTTATTTATGCGAGCATGGGCGTAATGTGTCACTCGAAACTTCGAGAATCGATCGCTGGCCGGTTCATCCTATTACCCCGATATCTCGTTTTTAGATCCATCTATATCTCCAGGTGCGTTTTAACTATTTTCGCGCTCTTTTTGGTTTTGCGCCCGATTTTTTAAGGAGGCGGAATTTTTCAAGGGCGCGTCGCGCGTCACCTGTGTGTGAGCGGGACAGCAACAGATGGGCGGAGGATGAGCAAGAAGAAAGCGTGATAAAGGAGGCCAGCACAAGAAAAAGCGATAAATAGGCATAAAGGAGAGATGATAAACAACAAAACCTACGCTGTAGAAGTTAACCACATTTGCCCGATTCGCCGGGTCATCGAAGATTGCATAGTACTGCTGTACGAATCCCTTTCCAATGTCCTCGTACTGTGGATTCAGCGACATTTCTGTTTTGGCGGCGGTTTTTGGCGGTTAAAGGCTTAGAATGAAATCCGATCGCAACGACCCGATATTTTTAAAAAACTAAAATAATAATCAACTGAATTTTGCTAGAGATTGCACAGTGAGACCAGCGGAGTACTTTGTGAATAAGGCAAACAGGGCTGACAAACAAGTAGTGGCGAACTTGGGTATGCGTTTAGTCAAGCTCGAAACCCAGGCAATTTTGGTGGATTTTGAATTAGAATTTAAAAATAATTTTATAATGAATGTATATACTTAACATCTTTATAATAATAATTATAATAAATTTAATAAATAATAAATTAAATAAATTTAATTTCAAATAATAAAGTGAAGTCGAAAACAGTGACCGTTTAAGCAACAGGTGCCGATTTGCTCCGGTCACACCGGAAAGCACACCCACTGTTTGGAGGAGAAAAATTTCGGAAAATAAAACGGCTGGTTACCAATTGACGCGTCGCAATTGGTGCACCTCCATCTGCAGCGATGTTCACCGCATTCACAGACTTGGCCCGCCTGTGCAGGATCTGCCTGCGTCATTTGCGGGATCGGGAGAGCCAGTGTCCCGATCCGCGACTCATTGCGATGCTCCAAAAGTTTCTCGACATCGACATCCTGCAGCAGCCGCAGGGGTTCCCCACTGAAATCTGCAATCTGTGTCACAATGCGGTGGCCTACTTCGAGGAACTGTGCCAAGTGGCAAGGGAATCCAGCCAGAAACTCAGTGAATGGCATCACAAGGATACTTTAATGGACAGGGTGGATATATGCGGCTTTATAACTGCTTAAACCAAAATTAATACTTTCTTAGAACTTCCATAGGTCAAGGAGGAACCACTGGAGGATGGGCTAGAGGAAACTCCAAAAGAAAGCCAGCAGGATCTGGAGAAAGGGCAGGAAAACTTGGAGGATGATCTGCGAGAAGGGTTGGTAGAAAAAGAAGAGGTTCGAGAGGACCAGGACGAACAGGAGTACCCAGACGAGTACCAGGACAGCCAGGAGCAGATGGATCAGCCCTCAACGAACAAAAGGCGCGCCGGTTTGGCCTGCGATCAGTGCGGCAAGCAGGTGTACAAGCTGCCCTATTTGGAGGCCCACATTCGCAGCGTTCATCAAGGCTATTCGAAGCCCTTCCTGTGCCGCAGCTGTGACAAATGCTTTACGCGGTACGAACAGCTGCGCTCCCACATGCGCAATGCCCATCCGCAGCTGGAGCAACTGCAGCAGGAGCTGCGGGAACTCATTTGCGAGCTGTGCAATCGGCAGTATAGCACGAAAAACGCCTTGGGCGAGCACCTGAAACGGCATGCCCAGCACAAGGAGCACGTGTGCGAGCACTGTGGCGTGGCCAAGGTGACGCGAACGGAGCTGCTGACCCACCTGCGCACCCACAATCCCACTTGGGAGCGCTTCAAGTGCGAACAGTGTCCGCAGTTGTTTCGCCACAAAAGCGCAATTAGCCGGCATGTTCGCGTCGTTCACGAGGGTCAAAGGAGGTTCCAGTGCGGTCATTGTGAGAAGAAGTTCGGCACTCATGCCTCGCAGGTGCGGCACGAGCGGCTGCATGCGGAAACCATCGAGGGAGGCAGCGGAGCTCCTCCGGACTGGCCCTTTGCTTGTGTCCATTGTCAGAAGGCCTGTGTTTCGCGGCAGACTCTGGAGCTGCATCTCAGACGGCACAGCAGTCGAAGAAGTCACAGAAAAAGGAAGGATAAGCAGAATCAGGAGGAGGAGCGTCAGCAGAATCAGGAGGAGGAACGTCAGCAGAATCAGGAGGAGAAGGAGGAAGAGGAGGAGCATCTGCCAAATCAGGAGGGAGAGAAGGATCTAGAGGAGCCGGCGGACAGCCAGGATCATCCTCACAAGAAGAAAAAGCTAAGGAAGAGCAAACAATCTAATAAACCGCAAAAGGAGAGACAAAAAGATCAAGAGTTTCAGGAGCAAACGCAGGAGTTTAACCAGGATGCACTAGAGGACTGGCAGCACAAAACAGAACCTGAGGATCCAGAAGATCCACAATGGGAGCACAAATTGGAGCAGGAGCATTCAGAAAGGGAGAAATCAGAAGAGCATAACCACGACTATAAATTTAAGCCTTCAGTAACCTTATGATTAACAATCCAAATATGTACAAGAACAAGGCAGAATATTCCACAGTGTCTCACGAATTAGCAAAAATTGTTAAATAATAAGCGATTTACCGCGTGGTTGATTTTACAATTTATTAAAGAGTTTTTTAATCTGTTTACCAAAGTTTTGAAGTGTTTCGTATGGGAATATATATTTGGGTAAAAATGCATTTATAACTTACTCGTTTTGCTTTTACAATAATAATTATATATACATTTTAAATATATATATTTAATTATATATACATTTTAAAGCTGTAATTGGGAAAATGTTTATAGTTAATTTATTTTTTAATAACAATAAATGATGAATGAAGTGATATTTAAATTATGAGGGTTGATAAGCTTTATTGCAAATGGAAACATCGATATCTTCCAATCGATATTTCCAAAAGCTCAAATAAGTCTTTCTTTTGTGGCGCACTGCTTACGGTCACACTGCTGCCGAACGTACATAAACAAGGCCGAAATTCGATTGTAAACCATTTTCATACACTCAGCGCCAGTTAAATAAATCGCAGGGAATAAACTTTAAGATGTCGGCGATTTCGGGACGTGCACTTCACTATGTTTTCAAAATCGGAGATCGAGCTAAAAATGCATTTTTCTTTCGCCAAATCTTGGGAATGAAGGTGAGAAGAGGGGAGATATCTTCTAAAATCGGTAGACTTTCTTATCGTGATTGTTATGTCTGGCTGTAGTTTTATCTGAACAACGTGTCAACGACACACGACTGCTAATTAAAAAGCCCAGATGCCCGATAATGTCATATAATGACGATGTTAAAATTTTGTTTCTTGCTTTGTTTTTCTATCGCCATCTCGCTTGGCAACAGGTGTTGCGGCATGAGGAATTCAAGGAGGGCTGCGATGCCGCCTGCAATGGGTAAGTGCAAGGGAGATAAATATATGCTGGTAAATTGTGGCAGGACTAACCGGTAATTGCTTAACCCTTGTCAGGCCCTACGACAATCGTTGGAGCAAAACTATGGTCGGATATGGACCCGAAAGCTCGCATTTCGTTATTGAACTTACCTATAATTATGGTGTTAGCAGCTACGAAATGGGTAAGTTATATACACAAAAAACTAGTTTACATAAGGGTTAAATATCCTTAACCCTTAGCTTGGCAAATTGCAGTCTTAAGTCCTAATGCACTTGTAACGAATTTAAACGATTTTAAGCTTACAATAAAATCTCCAACAAAATTCAAATAGTAATATTGGTAACCTCAGGTAACCGTAAAGATTTTCACAAAGTTGTACCCGATTATATTAATTCGTATGTGGAAAGTACAAATCAGATCCTATCGTAACGCACAAATGGGTTTTCCTATCGTCGACAACTTTAAAATTAAGTGTTCTACTATTAATAGGTTTTTGATAAGTGACTGGGTATAATTTTGTAGAGATAGTAGGTTATTAATCTTTTTCTTTATGAATAAGCAAATCTTTATCTTTCAGACATTCGATTAGACTGCGTTTTAAAATCTTTTCAAACATTTTCGGTTATCACAAAATGAACTGCATATTTGACTTTATTATCTGTACTTATTCTCATTATTTCTTTTTGCTTTCAGGAAATGACTTTGGCGGCGTGACCATACATTCCAAGGATATCCTTTCCCGGGCCGCCGAGCACTCGTATCCTGTGACTAAGGTTGCTGGAAAAGCAGGTAGCCTGCTCACCTCCCCCGATGGCTATAAGTTCTTCGTGATCGATGAGGCGTCCGCTAGTGCCGATCCTGTTAAATCGGTTGAGTTGAATGTGAGCAATCTGGAGAACTCGAGGAAGTATTGGCATGACTTGCTGAAGCTGCAAGTTCTTGAGGAGAGCAAGGAGAGCCTGCGATTGAGTTACGGCGAAAAGCAGGCTTCCCTGCAGGTCACCCAGATCGCAGAGCCGATAAACCGCGCCAAGGCCTACGGGCGTATTGCCTTTGCCATTCCATCGGCCCAGCAGCCGCCGCTCCACGAGGCGGTGAAGGCAGCCGGCGGAGCCATCCTTACCCCACTGATCACGCTGGATACGCCGGGAAAGGCCACCGTTTCGGTGGTGATCCTTGGCGATCCCGATGGCCATGAGATCTGCTTCGTCGACGAGGAGGGATTCGGCCAGTTGTCGCAGGTGGAGCCCGATGGCGAACAGCGGCTGGACAAGTACATCGCAAAGGATCCCTTCCAGCAGAAGTGATCCGCCCAACGATCCTGAGCACTGATATTTGTACACACCACTTTGTATTTGGAATTCGTTTTGCTGTTACGGTTATTGGTTGAATTTACGGGCGATATTGTTACTGCACATTTTGTATGTTTTATATTGTATCACACATCTGTTGTTGCTGATTTTGTAAAATTCACATGGTGAATGAAAACAGGGCCTTAAAATACTTACATTTTGATTACATAAACTGTCGATAAACCAAGTGTATCCATTTCTTATTGTAATTAGCTTAAAGCATTTCAATTATTTTTATTTAGTTTTTTTTTGTTTGACTTTATCGTCAGTTCCATTTCTGTTTTAGGAAAGACAAATTCGTTTGGTTTCCAATTTTCTATTATTTTTTTTTACAATTTTTTTTGCCGTAGTTAGTTTTTAATTGTTTTTTTACTTGACCGACGAGGAGATAGGATGAAGGAAATGGGTCTATCGGCACCGGCCGGCGTTTTGCTGGCAAATCTGAAGCCATGGGAGTCCATCGACTGGCCGGCGGAGCAGCAGCGCTGGATCCACCGCAGCTGGGGTCAGTACTTTGCGCGGATGCGTAAGAACAGCGTCGCCGAGCAGTATTTCGACAAGTGCATCAAGGAGCACGAGGGCATCGATCACAAGGCATTGTATCTGCGCAGCAAGTTCCAGAGGTCGGTGGCCTTGACGGAATTCGCCTTGGAGGACAGTTTAAAGGCTGTGGATGCGAAGGCGGCGTGGAATGCGAACATATCCATGGAGCTGGCCGATGCCCTGTACGATCTGAATCGATTCGAGGACAACAAGAGTCTGCTGCACGACAATGTCCGGCGGCATGCGGGCACCGCGTTGAGGGGCTTCGAAAATCGCCTCCGTGTTGTCGACGAGAATCTGAAGGATTGCACCGGCTACAGTATGGCGAACTTCTTCATGGAGAACTCGACACAGTTGCCGGGATTCTACGAGTACAAGCAGCAGCAGCAGCGCAAGGCTGACAAGCGACCGCTGTGGAAGATCCTCAAGGAGCAAAAGCAGTGCGATGTCCAGAGCATTATCGATCGCAAGGAGGTGATCCTCTCGCCGCTGGAAATCGAACGCCGGCGTCGCAAGACCAAGATCTACTATCAAAACTATTTGGGTCGCAACTGGACGGATTTCATCTTTCTGAAAACGCTTCGCCGCAATCCCAATTGTCTGCTCGACAATAATTTCGGCTCCTCGCCAGCGCGAACCGAGCATCTGGAGAGTTCGTTTAAGCGGCTAAAGACCTTCACCCGAATGCTTCAGGCAAGGAGTCCCATGTACAATGAGTACTACCAGCGGAGTCCACGAATGGAGTTTTGCATGCGGGAGGCGAATCTGTTCAGGATTCAGTACCAGACCAGGCGCAACATGTTCAGTATCCTTCGCACCATTCAGGTGCTGAGGAAAAAGAAGGACATCAAGGTGGGTTTCGGATAGGAAATATATTCCTTTATATTAACTATAAATTGTTTTTAACTATATAATTCCTTCTATTAATTAGCGTCTTCGCAAGTTCGTGGAGGACGTGATGGGCAACTACGTGGTGATCAAGACGAACCGCCTGATGCCCTGGAAGACGGAGTTCATGAACGAGGTGTACAACAACTTGGCGTTGAGCCTGTGCGAACAATACCGCCTCCCATCCACGCGGGTGACCCCATACGACAAGAGTGCCATGTGCCAGCTGCTCAATATACCGATTGCCAAGCCACTGGAGCACACGGAATTCATCTTCGGGGACCGATCCACCTACTCCACCTATGCGGGTCCCGAAAGACAGACCACCGATCGCCTGGCGGATCAGTGAGTGATTAGATTGTGATTAGAAAAATTCCAGAAAATCAACATCATTATACGCGTATATTTTCTGCCACAGAAACTACATTGATTACTTGGAGAAGAGGCTAGTGTTCGCCCGACTGCCGATTGAAAGGAGCTACTTGCTCCACGAACTCGCCGATCGACACATGCTGAAGAACCACTTCATCCAGAGCCTGTCGTATGCCCAGAAATCCGTGGACGAGGCGCGGGGATGCAATAGCCGGATCTGGGAGTTCCTCAGCACCATGCTGATGGCCAAGTCCCATGCGGTGCTGCATAAGTACGAGCGGCAAACGGAGGTGCTCAATTCCGCCTACGCGTTGGCCACCGAACTCAAGTCGCCGCCACTCTGCACCTTCATCGAGTTGTGCCGCATGCTGAACAAGGATTACCTCACGCTCCGCAAAATGTCACAATTGGTGACCAACAAGCGACTGCGCACGAAAATCTCCAATAGGTCTAGTTTTTTCACCTCACCGAACTTTTCGCCCAAATTTCTCGGAAATGAAGAAGAACGAGAATGATCTTTTGGTTTCCTAATTCGGCGGATCGGATGTCAAACCAGGATTTCAATCACTGTTTTTCATTCGATCTGTCGGCTTCGATAACCCAAAAAAGCAGTCTCATTCAAATTAAAAAAAAACAAAATAAGTAAATAAATTAAAAAAAAATACACAAAATCGTAAAAATATATAAAGAGTAAATGTAACAAATTATAATAATACATTAAGAATTAGATCTTAGATATCCTAGATAAGATAGAAGCATTCAGAAAACCTTAAAATTGTACAAATAAACACATTTTTATTACAACTAAAATGTAATGGCTTATATTATAAACTTTATTTATAGCAAATAATAAATATAACAATTATTGCTTATCTTTCTATATTATTGGGTTTTATTTCTCTGTTTGCTTACTGTAATTAATATGTTAACTATTACAGAAAGGGAAAATAAATGTTTACCCAACTTATGTTCTATTTAATAAAGACCTTTGAAAAGTTACGATTTCAGATCGAAAAGCTTAACTTTTTGGCGCTGAAATTTTCCGAAATAAAAATGTCACTGCCCCGTATTTGAATACAAATGAACGGCATAAATAAATTCAACAAAGTGCAGCTTGTGTAAAAAGTTTTGAAATAGGCTAACAGAATCAATGGCAATGACACAAAACTAGCAACAAAATAAAATCATTTAAAAAAGCATAACAATTAAAAATCACAATATCGCATTTTAACGAGATTATAACAATAACAAAGCTCTTTTTTGCTGTAATTATTTTCAGTCAACCGAAATACAATCTAAACAAAATTCCGGTCGAGCCAGGCGCAAAAAAAAAAAAAGAAAAAAAAGAAAAATGTAAAAAGAAGAAATTTGTTTTCACACTCTTAAATTATTTATGTTCGATGGGGCGGGAATACGATTGCACTTGACTCCAATTTGGCCAATAACCCAAACCCCGTGTGCCTGACCTCGCCCAACTAGAAAGTACGTATACGATTTGCATATTTTGTTGTTACTATCGTTGTTATTTTTGCCATTTTTCGTCGTTGTTGTCAGCATTGAATTGTCGCATGTTGGCCAGGGTTGGGAACTGCAAACTGCTAACTGCAAACTGCAAACTGGAACTGGGCCTGAAAGAGAAATTACATTTTATTTTGTCGCATGTCGCGGAGCCCCAACAACAACGGCAAAAAGCGAAGAGAATTTGGGGGATTCGAACTTTTCGAAAATAGTGGATACTCTGCGGATTTCTAGCAACTCTTTGGAGGGATTTTGGTGGAATTCGAATGCAAAGTTCAGTTCACCAATTTCAGATAAATTCAAAATAACTTTTATTGATCTTCTATTTTATTGGTGAATCTTTAACGATCCATGTATTTATTGGTGAGTAGCAAATGTGTTTGCATTGGTGTTTTTTTTATTAGATTTGTAGTCTTGTTGATTTACCAATTTAATTCAATAAATCAACAATCGCTTTTTTTAAACCTAATTGATTTAAGGGTATTGGTGTAATTTTTATTGGTGTAACTTTGAACTCTTTTTCTTGGGTTGCAGTTTTGTTGCCATAGCATTTGATTTATTAACTGGAATATAAATGTAGTTAGCCTTAGTAAGAATAAAAACATACCTTTTAAAAGGGTATGGTTACATTCAAAATATGCAAAAGAGCAAATGCGTCAATAAATGCAACGACAACAAATATTTTATTGTGTCAATGCTGGCCAAAAGCCGGGGTAAAAAATTTGGTGGATGGAGGGAGGGGGGAATGGGAAATGGGGTAGAGGGTAGAGGGCTGATTTTCAGCCAGGTCCCAAGTGGCCAAAACAAATGCAGCAAGTTCGAGTTTGGCCTGGTGGCACATGGCACACATAGCAGCTCATTATGCCAGTTGCCATTAAAAGTGAAAGAGAAACCCGCCCAAGGACCCTCTTATTTGGCCCCTCCATCGGTCGAGTCCGTGTTCATCCGTCGATCGAGTCCGTTGATCGAGTCGGTCCTTCGTCCTTTCGTCCTTCCCCCCTTCCCCCACTTTCCCCTCTTTACCCACTACCCCATCCGCCTCACCTTGCACTTCAATCAGCTGCCATCGCCAAGACGCGAAGGCAATCACCAAGCTCGAAACTCAAAGCTTGCGGCTCCCCTTCCCTTTGTATTTACCTTTTTTCCTTATTTTTTTTTTCGTTCCTTGCTGTTTTGTCGACAAGGAAACCTTATTGGCCAAATTGGGGTCAGCGCAAGAAGGTCGCGATAACAGCGCAAATAATTGGTAATGGCAGCGCCACCAGAAGCCGGCCAAATTGCATCGAACGTTAAGGCTTCAGAGTCAGATTTTCAGGTTTGTCTGCAAGTCGTTTTGAATCGGGCTGATGGAACGAGTATTTATGTATGTGCTTTTTTTCTTTTTTTCTTTTTCCCATCACATTGGGGGTATTTTCCTCAACTGTTTAATGTGGGGAAAAATAGTTTTTGAAGTGGCATATAATATTGCATTGATGGCCGTGATCGCTTTTGCTTGGGGTCTTAAACTATTTGTATTGTACCTGCGGCTGGTGAAAGTTGTTATTTGGGGATTTGTTTATTTGTTTACAAACGCAACTTAGCTTAGATATTATGATTATTGAAAGACTTTGTTATAATTGAAGATAAGTTAGCAAATAATAGTTTGTGTGTTTGAATTTCAAGTTTCTAAAATGTTTAATAATTAAAACTATCTATTTGGATTTCATGTAAAACAACTTTTTGGTGTAGGTATTTTGAATTCCATGTGGATGTGTTTAATTAGAACACTCTCGCTCGAACGCAAACAGGTGCACCAATTTAAGGCAACCGCAAATTTTGTGGCAAGCACTTAATAATAATTTCACCTCACACTTTTTCTGAACTTTTCCTTTCGACTTTTTGAACTTTTCTCCCTCTGCACGGTGCAACTTTTCAGTTGTATTTCGTTTAGTTATTGTTATTGTTGTTCTTGTTCTTGTTGCTGTTGGTGTGATTGTTGTTATGTGGTATAGTTGTTGTTATTGGTGTTGTTGTTGTTGTTGTTGATAGTGTTACTGGTGGCATTCGCAACTAATTTACGACTGCCCGTCGCGCTGGGAAGACTCTCCAAAGACTGCGGCAATTGTCGGCCAATCCCTGCAGCAACTAACTGACCCCTGACCTCACTCCTCACTCCTCACTCCTCACTGCTCCCCTCCTCTCCTCCCCCCAACCCCATCGCCCTCTTCAACCCAACCACTCTTAACACCCCACACCGCAAAGTGAAATGAATGTGGCGGCCAGCGAAATATGCTACAAGTAAACCATGAAAATAAATGCCCAAAAATGCAACTGGAAATTATAGTATGGAGCCCCCGCACGAACAAAGAGGCGTGGTCGGTTGTAGGCGTAGTTCGCATTAAGTTTCCCCAATAGAGCAAAGAAATAAGAAATAGCAAATAAAATTAAACAACGATGAAATGTCGGCCGATGACCTCAAATTGTGTACACAATCGGTTTGGGGGCAAAATGGCCACCAAGGTGCCATTAGAGGAGCCATTAGGATTGGCTAACTTGAGCCGCACCACCATGCCGATGATGCAGCAAAACTAATAAAATTAAATTATTATGTAAAATGCAAATAAAATAATATGCAAATCGAATCGAAACCGAGCCACCCCGACGGGCAAGCAGGGAGCCATGGAGCCATGAGTAATCACAGACGCAAAGCCAAAAACAAGGCAAATAAACACATAAATAAATCAAAAATGGACTACGACAAATCTCGGTTGGCCCAAAGCAGACGGAGCAGCGAGAGCATTAAAATATGGCCAATAATAACCGAAATATCCATGTGATATATCCCAGTTTACCCCCACAGAAACGCCCAACCAACCCCCAAACATAATGCCGCAGTTCGGGCTGGACTAAAATTGGTAATACGAGTAAAGAGCGAGAAGGTGGGGGTTAAACTAAGATGAGCCAACGATTGCCAGTATTTCGACGGGGTAATACTCAGTAAACTAGCTTTCAACTTTTGTAATTTTTATATTATGAAGTGATGAGTCCATTTTCAAAGACTTCAGTAAATCTATGTATTTTAAGGGATTGATACTAAAAAAATAAAAAAATGTATAATACCACAAAAAATATAAAATATATAATACTTTCCAATACGAACTATGTTTTAAATGAATATATATTTTTTGAGAATTTTTACACGACAACTAAGATTTGGTCATCAATACCCTACTTTCTACCCCTTACCACACTTTTGCCTAATTTTTTCAGGGGAATATAAAAGATATCTGTGCAAAGGCAAAGCCAAATATTCGACTTACACACAAATACAGTCGCAGACATTTTCGTAATCAACATAAAATCCAATCATCCGTCATGGACAGCAAAGGGCTGTCCATTTCCCGGTTCTCCCCAAAAGTCGCAGGGAAAAAATGAAGAGGAAGAGGAAAACCCCCACCCTTTGGTAAAAGCCGCACTACCCAAAACTCGACTGTTAGTTCTATGGCCTTTAAAAATGCCAAAAACGAAAATTTTGATTTATGAGCAGACGAAAGCCAAAGTAAAAGAGGAGCCAGAAATTATGTGTGCTTGTGTATTGGACTGGCTCATTTATAACGCGCTTAAATCTAATACGCGGACAGTACTCAAGATGGGGCAATGGCTGCTTGGGGAGTGTCGTGTTACTGGCTACAGTCTCTAGTCTTCCGCATCCGCATCCGCATCCGCGTCCGCATCCGCAGCCGGCAGACGTGCGTAAAGCGACGCGTGTCCGCTTTATGATTAATATGCGCGACAAAACACAGAATGCACGGAACAGGGATCGCTCGATAAACTCGATTTAGCAATACATAGTCTATATATCTAAACATATTTTTTCACTTAACCATTTTTATGTTTACTTAGTAAGATTTTGTTAACTCCGCAATAATACATATTAACTAGTAATTATAATTCGTTGAGAGCTAAGAATCTCAGTGATCTCTATGGATTCTTGTGATAAAACAGAACTTTTTGGGATATAGCTTTGTATTACTTTAAATTAAGTACTTCTATGCTCAATAGGGCTCTACCTATATCTATAAAAAGTGTAAATATCCTTTAAAAAGAGTTGAGGTATTCATTTTACTATAGCTATATTTTTAAGACTAAAAACTTATAAAATGCAAAGTAATTTTATTTAGTAAGAGCATTTTATTTGTAATCATTTTATCGAATGCCCACTGTAATTGTCATGAGTGGGAGGGAGAGCGCTGCACAAATTTACCGTTTGACACGCAGCCAAAGCCAAAGACGAACTAACGGGAAGCGGAAAA